CCTGTCTCCTTGTATTTTGTTTAACTCTTTACTGCTCGTGATATCCCAGCCCTGCTCAGCTACCAATCAGGAACTACAGTGCTATACTTTATACTAGTGTAACCAGAGCCTATAATACGGCCGGGACTTCACTATCGCAATTGAAATGCAAAAGTATAAACCCGCCTATTATATTCGAAAACATGCATAACACTGTCGTATGAAAGTATGAACTCTCTCTACAGTCCAAACAGACCGCAATGAGTGCCCCCTCCCTAATAAGCTTATAGTATAACATGACAGTGAATATTACGCGGCTAACCTAATTATGATTCAAGTAGTAACGCTACATATGCAACTAAATATGCAGTAATGGGAGAGAGAGCGAGGAGGGAGAAAAAGAGAGCCATTTTATGTCACATTTGTGGTACAAAACCATTAATTAAACCACTTACCACCGACCGATTTAAGTATTTAAAAAACCTTTATCCTTTGGCTTCGTCAGAGTTTTGTCGAAACTATACCGAAAAAAACCAGTCCCATAACTCTTACCGTTTTTTTGATTAAGCCTCTCGGAAATTACAAGCGCACATACAGACAGACAGACAGACAGACAGACAGACAGACAGACACACATTCTGAAATTATTGTTTAAGATATTATAACCTATTTTGATGGTCACGTGCCTACTGGTCACGTGCCTACTGGTCACGTGCCTACTGGTCACGTGCCTACTGGTCACGTGCCTACTGGTCACGTGCCTACTGGTCACGTGCCTACTGGTCACGTGCCTACTGGTCACGTGCCTACTGGTCACGTGCCTACTGCTAAACCACATAGAAACCCATTATAATTACTAGTAGTAGAGGTCCATTGTACAGCGACAGGGGGATGTATATAAGTTGTGTGTTAATGAACACGTTTAGAATACGTTTTTAGTAACACTTAATAATATATACAAACCATGGTACTGTAATAATACGTAAAACGATATTTAATATTTGCCTCTCTTTTTCTAATGGGTCTATTGCCAGAATACCTTAGCTACTGAGGGCTGCGCGCGACAATACAGCACGAAACTAAGCGTGTGTTTAAGTGTATCTACATGAGAGTGTAATGTGATACGCTCATCAAGGAAACATCAAGGCGACTTAACAGACGTTTGATAAATGATAATACGTCCTGAAGACAATTATCAGCGCTCAGTGTTCACTAGTTACTAGTTACTAGTTACTAGTTACTAGTTACTAGTTACTAGTTACTAGTTACTAGTTACTAGTTACTAATTACTAGTTACTAGTTACTAGTTACTAGTTACTAGTTACTAATTACTAGTTACTAGTTACTAGTTACTAGTTACTAGTTACAGAGAATACCACAACTACTAGTTACTAGTTACTAGTTACTAGTTACTAGTTACTAGTTACTAGTTACTAGTTACTAGTTACTAGTTACTAGTTACCAGTTACTAGTTACTAGTTACTAGTTACTAGTTACTAGTTACTAGTTACTAGTTACTAGTTACTAGTTACTAATTACTAGTTACTAATTACTAGTTACTAGTTACTACTACTAGTTACTAGTTACTAGTTACTAGTTACAGAGAATACCACAACTACTAGTTACTAGTTACTAGTTACTAGTTACAGAGAATACCACAACTACTAGTTACTAGTTACTAGTTACTAGTTACTAGTTACTAGTTACTAGTTACTAGTCACTAGTTACAGAGAATACCACAACTAACACACATGTCCTCTTGATAACGTCATTTCTGAAGGTGTTTCTACATTCCCTTACTACTACTACTACTAGTAACACTACTAGTAGTGCTTAGTAGTAGTAACACTACTAGTAGTAATAATAACGCTACTAGAAGTGTTCTGTTCTCACTACTGTCAGCTATTGAGCGTCAAGTGGACAGTAGTTACTACTACTACTAGTTACACTACAGTAACACTGCAGTAATTATTGTTCTATTTATAAACCCCTTATAGTTTCTAAACCGCGCTCTCTCTCTCTCTCTCTAACTGTGACGTCAATGTACACTCTTATTCGCTTAATCACGTGCTTGTGTTGCGAGCAGCTGGCTCTACAGGTGTTCACTTGGCTTTGTGATCCGCACAGTGCCATATGATCCACACAGTGCCATATGATCCACACAGTGCCATGTGATCCGCACACAGTAATTACTAATTAACCAGAATACTAACAACAATAATCATTATCTAATAAAAATGATTATCTCATAATATGTATAATTATTATCTGATAATGTAATTTTTAGCAAAATTGACTAAGTGATTATGTGACACCGTGACACGACACCTTAATTGGGCAGCCTTAACGATTCCCATAATGTTTAAAGGGGTGGTTAACGGGGTCACCTTATCACGTGATTAGGTAAACCAATCACCTGATCACACGTAATGAATAAACTCGTTATGCTTCGTATCTCGGTCATCTGAGAAGCTATAACTCTCATTTTTTCGGGACAAACGTAATTCGAATGGCCAAACACACTCCAATCAAATTTGGCTCGATCCGACACTCCAAACTATCAAATAAATGCGAAAATGAACCTTCATTTGAAAACAATGAACTCGAATATTTTTCGATTTGACAAATTCCCCGAACCAGTGGTGGTAGTAAGTCATACCAGAAAGAATTATTTCAATTATGCACTCAGTGACTGAGCTATTAAGGTCAACGTATGTACACTGACTTTTGGCCCATGCCCCAGTCCCACCCTGTATAATTATTATCTAGTTATAATATAATTATTATAATATAATAGTAATATAATTATTATCTAATAATATAATTATTATCTAATAATATAATTATCATCTAATTATATAATTATTGTCTAATAATATAATTATTATCTAATAATATAATTATTATCTAATTATATAATTATTGTCTAATAATATAATTATTGTACTATCAAATGAGAAGAAGTACAGTCTGATAATGAAGTATGGTCTTCTAAAAACGGTCCTATTTGAACTGTACCTTCACGAACTTGAGAAACTTTATCGATACGCTAGTGTCGCCAAAATTGGTGTCAGATCTTTAATAATTCGGTTTCAAACTATACTATGCCGAGTATTACCGATACCTTTCCAAGCATCGTGTCCAGTCCTTACCTAATATACATTTCTGGGATGTTTAGACTAAACACTACTAATAGTGGTGTTATTAAACTTCGATTTATTATCATCATTGTTTGTTTGATTTTCTGTTTGTTTGTTTGTATGTCTGTTTGTCTACAAACGACTGTATCCAGGAAAGCAAGACCCAGTAGTTCCTGTGCAATGAAGGCTAGAGAGAGATATGGATACAGCTAACAGCTGTACAGACTCCTTTACCATACCAGATCACCAGGAATGTAGCAGTCTGAGGACTACTGTCCGGGCCACACTGCAGGATACTACTACTGTCAGGATCACTACTACAGAACCATTGAGCGGTCTCTCAGAGAGTTGCACCCCTAAACCATTAGAAAGTAGCACAGTAGGGTGTGGGACCTCAGGGGAGGGCCCCGGTACACAGTCAGGGGAGGGGCCCGGTACCCTGTCTCTACTTGCCCAGGATGATGTGAGAACACACTTTATTGTTGTTATCTACTTTATTGTTGTTATCTATTTTATTGTTGTTATCTACTTTATTGTTGTTATTTACTTTATTGTTGTTATCTACTTTATTGTTGTTATCTACTTTATTGTTGTTATCTACTTTATTGTTTTTATCTATCTCCATTCTCCCTTGTTATGTTTGTATAACACGCAGGCCAAATCATTATAACTTGAATTTTACGTTAACTCAAAAGATTAATATCATTGATGGTTTTTACATTGTCTGCAAGGTGAGAGAAAAGATTCGCGGTACTATAATGTAGTATGGTTATTGGTTATAGATTTTTACGGTAAATAAAAGTATCAAATTACTTAAACTGTGACTTCTTACGAATGATATTCACCAAAACTAAAAGCGAGGAGGCTTTTAGTATTGTGCAAATCATACAGTTCAGGGGCAAGTTATCAACTAATATATCCACCTAAACAAAGCATACCTTACTTACTTTAGGTATTTAACTTTATTTATATTTGCCATTTGTTTCGTGAATTTACAATTTACATGGTTAAGATTATTGAACACCTCAGTTAGCAATTACATAGTAGATACCTTCATTTATATACCTTCATTTACCATAGAACCTCAAATATTAAGTTATCTAGCCAAAATTAAATGACCAAATACCTGTAAATTGTTGAAATTTCTTTCGATAAATGTTGGAATTTATCATTCTGCAAGTTCCAAATCAGATAAATGTATATAATATAATGTATGCTTTTTGTTTAGATTTCTCCGATATATATTACGTAAACATATATATTTATATAAGTACAATAATAATATTGTACCAAGTAGTCATTGCTAGGGGGGGGGGGGGGGGGGGGGGGGGGGGGGGGTCATTGCTATCAAATACTGACCAGTCTTGTCAAGCCAGTCTATCAAAGTGTTCACAATATATTCCGATCACTAAAACATTCATCACGTCAAAATGCCCTGTGGACCGTCACTTGATAAGTTTATTACTAGGCACCTGGTAGGATGTTATAACTTTATAAAAAATATTGCTCCTTCATAAATATTACCCTGACAGACATGTTAACAGCTGCAATGTAACATTTACAAAGTTTAATTGATGTTTTGGTACTAAGTGAGAGTCTCCACTCAGTTTTTGAAACAAATGTCGACGTTTCGGCCCACGCTTTTTTTCATTTACAAAGTTTATTACTACTACTAGCAACATTTACTAATAGTAGTACTATATGGGGGACATTGCTAGTTTATTACATATTATATAATATATATATTTCATATGTATATGTAGTATGTAACTTTATCAACTTTATCCACTCTATCAACTTTATCAACTTTATCAACTTTATCAACTTTATCCACTTTATCAACTTTATCAACTTTATCAACTTTATCCACTCTATCCACAGGTAACACGGAAGCTGAGTATAAACCCCGGGGATGCGATAATATCCACCACACAGAGAGACTTCGTGCAGCTCGGCGGTCACTTAGGTAACACTATTGCTGCATCATGTCAGGTGGTGTGACGTCATGTCAGGTGGTGTGACGTCATGTCAAGTGGTGTGACGTCATGTCAGGTGGTGTGACGTCATGTCAGTTTGTGTGACGTCATGTCAAGTGGTGTGACGTCATGTCAGGTGGTGTGACGTTATATCAGGTGGTGTGACGTCATGTCAGGTGGTGTGACGTCATGTCAGGTGGTGTGACGTTATATCAGGTGGTGTGACGTCATGTCAGGTGGTGTGACGTCATGTCAGTTGGTGTGACGTCATGTCAAGTGGTGTGACGTCATGTCAGTTTGTGTGACGTCATGTCAAGTGGTGTGACGTCATGTCAGGTGGTGTGACGTCATGTCAGGTGGTGTGACGTCATGTCAGGTGGTGTGACGTCATGTCAAGTGGTGTGACGTCATGTCAGGTGGTGTGACGTCATGTCAGGTGGTGTGACGTCATGTCAGTTTGTGTGACGTCATGTCAAGTGGTGTGACGCCATGTCAGGTGGTGTGACGTCATATCAGGTGGTGTGACGTCATATCAGGTGGTGTGACGTCATGTCAGGTGGTGTGACATTATATCAGGTGGTGTGACGTCATGTCAGGTGGTGTGACGTCATGTCAGGTGGTGTGACGTTATATCAGGTGGTGTGACGTCATGTCAGGTGGTGTGACGTCATGTCAGTTGGTGTGACGTCATGTCAGGTGCTGTGCATTTCGTGCATTACATAGATTTGATACCGAATTTACAATATTATTCCTAAGTTGAAGTAAGTGATTAGAAAACACCATAACTTGTATATTATATATATAATATATACATAACTTGTATTGTTTTAGTTAATGGTTCACTTTCCTAATTACAAACAAAACTGTTCATAAGTTTTATTTGATTAACCTCTATATATATATATGACGTCACGTGGTGCGTGGTATATGACGTTTACCAGGTTACCAGGTTACCAAGTTACCAGGTTACCAGGTTACCAAGTTACCAGGTTACCAGGTTACCAAGTTACCAAGTTACCAGGTTACCAGGTTACCAGGTTACCAGGTTACCAGGTTACCAAGTTACCAGGTTACCAGGTTACCAGGTTACCAGGTTACCAGGTTACCAGGTTACCAGGTTAGCTAATGATCAGTTACCTTAGCAGGAGTTAGTAGTACAGTAATATAGTTTACTATTATAGTACTATGTTTACAGTGTTGACCGGTAGTAGTGGTGATAACGTGTCACTACAGTACTACTACTAACACACCTTATTGCTGCTATAATCCTCACACAGGTGCAGGACAAGGTATTATAGTTTATATCATCATGTACACAAACCACTCCCAAACTCGTGGGAATTGGGATGCGTTAGTAGGGGAGGTGTACACATGCAGGCCTGATGGGCAATTCGGTAATCTGTCGATTGTCACTTAACGCCCGGATAGTGAAACTATTCTAAAACTTCTCTTCTTTAACCGTGTGTTAACCGTGTGATAACCGTGTGATAACCGTGTGTTAACCGTGTGATAACCGTGTGTTAACCGTGTGTTAACCGTGTGTTAACCGTGTGTTAACCGTGTGTTAAGTGACAGATTACCGAATTGCCGTACATCATCTAAATATAAGGTGCGCCCGCAGTAGTGTGTACTATTATACACTCCCGCGCATGTTTTTATAGATATAAGCTTACTTTGGTGCATACTAGCGTGTTGGACCTTATTTTAACCAGTTCTTGCTAGTAATTAATTGTGATTGAACCTTTAAACGCAAAGGAGTATATTATAATCCTCTTAATTGAGGGTATGGTTTACACTGTTCCTGTATATTATAATCCTCTTAATTGAGGGTATGGTTTACACTGTTCCTGTATATTATAATCCTCTTAATTGAGGGTATGGTTTACACTGTTCCTGTAATCTGTATACCCGGAAATAAATAACCAATTAAAATGTTAAAAGTTTAGACAGTGTACAATGATATAGACATTATAACTGATCATTAGCCACAGAGGATCAATTAGCTAACAGTAGTATCAGTTGTAACAGATAACAAGATAACAGATACAAGGATACAGAAATAGTGGTACTCCTGCAATGCACATCATGAGAAAGTTAAGGTTCCTTCATGAGAAAGTTAAGGTTCCTTCATGAGAAAGTTAAGGTTCCTTCATGAGAAAGTTAAGGTTCCTTCATGAGAAAGTTAAGGTTCCTTCATGAGAAAGTTAAGGTTCCTTCAAAAGCAAAATCAACAATTTAAAAGTTTAAATTGAGGTAAGTAGGAATCCTAATTTTAGTAATTGTTGTTGATGTGCAGGAATAGAACGTATCTACTTAATAGAGGGGGGGGAGGGGGGGAACATGATCCCCCCCTTAATATCTACTTCTCTTTTCTTTGTTAAAGTCCCCTAATGCCATGGAAGTTGATGGCGCACCAAATTGTTACCATTTTATGACGATAATATATACATTGTAGAGTGTATAGTGTACATTGTAGAGTGTATAGTATACATTGTATAGTGTATAGTGTACATTGTAGAGTATATGTACAAAATATGAAATACAAAGTGTAAAACATATATATATATGTTTTACACTTTGTATATACCTTACGAGACATATATTCGACATAATTCCGGTGACCTAAATGATTTGGGAATGGAAATATGGGATTTTTTCCGAAAACCACCGCATTTCGTACCCCAAATTAAATCATGGTATTTGGGGATTTTTTTCATTTCTTTATTTTACAAAAATAAAACCCAATATTTGAGAAAATCAATAAAATAAAACATGAAATTTGAATTACAAGTCAATTTCTTCTTGATCTTCTTGATTATCACCGACTTTCGTACCTTTTGAAAATGTCTCGTAAGGTAGTGTGTTCGGTGCAAACTTGGATTATATTAAGTTTCAGTACAAATATGATTAATTTATTGTGCTCTACATTTGAGTTCTCATGAAATCCACTCAATTTCAGAATTTACTATACAATTACTAAAAAACTACCTATAAAGTATAAATAATGTAAATGCAGCAAGAATTCAGTTCAATTTAGATATTGAATTGTTAAGTATTTTCTTGAGAATATCAAAAATATAACATTAAATGGATTTCAGTACTTGTCGAATGTTGACCCTTTTTTTGACCAATTTTTGACCCCAAAAACCAAAACCTTGATTTACCGCGGGTTCTTACTTCCCCTAAAGTCCGCATTAGATCGGGGGTTTACTGTATAATACAGTGACAGTAATATATTAGTGTTAGTTATATAGTGCAACACTAGTAATATAGTGCATATTATAGTGTTAGTAATATAGTGCAACACTAGTAATATAGTGCATATTATAGTGTTAGTAATATAGTGCAACACTAGTAATATAGTGCATATTATAGTGTTAGTAATATAGTGCAACAATAGTAATATAGTGCATATTATAGTGTTAGTAATATAGTGCAACACTAGTAATATAGTGCATATTATAGTGTTAGTAATATAGTGCAACAATAGTAATATAGTGCATATTATAGTGTTAGTAATATAGTGCAACACTAGTAATATAGTGCATATTATAGTGTTAGTAATATAGTGCAACACTAGTAATATAGTGCATATTATAGTGTTAGTAATATAGTGCAACACTAGTAATATAGTGCATATAATAGTGTTAGTAATATAGTGCAACACTAGTAATATGGTGCATATTATAGTGTTAGTAATATAGTGCAACACTAGTAATATGGTGCATATTATAGTGTTAGTAATATAGTGCAACACTAGTAATATGGTGCATATTATAGTGTTAGTAATATAGTGCAACACTAGTAATATGGTGCATATTATAGTGTTAGTAATATAGTGCAACACTAGTAATATGGTGCATATTATAGTGTTAGTAATATAGTGCAACACTAGTAATATAGTGCATATTATAGTGTTAGTAATATAGTGCAACAATTTATTATTGGCGGTTGAGATAATGATAGTAGAGGGCCTTACGACGGTTCTACTCGAAACACTAGGAACATACTTTACTAAATGTAGAATCGATAACCCTGGTAACCCTGGTAACCCTGGTAACCCTCAACCCTGGTAGTGGTACCCTGGTAACCCTCAAAGCCTCAACCCTGGAAGTGGTACCCTGGTCACCCCGGTAACCCTCAACCCTGGTAGTGGTACCCCTGGTAACCCTGGAAACCCTGGTAACCTTCAACCCTGGTAGTGGTACCCTGGTAACCCTCAACCCTGGAAGTGGTACCCTGGTCAGTGGTCACCCTGGTAACCCTGGTAACCCTCAACCCTGGACGTGGTACCCTGGTAACCCTCAACCCTGGAAGTGGTACCCTGGTCACCCTGGTAACCCTCAACCCTGGTAGTGGTACCCCTGGTAACCCTGGAAACCCTGGTAACCTTCAACCCTGGAAGTGGTACCCTGGTCACCCTGGTAACCCTGGTGACCCTCAACCCTGGTAGTGGTACCCTGGTCACCCCGGTAACCCTAAACCCTGGTAGTGCTACCCTGGTAACTCTGGTAACCCTGGTAACTCTGGTAACCCTGGTACCACTTGCAGGACATTTCCACATAGCTGGACCGGGTGCTCTGTGGAAACAGCAAGCTAAAGACGGGGAGATAGAGGCTAAAGTGCTGAAGGAACTGAACGAGAGCTCACTGCACGCTTATGTTCCTGACTTCCTGGGAACCAAGGAACATGACGGCAAGAGATGGATAGGAATGGAGGACGTGATGTGTCATTTCACAGACGGGTGTGGTATGGATATAAAGATGGGGACTAGGTGAGTGTGGTATTGTTACGTGAACAAGTAAGCAGTTGTAGGAGTATGTTGAAACTTAGTAAATTAATACGTAAGAGACTAGGAGCACAGTAAGGTTTTTTGGACTATATTAATAATAAGTAAATCAGTAATGCTGGTGGATAATGGTAATACACCATTATCCACTGATAAGTTCTTAAGTAATTACACGCATATTATACAGGGTGGCCCATAAAACACTACCCATATTATATTATAATAGTTATAAGCTACTACAGATACCCCCCCCCCCCCCCCCCACTGTGCACACTCTACACAATATACCGCTTATAACCGCGTCCGCTAACAGTGCAGGAAGACGCGTGATGTAAGATTGTAGAACAGATGTTATCCTGTAACGAGTGAATGTCTCACTAGTGGCCCAGGTGGCGGGGGGGTCACGTGCCCCACACTCCCCCCTCATTGGCCACTATTCCCCTACAATAAACATGTGGTGTAACTCCACACTCTGGCTCTGAGCCAACTCTAAAAGGAGCCCTTCTGTGAATACTGGCAAATAGGAGCCCCGTTATTGAGCCTAGTATTATCATGTAGTGTATATTAAGCAAGGTAATGTCATGTATCTGCGGACTGTATCACAACAATACAAAATAGTAGTATAGTATAGTAGTCTTATGTTACAATCAAGGCATTCCAAAAGCGTATCTTTAGAAAACGTAACTTTCACTAAAATTATAGAGAAATAAGCCTTCTTAGTACATATTATACATATTAGGAACAAGATAAGACTTATCTTTAAAATACTCTTTCTTTACTTGATCATATTGTGTAATATAAAGTATAATAAGTACTGATAGACTTATGACCCTTTTGTAGTAGTAGTGGGGGCACTGTGTAGTTATAGTCTTATAAGATAACAGAACGCTAAAGACCTCTTATATTATTACATATTTTTCCTTTTATCAAATTTCTTCTATTGTTCTGTTTTCTCTGAATATTTTATTCTTGACATTCCAATACTGTTACTCAGTATAATATATAGTATGTAATTGTATTAGTATCACTACTCGTACATGATGTGTCCCACTTTGTGCAGGACTTTCAAAGAGTTTGAAGTAAAGAACCAGAAGTTAAGGGAAGATTTGTATGACAAGATGGTAAAACAGGATCCCTCCGAGCCCACCGAACAGGAGAACATCGACAAAGCTGTTACCAAACTACGCTATATGACAGTCAGTATTTTACAGTATTAAGCTGTTATGACGTGGTATGACGTCACGTGGTATGACGTCACGTGGTATGACGTCACGTTTTATTGATATCACGTGGTATGACTTCACGTGGTATGACGTCACGTGGTATGATGTCACGTGGTATGACGTCACGTGGTATGACGTCACGTGGTATGACGTCACGTGGTATGATATCACGTGGTATGACGTCACGTGGTATGACGTCACGTGGTATGATGTCACGTGGTATGACGTCACGTGGTATGACGTCACGTGGTGTTTCTAATGTTGACTTGTTTCAGTTCCGGGAAAGAGAAAGCTCATCACAAACGCTCGGTTTTAGAGTTGAAGCAATGAAAGTGCGTTCTTTTAACTGTTTCAAATTATATAATATATATTTAATATTGATCTTGTAAATTATATATTTAATATTCATTTTTATCTTGTAAAGCGTTTGTCCTACTATATATATGTCTACATGTACATACTATACACATACTACTATATACATGTCTACTATATACCATGTCCTGTTTCAGATCTGGGGTCAGGGGACGAACAAGGACTTCAAAACACTAAAGTATAAAGATCAGGTTAGCTTGAATCACATTCCTGGGTTATCTTTCTTCTCAATCTAATTGTTGGTGGAATTCTGCCATTTTTGGTCAAATTGTCGCATGATGCAAACATCAAGCAACGAACAAAGGTAATGTAAATGAATTTGATTCGATGACAATAGAGAAAGCTGCTGTCGACCGCGAGACCGTTTCAAGTGTGCCATCTTTCTTACATTATTGAAATATTGCCACATTATGAGAACACCTTACTTTAGCAGCTGCAGTGGCGTAACGTTACTCAGCTCACTCATTGTCATGTGACATATCTGATGGAACTTTATTTTGAGAGTTAACATTAACCGCTCATCAAATTGCTGAAATAGAGCCATCTACAGCAGGGTGTCCCGTGTCATAATTATTGGCGCGTAATGTTGCGTAAAATTTTACCCAAGCTTTTAGAAACGATCATTACTTGACTTCTGAGGGTCAGTTTCCTATGGAGTCTTGATCATTCGAGAGATAATCCTTCATACTACAGTTCAGTCTAAAAACGAAGTCCGAAAGAAGTTAAATTTCGTCGATAATCACGACGAATGAGAAAAATTTGGATTATTGGACTTGAAGCCTTCGGCTGCTTCCCCTGAATTCCGGGATGAGTCCGCCCGACTATATTTTATTGCGTCAGTTAGAGGAGAAAGAGAGCTTTTATAAAATCTATAGTTTTCTATATCTTTCGCTATCGCCTGAAGAGCTGTGCACTTTAGTCTAAAGAATAATTTCAGAAAAAGTCCCTTACTCCTTCGTAAATCTAACTAAGTATGGAATCGATCCTTTAAATAACGGCCTAAATTATGGGTTTTGAGGTACATCAGGGTGACAATCTGGCAATGCCCCTATTTTCACTCGCAACACTTCCAATTTTACAGAAACTTAAAGAGCTTAGGAAAGTTATGCAAGTCTGGCTGGCCGACGACGCGTCATCTGTTGGAACACTGATACATCTCAAAACCTGGTGGGATATGATAGTGGCAGAGGGAATTAAATATGGATATCATGTCAACCCCAGCAAATCATGTTTGATAATAAAACATCCATCGAGCATGGAGAGGGCTATGGAAATATTTGGAGAAAGCGGGATCGAGATAAAAATAACTGGACAGAGACATCTTGGAGCGGTTATTGGGTCACAGGAATATAAACGACTTTACATCAATAATTTAGTTGACGAATGGACCAAAATGATCAACAAATTATCTGATTTTGGTCAATCCGAGCCACAAGCAGCATATGCAGCATTCACTCATGGAGTTAGGCACAAAATGACATACTTCATGAGAACAATTGAAGGACTAGATCAATACTTGCAACCTCTTGACATGCTTATCGATGAGAAACTCATACCGGCTTTATTTGGATGCCCTATTACACCATTAGAGAGAAGAACGGTTGCGCTACCCGTACGATGTGGGGGACTAGGCATACCAGTTTTATCAAAGTTGGCATCAGAGGAGTATAAAACATCCATGGAAGTGACTAAGTCCTTAGTAAAGGCCATGGCCGGAATTGAAACGGATATAGATCATGATTCCGAGTCGCTGAAAGAAATTCTAAAAGTGAGGGCAGAAAAGCATGAATTAGAATACACGTTAATCTGCAATGAAAGGATGGAACAGCTATACCACCCCTTAAGCTGTTTATGGATGATAGCTGCCTTACCACGGCTAAAATGGTAGATATGCAAACCCTGCTTGATGTTTATCAGGAGTTCGTTGTGTGGTCAAGGTTCAAGCTTAAGTCGTCTAAGTCTAGGGCACTAGTCTACCAGAAGGGAGTGACAGTGGAGTGGGTTGTAGAGAGTTCAGAAGGTAGTCAGGCGAGGTTGCAGCTTAGCGGGGAGGTGATCCCGAATGTATCTGAGAAACCAATCAAGTTTCTAGGGAGGTGGATTCGGGCAGAAGGAAAGGACAAAGCTATAATCGAGAAAACACACGAGGATCTTGTTACATACCTCAGTAGACTCGATCTTAGCTCCCTCACCGGCCTGCAGAAATGTTGGGGGTATCAGTATATGGTCCTTCCAAAGATGAAGTGGCCACTTGCCATTTATGATATCCCGATCAGCACTGTTTCTCGCTGGGAGCAAACAACTAACAGTCATCTCAGAAAATGGCTAGGAGTGGGACACACGCTTAGTAGCTCTTGCCTGTTTAGTCATTCATCCAGTGTTGCTCTCCCCATCGACAGCCTAACCGACACTTGGAAAGTAGAAAAGTGCCGTCTCTTGCAGTCATATCAAACATCTCAGGATGCTTTGATCAGAGCGGTGCAACCCCAGGTGCGGTCTGGGAGAGTTTGGAAGGCAGATGCTCAGCTTCACGAAGCTGAAAGAGACTTGGTGTGTGAGTCAGTGCGAGGTATGGTGCAACCTCTTAGTAGAGCGGGAATTGGTTTCGGTGATTGGAAGAAGCCCTGGGAGAAGATGTCAGAAAAGGAGCAGCAGAGGGAGGTGCTGGATAGGGTTAAGGAGAACATCAGGAAGGAAAGAGAGGTGCAGTTGGGTACGTTGGAGATGCAGTCCAGGTGGGGTAATTGGAGAGAGCTGGTGACAAGGACTGACATGAGCTGGCACACGCTCTTCAAGTATGGGGACTCATTAATCGGTTTTCTGCTTAGTGCTGTGTATGGCACGCTTGTTACACCAGCTTTAGCATCCAAGTGGAGCGAGGATGAGGATGGGATGTGCAAGCTGTGTGGTGACAAGTTGGGAACTGTGCCGCATATTCTGGCTGGTTGTCCTGTGGCACTAAGTCAAGGGAGATACCGATGGCGCCACGATAAGGTGCTTAAACAAATAGCAGACCAAGTGAAATTCCATTGTGAGCGGAGAGTCAACAAGAGGAAGAGCTCTTGTGTCACTCGGAAAGCCATTGAGTTTGTTCCAGCAGGAGGGAGGTTTAAGGAGGTGAAGAGGTCGAAAGTCAGTGAGTTTGGGATTCTGAGTGGGGCCACTGATTGGATAGTATTAGCAGACCTGGATGAGCAGCTGAAATTCCCGTCGGATATAGCAACGACCAGATTAAGACCAGATTTGGTTCTTTTCTCGAAAGCTTCCAAGAGAGTAATCTGGTGGGAGCTTACAGTACCGTCGGAAGAGAGAATAGCTGCATCCCATGAGCTGAAGCTTGATCGGTATAACAGTCTACAAGCGGAAATACAAGCTAATGGGTGGTCATGTTTCAGCTTTGCTGTTGAGGTTGGTGCTAGAGGTGTGGTCGCAGCAAGTTTGGAGTGTGCATCAAGGAAGATTGGTCTGACTGGGAGAGCCCTCAAGAAGTTGGTCAGAGATTGTGGGAAGGATGCAGCCCATTGTTCAAGATGGATTTATCTGCTGTCTAGGAAAAGAGAGTGGGAGATGAGAGCTGTTTGAGCTTTATGACTTCACCTAACAGCCAGAGGTGCCATAAGCTAACTCGTCGTAAATCGCGAGCTCTAGCAGGTATCCTCGGGTGATTGTCAGATCAGATGGTGGTCCAAGAGAGACTGCTGGGGCACCTGACAGAAAACCGTATCGCAATGAAAGCCCCGAAACGGTGTCAGGTTTGTGACTGAAGATTCTGATCAAGCTCAGGGTTGAGTCTACACAGTGTCGCCACTTGCCGATGCCAGTTGATGCGAGAAGACACTGATGTAAGTGGGAAGTTATGTCTAAGAAACAGCGTGTGGTTCGGGTGCCGGTTGAACGCATGTAAAAGGGAGGGTATATCCGTATTTCGCTGCTAGTGATGCAGTCCTTAGCCCGGTAGCTAAGGCTTCCCCGTTTCTCGCTCATTTGTGCTCCGATGGGCTTGTGACCTCTGCGGGGGTCAAGTGCAGGATGAGGGACATGGCTGACCAGGAGAAGGTTGTTTTTGGGAGATAGAGTAAGGTTGGTTTGGTGTTGTGCCTTCGCAGTTTAACTGTATCTTTACTCTACACCATTAGAGAGAAGAACGGTTGCGCTACCCGTACGATGTGGGGGACTAGGCATACCAGTTTTATCAAAGTTGGCATCAGAGGAGTATAAAACATCCATGGAAGTGACTAAGTCCTTAGTAAAGGCCATGGCCGGAATTGAAACGGATATAGATCATGATTCCGAGTCGCTGAAAGAAATTCTAAAAGTGAGGGCAGAAAAGCATGAATTAGAATACACGTTAATCTGCAATGAAAGCAGTGATAGATCTACACGTGCAATTAATCAGGCAAGAGAAAAAGGAAGCTCAAGTTGGTTGACTGTCCTACCTCTTAAGTCTTATGGGTTCACATTGAACAAAGGGGAATTCAGGGATAGTCTACTTCTTCGATATAACAAAGACCTTCCACGATTACCTCAATCCTGTGTTTGTGGGGCCAAAATGGACATCAACCATGCTCTAAACTGTCCAAGAGGAGGCTACATCATCATCCGCCACAACTCAGTTAGGGATTTCATAGCCAAACAACTATCAACTGTTTGCAAAGACGTAGAATGTGAGCCCAACCTACAGACTTTAGACGGGGAGACTTTCTCAACAAGTACCACACTAACAGGAGACAATGCCCACCCTGACGTCCGTGCCAGGGGATTCTATCGTCCGGGACAGAACTCCTATTTCGACATAAAGTTTCTCAATCCCAATTCTGAGTCTTATCTCTCATCATCAACAGAAAAAATATACGAGAGAGCAGAGACTCAGAAGCGGAGGTTATACAACGAGAGAATTCTGAATGTAGAACATGGGAGTTTCTGTCCACTGGTGTACTCTGTCACGGGTGGCAGCGGGCCAGAAGCGAGAACATTCTTTAGATTATTGTGTGAGAAAATAGCATATAAAACTCAACAAAATTATTCAGATGTTGTAAATTTTTTAAGATGTAAACTATCATTTATTATCAGGAAGCTGGTTCTCCTGTGTATAAGAGGAACCAGATCTTCTGTCAATTCAGTTGACAAAAGTTGTGAAAGCGACTTTGAGTTCGCATGCTTTGTATCAAAGCTTAGCTAATTATGAGTCCTATGGACTCAATTAATTGATGATTGAAATCTGGTCGATATACATTGTTGTAAATTATATTGTTATATATTATTCTATTTGTTTTCCAAAAAAAAGAAAAGTTTTGAGGTACATCAACACAAAATTCTGAAATTAAGAAAAAGTTCAGACAATTGTCTACAGACCAGTTTTTGAATTTTGTAATTCCGATATTCAGAAGTAAAGTTGATTTCATCATAAAATACACATAAAATTTCAAACACGCCAATAATTCTGACACCCTGCTGTATCAGCTGGCGTACAGATGATGGAATGATGTAACTGGGAATGATCGGAGTGTGCGATTATTTTACGATCGTAATTAAAAGCACTGTATTAAAAGCACTTTATTTAATTGGATAATTAAGCGTGGATATGATCTAGATTTTCTGGGAGTGACTGACTTCAAACTCCGACAATATTTCGTAGGCAAAAATGTAAATATTCAATCAAATCAAGTTAGAAAGGGACTAGGGTTATAGAGTAGGGTACATAGATTTAATTTCTAATAAACTTCCCTCATGAAATTACTACATAAGCACATTTTGAATTGTTATGGAGTTTCTGGAGCGCGCAATGAAATTAATGTTATGAATGCTACGAAATTTCAGTTTGCTCAAAAACAATTTGTTGGCGCTCGATTGATTTTGTCGCGCGCAGTAACTCACGTGCTATTCGAATGCATCCAGGAGTGGGGGGGGAGGGGGGGCTAGCTAGAGTATTGACAGCTTTTGGGAGAACATACCAGAGTGCTCCAGCTCTAACTGCGAATGAATTGTCGTAGCTGATGCTTTTTTGTGAGAGATGTTGGGGGGGGGGGGGGGGGGGGGGGGGGGGTTGTTGCCTTATGTTTTGTGAGAGATGTTGGGGGGTGTTACCTTATGTTGGGGGGGGGGGGGGGGGGGGGTGTTACCTTATGTTGGGGGGTGTTACCTTATGTTGGGGGGATGTTACCTTATGTTGGGGGGATGTTACCTTATGTTGGGGGGTTGTTACCTTATGTTGGGGGGGTGTTACCTTATGTTGGGGGGGGGGGGGTTGTTACCTTATGTTGGGGGGGGGGGTGTTACCTTATGTTGGGGGGGGGGTGTTACCTTATGTTGGGGGGGGGGGGTGTTACCTTATGTTGGAGGGGGGGGGTTGTTACCTTATGTTGGGGGGGGGGGTGTTACCTTATGTTGGGGGGGGGTTGTTACCTTATGTTGGGGGGGGGGTTGTTACCTTATGTTGGGGGGGGGGGTTGTTACCTTATGTTGGAGGGGGGGTGTTACCTTATGTTGGGGGGGGGGGGTGTTACCTTATGTTGGAGGGGGGGGGGTTGTTACCTTATGTTGGGGGGGGGGGGTGTTACCTTATGTTGGGGGGGGGTTGTTACCTTATGTTGGGGGGGGTTACCTTATGTTGGGGGGGGGGGTTGTTACCTTATGTTGGAGGGGGGGTGTTACCTTATGTTGGGGGGGGGGGGGTGTTACCTTATGTTGGAGGGGGGGGGGGGTGTTACCTTATGTTGGGGGGGGTGTTACCTTATGTTGGGGGTGTGGGTGTTACCTTATGTTGGGGGGGGGGGGGTGTTACCTTATGTTGGGGGGGTGTTACCTTATGTGGGGGGTGTGGGTTTTGTCCTATATTTGAATACTCCAAGAACCTTACGTGCCTTGTTAACCACGATATTGCTATGTGGTGTCCACATGTTGACTCCTATATTTTGTATAGTTTTTAACCTCACTCAAAAATTACATTTCTTCTGAAAATGTTTAAGAGGCAGATATTCTTAAGCAAACAAGGGTACAAACAACTTCAAACTTGTTTTCGTGCAACTTGAATATGGGAAAAATTTTTAACTGATCTAAAATTCTCAGGTCAAGAACGCCCTGAAAATATACTTCAACCCACTTGGTCGGTCCGGCATTGAGGGATTTTTGAGAGAGCTTGAAAACGTGACTCAATTATTAGAGGAGTCAACTTACTTCAAGGAACATGAGGTCGGTAATGTAAAATATATATAGACATATAAACAGCTGATAATACAACGAAATAAACAGAATTAATAAACATATATCAAATTAGTCCACTGCGAACCTACTAAATTACCAGTTTGCTGACTGTGTGTTGCTAATTAACGAATGTTTGTTCGTCAGTTTGTCGGTACGTCGCTCCTCTTTGTGTACGACAGAGAACGAGTTGGTATCTGGTTGATAGACTTTGGCAAGACTACGGAAATAAGCGAGCTGGTAGAGGGCGGTCAGATAACACACGATAAACCCTGGGAGCTGGGGAACTACGAGGACGGATACTTCTTCGGACTGCGCAGTCTCCTTACGGTACGACCCGGGTTTCGCTGTAAAGGAAATTTAATAAAGATCCTAAATTTGACATAGTTTGTAAATTTGATATAAATTTTAAATTTAATAAAGATTTTAATTTGATAAAATATGTTTCCCAGAGATCACAAAGTCACATTCATTATCTGCTGTCATATAACATACATTCATATAACATAATATCTACTGTCATATATATCCCTCAATCAGCTTGAGAACTAGTGCCGGTATATCAGCTTGGGAACTAGTGCCGGTATATCAGCTTGAGAACTAGTGCCGGTATATCAGCTTGAGAACTAGTGCCGGTATATTAGCTTGAGAACTAGTGCCGGTATATCAGCTTGGGAACTAGTGCCGGTATATTAGCTTGAGAACTAGTGCGGGTATATTAGCTTAAGAACTAGTGCCGGTATATCAGCTTGAGAACTAGTGCCGGTATATTAGCTTGAGAACTAGTGCCGGTATATTAGCTTGAGAACTAGTGCCGGTATATTAGCTTGAGAACTAGTGCCGGTATATCAGCTGAGAACTAGTGCCGGTATATCAGCTTGAGAATAGTGCCGGTATATCAGCTTGAGAACTAGTGCCGGTATATTAGCCTGGGAAACTAGAGAACTAGACTAGTGCGGTATATCAGCTTGAGAAACTGTGCCGGTAAAAAAGCTTGAGAACTGTGCCGGGATATCTTGAAACTATGCCGGGGTAAAATTACTTGAGAACTTGCCGGGATATTAGCTTGAGAACTAGTGCCGGGATACAAATGAAACTAGTGCGGGATTCGCTTGGAACTGTGCGGATAAAATTAGCTTGAGAAAATAGGCCGGTTAATTCACTTGAAACTAGGCCGGTATATTAGATTGAGAATAGTGGGGGAAAAAAGCTTTAGAACTATGCCGGTTTTTCAAAATTGAGAAAATAGTGCCGGAAAAATCACTTGAGAAAAAAGGCTGGTAATCGCTTAGAACTAGTGCCGGGATTAGCTTGAGAAACTTGCCCCTATATTAGCTTGGAAAGTTTCCCCGGGATATTGCTTTTTAAAAATAGTTTTTTGGTTATTTTTGAGACTGTTTTCCCTATTTAGCTTTAAACGTGGGGGCCGGATACTCTTGAGAACTAATTCGGTTAAAAATTGCTAAAACTAGTGCGGGTAAAAAATTAGCTTGAAACTAAGCGGAAAAACAGCTTTTAGAAATAGTGCCGTATATCAACTTGAAACTATGCCTTTTATATTAAACTGAAACTAGTGCCCCGGGATAAGCTTGAGAACTAGTGCCGGTATATCTTTGAGAACTAGGGCCGGGATATCAGTTAAACTAGTGCGGTATTCCCCGCTTTTTAAAAGTGCCCCGGTATATCAGCTTAGAAATAGTGCCCCTATATTGTTGAGAACTATTCGGATATTTTGCTTGAGAAAAAATGGCCGGTAAATTAAGTTGAGAATAGTCCTTTTAAAAAATTTGGATATGGGTTAAAGTTGGGAATAGGGGTTATAGTTTAAAATTGGGGAAAATTTTTTGAATTTTTGTTTGGGAAATTTGAAATATGCTGGTGTTCAGCTTGGAAAAAGTGCCTTAATTTTGCTTGAGAACAAATGCCGGTTTTTAGCTTTTTAGAAATAGTGCCGGGGAATCAGCTTTTAAACTAGTGTGGGTATATTAGCTTAGAACAGTTATATATTAGTTAAAAATTTCCAAAACCTTGAGAAATAGGCGGTTATCACTTGGAACAAAATGCCGGTAAAAAAGCTTGAAAAAAGGCCGTAAAAAAGTGAGTTTGTGCCCCTAAAAAACACTTTAAACATTTCCCGGAAAAATTACTTTGGGAAAAATTTGGTTCCAATTTTGGAAAAATAGTCCCGGAAAATTACTTAAAACTAGGCCGGTAAAATCAGCTTGGAAACTAGTCCGGTATACAGCTAGAACTGTGCGGGTAAAAACTTAGAACTAGTGTCAGTTTAAAAGCTTGAGAAACTAGTCATATTTACTTAGAAACTATGCCCTAAATTAGGCTTGAAATAGTGCCGGTATTTACTTGAAACAAGTCGTATATAGCTTGAGAATATGCAGTATATTAGCTTGAGACCCTAACAATAACTTAAAGTGCCGGAAAATTACTTGAAAACTAGTGCAGTTATTAGCTTGAGAACTAGTGCAGATATATTAGCTTGAGAACTAGTGCCGGTATATTAGCTTGAGAACTAGTGCCGGTATATCAGCTTGAGAACTAGTGCGGTATATCAGCTTGAGAACTAGTGCCGGTATATTAGCTTGAGAACTAGTGCCGGTATATCAGCTTGAGAACTAGTGCCGGTATATCAGCTTGAGAACTAGTGCGGGTATATTAGCTTGAGAACTAGTGTCAGTATATTAGCTTGAGAACTAGTGCCGGTATATTAGCTTGAGAACTAGTGCCGGTATATTAGCTTGAGAACTAGTGCCGGTATATTAGCTTGAGAACTAGTGCCGGTATATTAGCTTGAGAACTAGTGCCGGTATATCAGCTTGAGAACTAGTGCCGGTATATCAGCTTGAGAACTAGTGCCGGTATATCAGCTTGAGAACTAGTGCCGGTATATTAGCTTGAGAACTAGTGCCGGTATATTAGCTTGAGAACTAGTGTCGGTATATCAGCTTGAGAACTAGTGCCGGTATATTAGCTTGAGAACTAGTGCCGGTATATTAGCTTGAGAACTAGTGCCGGTATATTAGCTTGAGAACTAGTGCCGGTATATCAGCTTGAGAACTAGTGCCGGTATATTAGCTTGAGAACTAGTGCCGGTATATTAGCTTGAGAACTAGTGCCGGTATATCAGCTTGAGAACTAGTGCCGGTATATTAGCTTGAGAACTAGTGCCGGTATATTAGCTTGAGAACTAGTGCCGGTATATCAGCTTGAGAACTAGTGCCGGTATATTAGCTTGAGAACTAGTGCCGGTATATTAGCTTGAGAACTAGTGCCGGTATATTAGCTTGAGAACTAGTGCCGGTATATCAGCTTGAGAACTAGTGCCGGTATATCAGCTTGAGAACTAGTGCCGGTATATTAGCTTGAGAACTAGTGCCGGTATATCAGCTTGAGAACTAGTGCCGGTATATTAGCTTGAGAACTAGTGCCGGTATATCAGCTTGAGAACTAGTGCCGGTGTATTAGCTTGAGAACTAGTGCCGGTATATCAGCTTGAGAACTAGTGCCGGTATATTAGCTTGAGAACAACATACATGCTACATGAAGAGGTCTCCTCCTAGTCGAACATGTTCCTCCATTCCACTCGCTTTAGCGCCAACTGTTTTACTGCATCTCTGCTGATGTTATCGACACCTGTAAATTCAGCTGCATCCTCGAGTACACAGGCCATCCAGCCTTTGCGGGGTCGTCCTCTCAGTCTATTTCCATAGTTTGGTTTCCAATCCAGTAAAAAATTGGGAAACCGTGTCTCTGGCATTCTGACAACATGTCCGTACTCCGTACCACCTTAGTCTAGCCGAACCGATGAAAGTTTCAATAGACTTGATTCCAGCACGCCTGAGAACTTCTTCATTGGAGACGTGGAAGAACCACTTTATCTTCAAGATTCTTCTCAGGGAGGTTAGATGGAAGACCTCAAACCGTTTCATCTGCTTCTTTGTTGTGTTCCAGACTTCAGCTCCATATAACAGAATGGTAATAACAGCAGCCTTGTAGATACGGATCTTGGTGGGCGTTCTTATAGTTCGACTGTTCCATATCTTCCAGGAGCTGAAGATGCAGTGTCCACACTGTTCACAACTACAGGAGCTGAAGATGCAGTGTCCACACTGTTCACAACTGAAGTATAGTAACCATGGTAACGCGCTACTAATACTACACATTCTGATAGTGATAATCAGTTGATTAACGTGTTTCTCTCAATTTGTCGTAGTAAAGTAGTATATAATGTGTAGTGCTTTACAGCTGGAGATATTTCTCGTTCTATTTGATTAATCAAGCTCTCTCTCGGTGTCTCAGAGCGCTCTCTTGCTTGTGTTCTCAGCACTTTCTAACTTCCTAACGTCTTCTCAAGCCTTCACATGCCTCCTTTCTCTTGATAGCCTTCACATGCCTCCTTTCTCTTGATAGCCTTCACATGCCTCCTTTCTCTTGATAGCCTTCACATGCCTCCTTTCTCTTGATAGCCTTCACATGCCTCCTTTCTCTTGATAGCCTTCACATGCCTCCTTTCTCTTGATAGCCTTCACATGCCTCCTTTCTCTTGATAACCTTCACATGCCTCCTTTCTCTTGATAGCCTTCACATGCCTCCTTTCTCTTGATATTCGCTTTCTGCTATCGCTCTTCACTTCTGCGGCACTCATTTCACCTATCATTGCCATTAACCTATTTCACGTGACATAACATACCACTGTATACCACTACATACCACTGTATACCACTACATACCACTGTATACCACTACATACCACTGTATACCACTGTACCATATCACTATCACTGATTGGCTGGGAAACAGTAAGCGGCACCCCCCCCCCCCCCCAAACAGTAAGCGGCACCCCCCCCCCCCCCCCCAAACAGTATGAATGGCTAAGCGGTTATGTTTTAGAAGAGGACTGCTTCAGGTTGTGAAGGAGATTTACGACGAGAGAGAAGAAGGAGAGGAGGCATCACAGTACACCACAATTCGTGTCAACTGAGCACTTACCCTGCTCTTCGCATGAGCTTGCTATCAGACACTCTTCAGTAGGAACCTAGTCACCTCGCTACACTCTCCAGTAGAAACCTAGTCACCTCGCTACACTCTCCAGTAGAAACCTAGTCACCTCGCCATCAGTTTATATCTTGTGCTTTTCAAAACAACAGAAACATTTGCGTGGTGTGACGTTATGTCACGTGGTGTAACGTCATGACACGTGGTGTGAAGTCGTTTGCATCTTCAGCAGCCTAAGAAATATCGGTGATAAAAATTTGATTCACAACATGAAAAATCACAATTTCCACGACATCTTTGGGACAAAAAATGGAAATCCCGATTTGTTACAAAATACGTGGTATTTTTAACATTCTGTGACTTTTTTGATCTTTTTTGGGTACCGTTGACCTAAGACCTGGTGTAACTTGAAGGGGCATGAGCGAGCTGATCTAGTTTTAGTACGTTATAATATAGTATAGCAGGTATATATAAAACCCTGCTCTAGTACTAATGTTGTATCTTTTTATCGTGATAGTGTATGTTGTTATTGGACGTTTTAATTATAATATTGTACTAATATTGTACTAATATTGTACTAATGTTGTACTAATATTGTACTAATATTGTACTAATACTGTACTAATATTGTACTTATGTTGTACTAATATTGTACTAATATTGTACTAATGTTGTACTAATACTGTACTAATATTGTACTTATGTTGTACTAATATTGTACTAATGTTGTACTAATGAAGAGGCAGCTACGTTATCCAGGAGTTCCCTTTCTCACATCTCCTAACTTTGTTCTCATTGGCTCGAGTCTCCGTGCTGACTCGCCATTGGTTTGTTGGGGGCCTGGTAAGGTATCAGCTGAAAACATCTGGTTCACAGGAGACCACTAATTAGAGGGAACTGCGAAGTGTGTTAAAGTGGTTAAAGTGGTTCAAGTGGTTAAAGTGGTTAAAGTGGTTAAAGTGGTTAAAGTGGTTAAAGTGGTTAAAGTGGTTAAAGTTGAGCAGGCGTATAACAAAACAAATCCGATGAAAACAATTTCTGGATAACTTAGCTTCGTATTATAATGAACTTTTAAATTCAATTTCTGATTAACCTCTATGATTTAACTAATCTTAATCTTAAATCTAGCTGAAACTTTTTAAATAACTTGATTAAAATTATCTCTTTTGCACCAGTGGGCGTCTTAGTTTTGAAACTTTTAAAAAGCGTGACATTCAATTTTGCCTTTTTTTGAAAAGATTGTGTTAGTTTTTAACTGTCTTTATTTTTATATTGACACGCCTTTACAGATATATGAGGGAACGATTAAGCATGAAGCATTTAATAAAGAACACGTGATATTTTGATAATTGCATAGTACATACCTGGGTCTTTAGCTCACTATAACTATAACCTATACTATAACTAGGAGTTGGTAGTACATAATACATTGGTAACTTAAATGAGTGTTTTCAAATGTCCAGGGAAACAGATAGTCCTATGTGAGTTAGTAAGAACATTAGTTTCTCAGACCGCCTTAAATAAATCTTCTCCTTTCTACAGTTCTTGTTATATAATATAGCACGATTTAATTATCTTGATAGTCAATACCCTGATTTCCTGTGAAATGAGAAGAATATTTTCAGAGTGAATATTATTTGATAATATGTACTGTCGGTATGCAAATATAGTAACCATGGTAACGCGCATTTTCAAATTTATCACTTGGCTAATCCTTTCTTTTATCTGTGTCACATTATATAAAAGTCACTATTGTGACGGTACATTAGAACATTACACATACCTGATCACTGAATCCAGTAAACTCGGCGCAAAGTCCTGCGTTATAGACCACGCATTTGTAACACAATATCATCACCTCTCTCACCATTACAACACATTCCACTACCACACCCCACCTCTCTCACCATTACAACACATTCCACTACCACACCCCCACCTCGCTCACCATTACAACACATTCCACTACCACACCCCCACCTCGCTCACCATTACAACACAGTCCACTACCAACCCCCCCTCACCATTACAACACAGTCCACTACCACCCCCCCACCATTACAACACAGTCCACTACCCCCCCCCCCCCCCACCCCACTTCGCTCACCATTACAACACACTACCACCCCCCCCCCCCTCACCATTACAACACAGTCCACTACCACCCCCCCACCATTACAACACAGTCCACTACCACCCCCCCCCCCCCCCTCACCATTACAACACAGTCCACTACCCCCCCCCCCTCACCATTACAACACAGTCCACTACCACCCCCCCACCATTACAACACAGTCCACTACCACCCCCCCCCCCCCCTCACCATTACAACACACTACCACCCCCCCCCCCCCCCTCACCATTACAACACAGTCCACTACCACCCCCCCACCATTACAACACAGTCCACTACCCCCCCCCCCCCCCCCCACCCCACTTCGCTCACCATTACAACACACTACCACCCCCCCCCCCCCCCCCCTCACCATTACAACACAGTCCACTACCACCCCCCCACCATTACAACACAGTCCACTACCACCCCCCCCCCCTCACCATTACAACACAGTCCACTACCACCCCCCCCCCCCCCTCACCATTACAACACAGTCCACTACCACCCCCCCCCCCTCACCATTACAACACAGTCCACTACCAGCCCCCCCCCCCCCCCCCCCCCCCCTTACTAATATTTTCACTTTTATTGCTCCTTCTGTTATAGACCGTGCTTTATACTTCTTTCATTGTCGGTTGAGTAAGTTACACTCTTTTTTCTTGCGTTTGACATGTACCCCACTGTATTCCAAAAGGTTTTGTTATGTAAAACACCTCCCCCAGATAGCTGGGTGCTATGAGACTTCATGGTACACCCTCATGTAGGATGCCTTGCTGACTATCTATCTCACCGGTCTACAGACACCCTACTAAACATTTCACAGACCCTCGATCCAGACTCTTATCACGTGACATGCCATTTCAAACTCCTCCTCTCCAACCCTAAAGACAACCTAGGTACTTTAGTCAGGATAGTAGGTCCTCTAAACACCACCTAGGTACTTTAGTCAGGATAGTAGGTCCTCTAAACACCACCCAGGTACTTTAGTCAGGATAGTAGGTCCTCTAAACACCACCTAGGTACTTTAGTCAGGATAGTAGGTCCTCTAAACACCACCTAGGTACTTTAGTCAGGATAGTAGGTCCTCTAAACACCACCTAGGTACTTTAGTCAGGATAGTAGGTCCTCTAAACACCACCTAGGTACTTTAGTCAGGATAGTAGGTCCTCTAAACACCACCTAGGTACTTTAGTCAGGATAGTAGGTCCTCTAAACACCACCTAGGTACTTTAGTCAGGATAGTAGGTCCTCTAAACACCACCTAGGTACTTTAGTCAGGATAGTAGGTCCTCTAAACACCACCTAGGTACTTTAGTCAGGATAGTAGGTCCTCTAAACACCACCTAGGTACTTTAGTCAGGATAGTAGGTCCTCTAAACACCACCTAGGTACTTTAGTCAGGATAGTAGGTCCTCTAAACACCACCTAGGTACTTTAGTCAGGATAGTAGGTCCTCTAAACACCACCTAGGTACTTTAGTCAGGATAGTAGGTCCTCTAAACACCACCTAGGTACTTTAGTCAGGATAGTAGGTCCTCTAAACACCACCTAGGTACTTTAGTCAGGATAGTAGGTCCTCTAAACACCACCTAGGTACTTTAGTCAGGATAGTAGGTCCTCTAAACACCACCTAGGTACTTTAGTCAGGATAGTAGGTCCTCTAAACACCACCTAGGTACTTTAGTCAGGATAGTAGGTCCTCTAAACACCACCTAGTTACTTTGGTCAGGATAGTAGGTCCTATAAACACCACCTAGGTACTTTAGTCAGGATAGTAGGTCCTCTAAACACCACCTAGGTACTTTAGTCAGGATAGTAGGTCCTCTAAACACCACCTAGGTACTTTAGTCAGGATAGTATGTCCTCTAAACACCACCTAGGTACTTTAGTCAGGATAGTAGGTCCTCTAAACACCACCTAGGTACTTTAGTCAGGATAGTAGGTCCTCTTAACACCACCTAGGTACTTTAGTCAGGATAGTAGGTCCTATAAACACCACCTAGGTACTTTAGTCAGGATAGTAGGTCCTCTAAACACCACCTAGGTACTTTAGTCAGGATAGTAGGTCCTCTAAACACCACCTAGGTACTTTAGTCAGGATAGTATGTCCTCTAAACACCACCTAGGTACTTTAGTCAGGATAGTAGGTCCTCTAAACACCACCTAGGTACTTTAGTCAGGATAGTAGGTCCTCTAAACACCACCTAGGTACTTTAGTCAGGATAGTAGGTCCTCTAAACACCACCTAGGTACTTTAGTCAGGATAGTAGGTCCTCTAAACACCACCTAGGTACTTTAGTCAGGATAGTATGTCCTCTAAACACCACCTAGGTACTTTAGTCAGGATAGTAGGTCCTCTAAACACCACCTAGGTACTTTAGTCAGGATAGTAGGTCCTCTAAACACCACCTAGGTACTTTAGTCAGGATAGTAGGTCCTCTAAACACCACCTAGGTACTTTAGTCAGGATAGTAGGTCCTCTTAACACCACCTAGGTACTTTAGTCAGGATAGTAGGTCCTATAAACACCACCTAGGTACTTTAGTCAGGATAGTAGGTCCTCTAAACACCACCTAGGTACTTTAGTCAGGATAGTAGGTCCTCTAAACACCACCTAGGTACTTTAGTCAGGATAGTAGGTCCGTTAAACACCACCTAGGTACTTTAGTCAGGATAGTAGGTCCTCTAAACACCACCTAGGTACTTTAGTCAGGATAGTAGGTCCTCTAAACACCACCTAGGTACTTTAGTCAGGATAGTAGGTCCTCTAAACACCACCTGTACCTAGGTACTTTAGTCAGGATAGTAGGTCCTCTAAACACCACCTAGGTACTTTAGTCAGGATAGTAGGTCCTCTAAACACCACCTAGGTACTTTAGTCAGGATAGTAGGTCCTCTAAACACCACCTAGGTACTTTAGTCAGGATAGTAGGTCCTCTAAACACCACCTGTACCTAGGTACTTTAGTCAGGATAGTAGGTCCTCTAAACACCACCTAGGTACTTTAGTCAGGATAGTAGGTCCTCTAAACACCACCTAGGTACTTTAGTCAGGATAGTATGTCCTCTAAACACCACCTAGGTACTTTAGTCAGGATAGTAGGTCCTCTTAACACCACCTAGGTACTTAAGTCAGGATAGTAGGTCCTCTAAACACCACCTAGGTACTTTAGTCAGGATAGTAGGTCCTCTAAACACCACCTGTACCTAGGTACTTTAGTCAGGATAGTAGGTCCTCTAAACACCACCTAGGTACTTTAGTCAGGATAGTAGGTCCTCTAAACACCACCTAGGTACTTTAGTCAGGATAGTATGTCCTCTAAACACCACCTAGGTACTTTAGTCAGGATAGTAGGTCCTCTTAACACCACCTAGGTACTTAAGTCAGGATAGTAGGTCCTCTAAACACCACCTAGGTACTTTAGTCAGGATAGTAGGTCCTCTAAACACCACCTAGGTACTTTAGTCAGGATAGTAGGTCCTCTAAACACCACCTAGGTACTTTAGTTAGGATAGTAGGTCCTCTAAACACCACCTAGGTACTTTAGTCAGGATAGTAGGTCCTCTAAACACCACCTAGGTACTTTAGTCAGGATAGTAGGTCCTCTAAACACCACCTAGGTACTTTAGTCAGGATAGTAGGTCCTCTAAACACCACCTAGGTACTTTAGTCAGGATAGTAGGTCCTCTAAACACCACCTAGGTACTTTAGTCAGGATAGTAGGTCCTCTAAACACCACCTAGGTACTTTAGTCAGGATAGTATGTTCTCTAAACACCACCCAGGTACTTTAGTCAGGATAGTAGGTCCTCTAAACACCATCTAGTTACTTTGGTCAGGATAGTAGATCCTCTAAAGACCACCTAGTTTCTTTAGTCAGGATAGTATGTCCTCTAAACACCACCTAGGTACTTTAGTCAGGATAGTAGGTCCTCTAAACACCACCTAGGTACTTTAGTCAGGATAGTAGGTCCTATAAACACCACCTAGGTACTTTAGTCAGGATAGTAGGTCCTCTAAACACCACCTAGGTACTTTAGTCAGGATAGTAGGTCCTCTAAACACCACCTAGTTACTTTGGTCAGGATAGTAGGTCCTCTAAAGACCACCTAGGTACTTTAGTCAGGATAGTAGGTCCTCTAAACACCACCTAGGTACTTTAGTCAGGATAGTAGGTCCTCTACATTCTTCAACAGTAATGGTACCGGTTATAGTTACAGTTACTGTAAAACTAATATTAATTGTAATACTATAGGCCCCTGGAGTTGGAAAAGCGGAGAATCTATCACACCTCAGAAGACGAGAGTAAAGAAAGGATCGCCCCCCTCAGCAATAGTCCCTCCTACACGACTATCTCATCCTTTCTCTTTCTGTCACCTCACTAACTACATTTACCCTAGCCCCTACCTCAGAGAATACTGCAATTTGGTGTCAGATTCTCAGCCGGACCACATTAACAACACCAGAGTAAGTCTCTCCTGGGGGCCATGTTAACAGCACCAGAGTAAGTCTCTCCTGGGGGCCATGTTAACAACACCAGAGTAAGTCTCTCCTGGGGCCATGTTAACAGCACCAGAGTAAGTCTCTCCTGGGGGCCATGTTAACAGCACCAGAGTAAGCATCTCCTGGGGGCCATGTTAACAGCACCAGAGTAAGCATCTCCTGGGGGCCATGTTAACAGCACCAGAGTAAGTCTCTTCTGGGGGCCATGTTAACAGCACCAGAGTAAGTCTCTCCTGGGGGCCACGTTAACAGCACCAGAGTAAGTCTCTCCTGGGGGCCATGTTAACAGCACCAGAGTAAGTCTCTCCTGGGGGCCACGTTAACAGCACCAGAGTAAGTCTCTCCTGGGGACCACGTTAACAGCACCAGAGTAAGTCTCTCCTGGGGGCCATGTTAACAGCACCAGAGTAAGTCTCTGCTGGGGGCCATGTTAACAGCACCAGAGTAAGTCACTCCTGGGGGCCATGTTAACAGCACCAGAGTAAGTCTCTCCTGGGGGCCATGTTAACAGCACCAGAGTAAGTCTGTCCTTGGGGGCCATGTTAACAGCACCAGAGTAAGCATCTCCTGGGGGCCATATTAACAGCACCAGAGTAAGTCTCTCCTGGGGGCCATGTTAACTGCACCAGAGTAAGTCTCTCCTGGGGGCCATGTTAACAGCACCAGAGTAAGTCTCTCCTGGGGGCCATGTTAACAGCACCAGAGTAAGTCTCTCCTGGGGGCCATGTTAACAGCGCCAGAGTAAGTCTCTGCTGGGGGCCATGTTAACAGCACCAGAGTAAGTCACTCCTGGGGGCCATGTTAACAGCACCAGAATAAGTCTCTCCTGGGGGCCACATTAACAGCACCAGAGTAAGTCTCTCCTGGGGGCCATCTTAACAGCACCAGAGTAAGTCTCTTCTGGGGGCCATGTTAACAGCACCAGAGTAAGCATCTCCTGGGGGCCATGTTAACAGCACCAGAGTAAGTCTCTCCTGGGGGCCATGTTAACAGCACCAGAGTAAGTCTCTCCTGGGGGCCACGTTAACAGCACCAGAGTAAGTCTCTCCTGGGGGCCATGTTAACAGCACCAGAGTAAGCATCTCCTGGGGGCCATGTTAACAGCACCAGAGTAAGTCTCTCCTGGGGGCCATGTTAACAGCACCAGAGTAAGTCTCTCCTGGGGGCCATGTTAACAGCACCAGAGTAAGTCTCTGCTGGGGGCCATGTTAACAGCACCAGAGTAAGTCTCTACTGGGGGCCATGTTAACAGCACCAGAGTAAGTCTCTGCTGGGGGCCATGTTAACAGCACCAGAGTAAGTCTCTCCTGGGGGCCATGTTAACAGCACCAGAGTAAGTGTCTGCTGGGGGCCATGTTAACAGCACCAGAGTAAGTCTCTGCTGGGGGCCATGTTTACAGCACCAGAGTAAGCATCTCCTGGGGGCCATGTTAACAGCACCAGAGTAAGTCACTCCTGGGGGCCATGTTAACAGCACCAGAGTAAGTCTCTCCTGGGGGCAATGTTAACAGCACCAGAGTAAGTCTCTCCTGGGGGCCATGTTAACAGCATTAGAGGAAGTCTCTCCTGGGGGCCATGTTAACAGCACTAGAGTAAGCATCTCCTGGGGGCCATGTTAACAGCACCAGAGTAAGTCTCTCCTGGGGGCCATGTTAACAGCACCAGAGTAAGTCTCTCCTGGGGGCCATGTTAACAACACCAGAGTAAGCATCTCCTGGGGGCCATGTTAACAGCACCAGAGTAAGTCTCTGCTGGGGGCCATGTTAACAGCACCAGAGTAAGTCTCTCCTGGGGGCCATGTTAACAGCACCAGAGTAAGCATCTCCTGGGGGCCATGTTAACAGCACCAGAGTAAGTCACTCCTGGGGGCCATGTTAACAGCACCAGAGTAAGTCTCTCCTGGGGGCCATGTTAACAGCACCAGAGTAAGTCTGTCCTTGGGGCCATGTTAACAGCACCAGAGTTAGTCTCTCCTGGGGGCCATGTTAACAGCACCAGAGTAAGTCTCTCCTGGGGGCCACATTAACAGCACCAGAGTAAGTCTCTCCTGGGGGCCATCTTAACAGCACCAGAGTAAGTCTCTTCTGGGGGCCATGTTAACAGCACCAGAGTAAGCATCTCCTGGGGGCCATGTTAACAGCACCAGAGTTAGTCTCTCCTGGGGGCCATGTTAACAGCACCAGAGTAAGCATCTCCTGGGGGCCATGTTAACAGCACCAGAGTAAGTCTCTCCACCAAAAGCACACTCTCTAATTTGCGCGCAATGTAATAACTTCTTTCAAACATCATGATTCGAGAACAAATGTTTTGGAATGTATTAAGAATCAATATGTTTTATAAATAACTTGGAATACTTTTGGAAGAGAATAAAAAGCACAACAACGCTATTGTCTTATTTCTCCGTAAAAAAGCACAATAGCGTGCGTAGTTCACTACTGCAAGCGAGAGGGCTCTGGTTAGAGCAACGTGAGTAGCTTTTGTCGAGGTGCCTCGAAAGTGATCTTAAACGATTCTCCATGTTTAATTTTGGTCAGTTCACGTCAACTTCAAACTTAGTGCAGAATAATGCAAGTTATAGAACTATTTCATACGTATCAAATTTTAATTAGATGTGCTTTCGGTGGAGATATAGCGCGCGTGCACGTGGAGGTATAGCCCGCGCCTTCCAGTAGTCTTGTTCATTGTTCATGAATTTTACCATCTTGGGCCCTGGCCTACCAAATATTGAGGCCATATTCGTTGGATATAGTCCGGATTTGTAAATTTGTAAGACTTTTATTCTAGTGCGATAATTATTTCGGTCATATTTTCTATAATACGGCCAATGCAATATCGAATAGCTTCAATAATAGCCATTTTTAAGTTGATGATTTTAGTTTTCCAACCTCCCAGTTACCCGAGCTGAAGATAAAACCTATAACCCTGCCCTGCCTGGGAGCCTGCAACTCTCGCAGTATTGTCAGCTCCGGACCCGGCATACTCACCAAGACACTCTGCCTCCAAAACGGTTCCGTGCAGAGCCCTTCTTCAGACTTCAAGCTTCCCTTCCTAAATATAGGTCAGCTTTTTCTGTTGCTTTCGTTGGTTAAGTCACAAACGGTATTTCATTACTTAAGTTGTAGTAGGTAGTGGACCCCCTACTACTAGTGTTACTACTAGTGTTACTACTAGTGTTACTACTAGTGTTACTACTAGTGTTACTACACTTGTAGTAGGTAGTGCACCCCCTACTACTAGTGTTACTACTAGTGTTACTACTAGTGTTACTACTAGTGTTACTACTAGTGTTACTACTAGTGTTACTACTAGTGTTTCTACTAGTGTTACTACTAGTGTTACTACTAGTGTTACTACTAGTGTTACTACTAGTGTTACTACTAGTGTTACTACTAGTGTTACTACTAGTGTTACTACTAGTGTTACTACTAGTGTTACTACTAGTGTTACTACTAGTGTTACTACACTTGTAGTAGGTAGTGCACGATGCAGATGTCAATCCTTCCTAGCTCGGCGAGGCCCAGTGGTGCATCTCGCCGATCTACGGTTGCGAGAAGCATTATTTGATGCGCGGCGCGACCCAGTATAAGTGCATCGCGCTACAAGCTACACGGTTAGTTAGATGGACAAAGCACATTTAACTTTTTAATTTTAAGCTTCTAAATATTGAAGGTATATTTGCAGGTAGCGGGGTTGTGCCGTTTAAAAAGAAGAGAGGCGAGCAGAATAAAAGAAAACAATCGTCATGTTCGCTTGTTAATCCTGGGATTAGACTTGTTCCATCGACCTGCCATCATCATTTGTCCCAAGAAAATTACTGTTTTGAAGCATGAAAACTCTAAAAATAAAGGAAAGAACCGACTCGGACTTCCAAAAATTTGAAAAGACACTTTATCACAAAGTGTGGAAGGGGCACAATGACAGGCCCAGCAGCCATATCTAATGTCATCCCGACAGTAGGGGAGCCATGCCGACCCTACAAATTACCTAATAACGATAACATTAATATTGTCGTTCAGACTCAGAGATTAAATTTGATTAAAACTGTTTTTATTGTAGTTTTAGTGTATTATAGTGTATACTGGGATAATCTTCTCTTTGGGAAGTAATTTTCCGACCTTAGAAGTTGGGGTAGCAATTTAACACTAGGTTTTGTGTAAGCACGCTAGTTTAATTAGGAAATAATTAGTAGGTACAGTTGATCCCGGTCAAGGAATCCAAATTGTTGAAAAACTCGAGACTGAAAATATGATGTGTCACAGAAAGGCTAAAAGTGTCACGTGCATATACACACCCTGTATTGGCAATAGTGAGGGGGGAAGTTAGGACCAGGATAAGTCCCCGCTGTAGCATAACAATGCTTTGCTTCCAATGCGCGTGGCACGTGATGCGCGCGTGATTATCGTCACGTGCAGGTCACGTGACTTCTCATGATGCTTATCATTGGATTGTGCAGCCTCATGGTTTATTACACTTGTATCGCATATGTGGGATGCTATATTTTTTGGGAAGTGTTCCAAAAATATCACTTTCTAATAATATGTGTGTCAATGTTGCTTTTTCTACAATTCCTGTCCCTTTGTAAAAACAGTGTGGACGTTATGAACACTATTACACTAAGATTAGCGGGTCATACCCGTAGTTTAAGAGTGGTTTCACTATTTAATAAACTAATTAATATAGGGTGATTTTAAAATTGAAGTTAACATGATATTGATAATGAATGATTCACAATAATTTTCCCACAGATCGTAATTCTAGAATTAATGCATAATACACCTTTATACTTTATACAGACTCGAATAATCAGAATAATCGCATATTTTATATATCATTTATTCAACGAAAGTTTTAAATAAGTTAATAACAAAGCATTTATCATTTCACATGCTAAATAAGAAAAGGTTTATTTATCACGATGTTACGTAATATGTCTTGTTAACTCATTCTATATCTCCAAACTATTTTCATCTTTGACAAAAGTAACAAAACGACGTATACTTCTTTAACTTGCCCGATAACATTTTGTAAAGATATACATATATATATTTTATTCATATATATATCAAAATTATTCAATAAACATAAAAGCATAATAAAACTTTTTAAAAATGGTAAAATAACCAAGCAATAAAATTGTGACTATCGACCGCTTAATAACTCTACTGTTGTTAACAGATAAATAATTTACTATAATGTTAGAACACGAACACACACACACACACACACACACACACACACACACACACACACACACACACACACACACACACACACAGCACACACACACACACACACACACACACACACACACACACACACACACACACACACACACACACACACACACACACACACACACACACACACACACACACACACACACACACACACACACACACACACACACACACACAATTGACTTTTCTACTACCAGAACAGTTTGGCCGTCTAAAACTAGACTAGAAAAAATGTGATGGAGAATGTTTAATGTTTGATGAAGCAAATATGGGAAAAATACAACGTATAAAATTAATTTAAACACAAAAAGGAACAATAGTAACTTGGTAACTATAGTAACTATAGTAGTTACTAATACTATAGTATAGTAACCAAAGAAGTCAATATGATGATAATTGTGTGAATGTTGCTTCACAAGCTATCCCACGACCAATAGAACCAGGCTGTCTGATCTAACTGTCTGTATATAGTAATACTATATAGTAATCTGTAGTGTCCAGGTTTCCAGCAGGAACCTTCCTTTAGTTATTACTCTCAGGGAGTAGTACTGATAGGGATACTAGTTGGAGATCTACTTCGTGTCTCCGTGTCCTTGCTTACTGCCCCCTTGCTTACTGCCCCCTTGCTTACTGCCCCCTTGTTTTTAGACAGAGTGGCTGCGAGGTGGTTCAGTTTATCCAGTGCTTCTCTCAGTACTTTGTTCTCGGACTGCAAGTTCTGAAATTGAGGTTTGAGTTAAAATGGAAGTGAGAACTTGTTAATGATGGGAATGTTTTAATGTCATTAGTTTCTGATATGATAGTTAGTGATTAACGAGTAACTGAATGATGAGGTTATCAATTAGGCTGTCAATCAGTGTACCTGCAGACTAATGAGTGTAATAGGTCACGTGAACAGGTATCAACATTGAACAGAGCTGATGAGGCGTGCTGGTCTGTCAGTGCTATACATCACACTAACTGAGCCAGTGTGAGCCAATGTCCCCCACATGGAACGAGGAGTAACTATTAGACTGTGAGAGGATTGTGGTGCCGTACACACTTTAGCCTCACGGGACGCGTCCCGGTTACACAGAGCTGCACCCAGTGTATTCTAATTACTGGCCGCTAAGAGCGGGGGCGTGTCTTGAGAGGAGCACAATGGAGCTGTGTGCCAGGTAACTAAACACCCAACTCTCTAGTCAACCAATGAGCTACATTTAACTAGGAGTGGCAAATTCCAGAATACAGAACACACTAACCAGGGTGTGCAGGTATGAAAATATGAAAATCATGAAGTCGCGTGAAATGAGTAAATTAAAGAAGATAGGACAAAAATAAAGTCCTGACCAGATAATTTTAAGCATTTGATAAAAAACAAAATAGCAAGCTACTGGGCCCCCCCCCCCCCCCCCCCAGCTACTCTTACCTCCATATCCTTCCGGAGTCGCGAGTTCTCGTTAGCTATAGCAGATCCGTGTTGAGTGGCAAAGGAGAGTTTAGCCTCGATAGTACCCAGGTACTCCTTCTTCCTCTTCCGACTGAGACAGGCTGACTCCCTGTTCTTTATCATCCTCTGCGTCTTCTTCCAGTTCCTGATCTCCTCTTCAGTCTTGAGATGGGAGGGGACCGTCATGACACATCTCCCTGCTCGTCTGACCTTGTTACTCTCCATCTTAAAGTTCTTCATCTGAGAGTAGTAGGAGTAGGCCTTGTCAGCAGTGATCATCTCCGGCACTTTCCTCCCTCCTTTCATCATCCGAGGAACTTCGGATACACCGGAGGAGGGTTTAGGACGTTTGTTAGCGGGAAACTGATGGTTGGAGTGTTTAGAGGAAGGTGGGTATTGTGTGTTGGCAGGGTTACCAGGGTTACCAGGGTTACCAGGGTTACCAGGGTTACCAGGGTTACCAGGGTTACCAGGGTTGTGCTGAGAGTTGGTTTGGTGCAGAGCTTCCTGGTTCTCTTGTTTCTTTATGTTGACTGATATGATGTTGGAGGATAGTTTCCTAGACGGGATGTAGATTTTGAAGCTCCGGTCACTCCGCATACAGTTCCGGAAGGCGTTTGTTTCGTAGCTGCCGCCTTCTGTTTTTATGATGACTGGCTTCCGTACCACTTCTGGTTTGACGGGAGGTTTTGAATCGTTTAGGAAGTCTGTACCGGTGTAGTTGTAAATGCTAGCATTAACTAACTCTTCGTTCTGCTTGGTAGGAGTCTTCACCGGATATCCTGGGTCAAGAGACTGAGGGGAGGACAAGGGGGAAGAAACCTCTTCTTTTACTGAGATATCATCAGTTGCTGTTGGAGTTGGTTCTCTGTGTAAGTTAAGGAAGGAGTCGGGATCACAAAGCTGGTCAGAGTCCAGGTCTGGTAAGGCGGAAAGTTCTTTAAACAAGTCATCTTCAAAATCTAGAGAGTTACTGGAACTGGGGGACACACCACTGCTGTAGTCTGAGAGTGAATCTATCTGGTCGTAGTCAAAATCCTCCAAATCTAGAAGGGTGGTGCTTGTAGGGGAGAAGATGTCGTCAACATCAAACTGAACCATTTTGCTAAGACTGGTGAAATTTGAACTAACTATTACAGGGTCTGGGTATTGTGCAAGTGCAGCAAAACAAAAGTTTAACAGGTTGAACTGTGGACCACTGTTTGTATAAGAGAACTGGGGAGTGCGGCCCCAATCAGCGCGCACTACACGTGTCACGTGGTGCGGTGTCACGTGACCCACAGCCGCGTCCAATGAGGCCCCCCTTAGCAACAACACGGGATGCCTAGCACTAGCTTCCTTATAGGGTTTAATTGTAGGAACAGGTCGCACTATGAGGGCGAGTATTGAGACTCACCTGGCGCTGGTGAATAGACTGTACGTAACCATGGTAACACTTGTTAGTCACGTGATTCTTGCTAAAGACCCCGTCAATTCTGTGACTTAAGTCGGGATGTAATAATAGACCATTAATTACCACCATTAGGGTGGTTGATTGTTTTGGTTTCTAAAGACCATTCCAAGGTAACAATAACATTGTACATCGTTCGCAGATGAGCAACAATAACAACGTACATTGTACACGAGGAGGAGGTGATGTACTCTGAACCAGCCGTTAATTTTACTAACAAAAGTTAAAACAATTATCATGGACCACGGGCCCTTTTATATAAATATTCTTTCTGAAGATGAGCTATATATTTATATCATTAAAATATTATACTTCATACCACATATCACAATAATGTATAAAGAAACGGGCAACAGTCAAATATGTTTGGCGATGAGCCAGTCAATTTCCATTGCTTCTAGTTTGAAAAACCTGAAGTATATAGTATAACTAATAACATGTAAAGATAATTCAGTTTATTGGGAAGTATAAATGATTAACATTTTCAAAACCTCTGTTACGATCTAAACACCATTAAAACAAGCATTTAAAAGTATTACATAACATTTAGCATCAAATTTAAACTTTATATTTTTCGCCTTGCGGAAAAAAATTAACAATGAATCATGAAACTTACAAGATTATAACTATTTTGTTCGACTGCACTGCAGTAATTACCTGGAGCAGAAAGCTTGGCAACTGCAGTTAAAATATTTTTTAAAACAAATGCAGAGTCACTATCATTGTAGGTCTAACACTTTTTACAAGATTTCTCGCAGTTTTTCTTCATGTAGTTAGCTTTGGTAGGATTGGAGCAATGTCCTTTCTGGGCCCTTTTCTTACATTTCTTTGGGTCCCTATCGTAGCAGTGCACCGGAGGGAGGTCTCCTTCTTCTTCTTCTTCTTCTTCTTCTTCTGCTTCACGAGGACAGCTGTTGCAAGATTTCTTGCAGTTTTCACGCATCCAATCCTGATAAGTGAGGTGAGCGCAGTAGCCAGCCACCGTCCAGGACTGACAGTTGGTGTTGTCGTCATTACAGGTTGGATTGGTTTTATCTTCAGGACAGGTCCGCAGGAGTGTCTGCAGTTCTGGGACATGTACTCCTGATGAGTTCCGGAGCAGTATCCAGCTGCCTGCCACGCCCTACAGTTGTCGTTCAGATCCCACACTCTTCAGGATGTGGGTCAGTTTCACCCTCCCTCTCCCCATCTCCCTCATTGCAGTTCATCAGCAGTTTTTGAGCATGCTCTTTAGACCTGGAAGTCTCGCACCGTTTAATGTAAGTGTTTCCGCAAGGGAATACCTTAGCGATTAGTTTGTAGAGCTCGTAATCGTAGCTTCTCAGTGCTTTCTTAGTGTTGACAGGGCCGTGGACACCATTCGGGGGATTAGAGTAGTCGTTAACATTAAACCAGCTCTGAACCCCTTCAGCCCAGTATTCCTTGTAAGTGCTCATGGAGTACGTGTTGGTCCACAGACCCTGAGACCGGCGGGCTCCGTACCAATACTGAAGACTGCTGTCTAGACCTGATACGCTGTACTTAGCTCCGAGGAGATGCACCCCGTGTGAGAACTCGTGCAGGAAGATATCCTCGTTGGAGTACGAGTCACTCGAGTAACAGAGGATGTTTTCTTCTCCTCCTGAAAATAGAGTGTTAAAAAGTACGCTACATGCTAGTGCACTGATTTAGAATCGGCGGTTTTTCAAGAAAACGTCGGTACTGTCAGCCAATCAAAATACACATGCTCTTTCAACCGTTTCTACAGTGAAGATACGTTTAGTAATATGTTCATAGTTTCAAGTAGTTCCTAACGTTTCAAGTAGTTCCTAACGTTTCAAGTAGTTCCTAACGTTTCAAGTAGTTCCTAACGTTTCAAGTAGTTCCTAACGTTTCAAGTAGTTCCTAACGTTTCAAGTAGTTCCTAACGTTTCAAGTAGTTCCTAACGTTTCAAGTAGTTCCTAACGTTTCATGTAGTTCCTAACGTTTCAAGTAGTTCCTAACGTTTCAAGTAGTTCCTAACGTTTCAAGTAGTTCCTAACGTTTCAAGTAGTTCCTAACGTTTCAAGTAGTTCCTAACGTTTCAAGTAGTTCCTAACGTTTCAAGTAGTTCCTAACGTTTCAAGTAGTTCCTAATGTTTCAAGTAGTTCCTAACGTTTCAAGTAGTTCCTAACATTTCAAGTAGTTCCTAACGTTTCAAGTAGTTCCTAACGTTTCAAGTAGTTCCTAACGTTTCAAGTAGTTCCTAACATTTCAAGTAGTTCCTAACGTTTCAAGTAGTTCCTAACGTTTCAAGTAGTTCCTAACGTTTCAAGTAGTTCCTAACGTTTCAAGTAGTTCCTAACGTTTCAAGTAGTTCCTAACGTTTCAAGTAGTTCCTAACATTTCAAGTAGTTCCTAACGTTTCAAGTAGTTCCTAACGTTTCAAGTAGTTCCTAACGTTTCAAGTAGTTCCTAACGTTTCAAGTAGTTCCTTACGTTTCAAGTAGTTCCTAACGTTTCAAGTAGTTCCTAACGTTTCAAGTAGTTCCTAACATTTCAAGTAGTTCCTAACGTTTCAAGTAGTTTCTAACGTTTCAAGTAGTTCCTAACGTTTCAAGTAGTTCCTAATGTTTCAAGTAGTTCCTAACGTTTCAAGTAGTTCCTAACGTTTCAAGTAGTTCCTAACGTTTCAAGTAGTTTCAAGTAGTTCCTAATGTTTCAAGTAGTTCCTAACGTTTCAAGTAGTTTCTAACGTTTCAAGTAGTTCCTAACGTTTCAAGTAGTTCCTAACGTTTCAAGTAGTTCCTAACGTTTCAAGTAGTTCCTAACGTTTCAAGTAGTTCCTAACGTTTCAAGTAGTTCCTAACGTTTCAAGTAGTTCCTAACGTTTCAAGTAGTTCCTTACGTTTCAAGTAGTTCCTAACGTTTCAAGTAGTTCCTAACGTTTCAAGTAGTTCCTAACGTTTCAAGTAGTTCCTAACGTTTCAAGTAGTTCCTAACGTTTCAAGTAGTTCCTAACGTTTCAAGTAGTTCCTAACGTTTCAAGTAGTTTCAAGTAGTTCCTAACGTTTCAAGTAGTTTCTAACGTTTCAAGTAGTTCCTAACGTTTCAAGTAGTTTCAAGTAGTTCCTAATGTTTCAAGTAGTTCCTAACGTTTCAAGTAGTTCCTAATGTTTCAAGTAGTTCCTAACGTTTCAAGTAGTTCCTAACGTTTCAAGTAGTTCCTAACGTTTCAAGTAGTTCCTAACGTTTCAAGTAGTTCCTAACGTTTCAAGTAGTTTCAAGTAGTTCCTAACGTTTCAAGTAGTTCCTAACGTTTCAAGTAGTTCCTAACATTTCAAGTAGTTCCTAACATTTCAAGTAGTTTCTAATGTTTCAAGTAGTTCCTAACGTTTCAAGTAGTTTCTAACGTTTCAAGTAGTTCCTAACGTTTCAAGTAGTTCCTAACGTTTCAAGTAGTTCCTAACGTTTCAAGTAGTTCCTAACGTTTCAAGTAGTTCCTAACGTTTCAAGTAGTTTCAAGTAGTTCCTAACGTTTCAAGTAGTTCCTAACGTTTCAAGTAGTTCCTAACGTTTCAAGTAGTTCCTAACGTTTCAAGTAAATCCTAACGTTTCAAGTAGTTCCTAACGTTTCAAGTAGTTCCTAACGTTTCAAGTAGTTCCTAACGTTTCGAGTAGTTCCTAACGTTCCAAGTAGTTCCTAACGTTTCAAGTAGTTCCTAACGTTTCAAGTAGTTCCTAACGTTTCAAGTAGTTCCTAACGTTTCAAGTAGTTCCTAACGTTTCAAGTAGTTCCTAACGTTTCAAGTAGTTCCTAACGTTTCAAGTAGTTCCTAACGTTTCAAGTAGTTCCTAACGTTTCAAGTAGTTCCTAACGTTTCAAGTAGTTCCTAACGTTTCAAGTAGTTCCTAACGTTTCAAGTAGTTCCTAACGTTTCAAGTAGTTCCTAACGTTTCAAGTAGTTCCTAACGTTTCAAGTAGTTCCTAACGTTTCAAGTAGTTCCTAACGTTTCAAGTAGTTCCTAACGTTTCAAGTAGTTCCTAACGTTTCAAGTAGTTCCTAACGTTTCAAGTAGTTCCTAACGTTTCAAGTAGTTCCTAACGTTTCAAGTAGTTCCTAACGTTTCAAGTAGTTCCTAACGTTTCAAGTAGTTCCTAACGTTTCAAGTAGTTCCTAACGTTTCAAGTAGTTCCTAACGTTTCAAGTAGTTCCTAACGTTTCAAGTAGTTCCTAACGTTTCAAGTAGTTCCTAACGTTTCAAGTAGTTCCTAACGTTTCAAGTAGTTCCTAACGTTTCAAGTAGTTCCTAACGTTTCAAGTAGTTCCTAACGTTTCAAGTAGTTCCTAACGTTTCAAGTAGTTCCTAACGTTTCAAGTAGTTCCTAACGTTTCAAGTAGTTCCTAACGTTTCAAGTAGTTCCTAATGTTTCAAGTAGTTCCTAACGTTTCAAGTAGTTCCTAACGTTTCAAGTAGTTCCTAACGTTTCAAGTAGTTCCTAACGTTTCAAGTAGTTCCTAACATTTCAAGTAGTTCCTAACGTTTCAAGTAGTTCCTAACGTTTTAAGTAGTTCCTAACGTTTCAAGTAGTTCCTAACATTTCAAGTAGTTCCTAACGTTTCAAGTACCCAGCCGGCAAAGTTGGTTGGATTAACGTTGTTTTGAGGTTGGAATTTACACTTTCCAACGTTGGGATTTAACGTTGTTTTAAAGTTAGGTAAACGTTGCACCACCAACGTTGAAAAGTTAACCTTTAACTAACGTTGACCATTAAACGTTCCAAAACGTTTTATTCGCAACGTTAATATAACGTTAAAACGCAGTTTAATTTTCAACGTTGAATAAAGTAACCTTGATCTAACATAAAATAATAAACGTTTCGCAACGTTAAAAAGAAAACATTTAACCAACGTTAGCTATTTAACGTTTAACAACGTTTTATATGTAACCTACATACAACGTTAAAATGTAGTTGAGTTTTGAACGTTGCTTATAGTTAATAAGGTAACCTTAATCTAACGTAAAATAATAAACGTTTTGCAACGTTAAAAATAAAACCTAAAACCAACGTTAGATATTTAACGTTTAACAACGTTTTATATGTAACCTACATACAACGTTAAAATGTAGTTGAATTTTAAACTCTGCTTACAGTTAATAAGGTAACCTTGATCTGACGTCAAATAATAAACGTTTCGCAACGTTAAAAAGAAAACCTTTAACCAACGTTAGATATTTAACGTTTAACAACGTTTTATATGTAACCTACATACAACGTTAAAATGTAGTTGAATTTTAAACCTTGCTTATAGTTAATAAGGTAACCTTGATCTGACGTAAAATAATAAACGTTTTGCAACGTTAAAAATAAAACCTATAACCAACGTTAGATATTTAACATTTAACAACGTTTTATATGTAACCTACATACAACGTTCAAATGTAGTTGAATTTTAAACTCTGCTTATAGTTAATAAGGTAACTTTGATCTGACGTCAAATAATAAACGTTTTGCAACGTTAAAAATAAAACCTATAACCAATGTTAGATATTTAACGTTTTAACAACGTTTTATATGTAACCTACATACAACGTTAAAATGCAGTTGAATTTTGAACGTTGCCTATAGTTAATGAGATAGCCTCAATTAAAACGTTTCGCAACGTTACAAAGAAAACCTTTAACTAACGTTAGCTATTTAACGCTTAAGAACATTTTATATTCAATCTACATAAAAAGTTTAAATTTTCAACGTTGCTTATAGTTAATAAGATAACTTCAAATAAACGTAAAAGCGGAAACGTTTTAAAACGTTAAAAAGAAACCCTTTAACCAACGTTAGCTATTCAAAGTTTAAGGAGGATGATGATTAATCACTTTACACTCGACTGTCACGTGATTTTTTCCCTGCTCTTGCCGAAGGCAAAAAGATCGTAGGGAATAAGTAATCGGGTTTGGATATATGAGGTGGCTCGACGGTCCTACGATGTCGACAAAAGTCTGCTCCTTCGCAATATAGACCACTCCCCTATAATTATGTGTATAACTATATAGAAGGAGGCTATTTTGTGTTAATTAAGTACAGGCATAACAACCAGTTTTTGGTGCTTGACGACTGTTATTACGCAGGTTTCCATAGGGTTACAATTTACTCTAATTCATTAATACAGCATATTAGTCATCTGAGCGACTGAGCGGATCAATCGTCAATATAAGTGTTACTTTAGTGAAACAAACTTAATAAATTACCGAGTGAGAAAATTCAGCAAGTCAAAACAAATTAAATTATGATATCAGCTGATAAACTCGTGGCTGATTATTTAATAGTTCGGCACTGAATGGTAAAAAGCGAATACTTAGTTGAAAATGCAGATATTACTTTACATTTACATTCAAGAAACACATATAAGTATAAGTATAAGATTGCGGCAAGCTTTTAAAGAATCTTATATCAAATCAAAGGCTCGATAGTCGATCGCGATGCAGATGGTGCTGTAGATGTGTCGAGTAAGCATCAAAATTTATCAGTTAATGTTAGATACAAATAATATTAATAACTAAGATGAGCAATGAGACAGACGATGAGTCGATGAAACATATTACAGTCAATAAAATTGGCATACAATGCAATAATATTATGATATGAGTTAAGAAGTGCGCATTGTTAACACGAAACAAACCGCGCAAAATATGAATTGACCTACAAAATACAACCAAACCACAGATTGACGGCACCTCAGATGCGCGCAGAATTTTCCAAGTTCTGCACGCCTTGCTCTAACCACAAACCAGATCAGAGCCCTCTCGCTTGCAGCGCGTCACGCAGTACGCGTATACAGTTACACATGGCTATGTGAACTGCACGCCTAATATAATGTAAACAATTATCACGTGCGCCAAACACCACTCTGATCTGGCATCTGGGATGCAATACAATTACAAGTAATTCTTATTAAACCTCTGGCTTTAAGACTTTGCTCTACGTGGCTCCGGATCTAATAGTAATCTGAATTATCTGATCCAAAATTAGACCAACTTCTTTAATGTTTAAATTATATGGTCATAATCATATTGATGATTCGGGATTAGCGTCCAAAAATACACCGAATTTAATCAAATTACTTGCACACCCTGGCCTCAAGGCCTTTTCACAAAAAAATTTATAATTTGGGCGAGCGATTTGGTGGTACTGGTAGCGGCTCGGGTTACAATTAGGGTTATGGTTGGGATTAGACAAAAACAATGTTACATAAACTCTAATTTAAAGTTAATGTAAAACTATTTTGTTCGCCTGAAAAACTGTAAAATTAAAAACCAACGCGCGTCAAGTAGTAATTTTTGGGCGAGCAAACTACTACAAAACTATTAGTATTACCAATTACTTACTAGTAAAACTAAAAGCCGTATTATTGCACCAAATTAAAAAACTTATATTCATTTCTATTTTGTTAACGGTTAACGACGATAATGTTTTAAATGAATTCAAGTTTGCTATACTAGGGCGCCATTGCCTGATCACTGATAACCTTTAAGTTTTAGGAAAAAAAATTTGAAAATTGACTGTGAAGCTGAAATGATTTAGTTGTTAGTGTTGTTTACAGTTTAGCAAGCTCGGAATTGAGCGGAAGAAATGCGGTCGCGCAATACGTGAGCAATCGGGCTTTTTACATGTTACAGTTACTATCATTGACATTATCAATTATAAGTATAGTCTCCGCCAACCCTAACCCTAACTGAAACTCAACTCCTAACTAAAGCATGCATATTATAGTTATACTGACACCCTTTATAATTCAACATTCAAACGAGAATTATTAAACTAACTTCCAATTTCCATATCACATATATTATATAGTCATAATTATATGTCGTATCATTATCACGTGCAACGTGATCGAGACAGATTTTCGGCAATATCAAATATTTGATATGTGATATCAAATATTTGATCTCACCAAGGTGCAAGGAAGTGATTTACCGTATGTGAATGTCGCGTGCGGTTATATTATTCGAAATCTGAAATCAGCGTTTAAAGATTAGATACATCGATTCAGAAAGATTTAATATAAATATTAATAAACTGTCAGTGTGAGGGCCCTTTTAGAAAATTTTTTAGTGTTAGCACGCAATTCACAATTGTAAATGTAAGTTGTATATAATTTATCAAGACGCGCGTCGAGTTAAGTTGGACTCGCGTCGACTTACTATACGACGGTCTAATCTGTAATCACTAATGCTAATCTGTAATCACTAATGCTAATATATGATATTTGAAACAAATATTTTATGACATACGAGTATCACCCGTTACGGTTAAAAACACAAATAAAATTTTGGCGAACGGGAATTCAAAATATGTATTTGTGATTTGGTATCCGTATACATGGTGAATACATTATACTAATACCAAATACATGATGCAACAATTTACGGGTGATACTCGTGACTCGTAGAATTCTTTGTATTAGTAACAAGTAATAATTTACGGATCATTCATTTAATCTGTCAAAATTTTGGAAAAACTTTTAAAAGATGCCCAAAATGATTGGAATTTTTTTGGAAATTAAAACGATTATAATTTAGTCAAAGACAAAAGCTTAAGTAGAAAAAAAATTTGAAGTGATGCAAAATCAAAAATGCAAAAGCTTGAACATTAAAACAAAAATTTCGCCGCGGTAACACCACGCACGATCAAATTTCCCTACTGCCTACAATGTAATTGTTCTACTATTTATTGTATCCCGCCCAGAGTGGTGTTTGGCGCGCGCACGTGATAGTCGTTGTCATTATATTAGCAATTAGGCGTGCAGAACTTGTAAAATTCTGCGCGCATCTGAGGTGTCGCCGTCGATCTGTATGTGGTTTGGTTGTAGATCATTTCATATTTTGCGCGGTTTGTTTCGTGTTAACAATGCGTATCATTTTACGTCATATTATTACATCGTAATGCCAACTTTATTGACTGTAATAAAATATTCTGTCTCACCTTAGCTATTATTTGTATGAATCTAACATAAACTAATACATTTTGATGCTTAATCGACACATCTACAGCACCATCACCTTACCTGGGGACCTCAGGCTATTATGTTCATAAACATAATAGCGAATAGAGATTCGGCGGAATGACAGGCTGAGCGCCGCCCAGTAACCATCACCAAGCTTACTCAAACTTCTACTGTTCCTTTTGCTAGGCTTACAGTTTATAGTCGGCTTCTTAATCTTTCTTTCCAAATTAAGTAATTAGCTGTTTGAATTGCCATTTGAATTCCATCGGCGACCGAGAGCATTTCAAATCGCAGCTCACCCAGTTCATGCTATTTCTTCCGGATACACCGCCCAACAGGGGCTACACTCCTCAAAACTCAAACTCGCTGCTTTGCTGGAGGAATGACAGAGAGATCTCCTCTCTGTGGGGTGGTCACACAATGTGATGGCCCTGTCAAAGCTTAACGAATCTCAACCTAGGTGACATACTCATAGGTAGGTAGCTGTCATATATTATATTTTATAAGTTAAAATTCTACATTTTTAAATTGATTGTAGATCTGGGGTGTAGGAAGCGGGGGGACCATCCCCCCCCCCCCCCCCCCCCATGAAATCTGGGCAAGGGGCAGAAAAGGGCTAATTTTTGTTTAGGCTTCTAAAAATGTTTAGGGAAAAATTGTCAAATATTTTTTCGGTTTAATTTACCAAAAATTTTCCAAGTCAAAATTTTTCAAAGTTTTTCTGGAAACTACTTTTGTTCATGTTTCATGATAGTGATTATTATGAGCCGAAAATATTTTTTCGGTTTTTGAAGTCCGCACCTACCCTTGATATACGATTTTGGACTCGAGGGTTCGAGTTCCCTTATGTAATGCGATCTCGGAAGGCAGGCCTCCCCTTCGTAATACGATCTCGGAAGCAGGAGCTCTGCCTTCAGAGTTACGTATCGAGAATGAGTTTTTTCTGGAAACTACTTTTGTTCAGGTTTCATGCTACCCTGATCATTATGAGCCGAAAATATTTAGAATTTGCCCCCCCCCCCCCCCCCCCCCCCCCCCCCATGAAGAAAATCATTCCTACACCCTAGCCTTGTTGTAGATACTGATACTAAATAGTTTATCCCATCGCACAACTTATCAGGCACAAAATTAATGTTTGAGTGACAGTCTAGTGCCGCGAAAGTGTCTCTTCAACAGCCGCGAAATTGTAAAAGAGAGCAAGTTTCATCCTTCCTCTGACTTTGAAGTTGTTGGAACCAACTGCAACAAGCACATGAAGCACAACTATCAACCATATGAGTAACAGATGCTGTCGCATGTAAGTTATGAAGTCTGTGGCTTTATATTAGAACTAGAATTAACAAATTTTTTGATTTGACTGTTATTAACAGTCGAATCTAAAATATGCAGTTCTTATTATTATATAGAAGTAAGGGTTGCTTGACTTAATTGTACTGTTTCAGTTTAAAATTCTACTTCTGTTTGATGCAATGGGAGAAGTTAAAGTTGACCCGAGCAGTGATTCCATACCGAATCGTTCTGAGGCAGATACAAGATGATTGACATTTGACAAGGAAGTCTATCACTATAAGTATAGCTGTGAAGCTTGTCAGTTGTCGACAACTATGTAAGTTATTTATACTTCCGAATTTACAATTACCACCAAACCTTCTTAGCGCCATATATTTAAGAGTTACAAAAAAAAAGTAACTTTCTTTAACTAGTCGAATAAATTCTACAAAAAGCTGCACATTTAAACTCGGCACTAGAGGTTCGGGCTGTCCGGCGCGGCTTTTATTCCTCCACTTCATTCACAATGTATTTTCAGAAATCGGCCGAAACTGAAACAGCTGTAATCAGACACTAAAGAAAACTGAAACTGAAACTTTTATGATGACTAACTGGCCGCAACAAACCAAGATCGCTGTTTGCTGTTACTTTAATGTAATACTAAGTGAATTGGTCTATAAGTGTAGATGAAAGATAAAATATTTGAAAGAAGCTCTATCCTCTTAATTTTATTTTATGTTTTAGATTTAAAGTTAGTCTTAAAAGCTTACTCTGAATTTTTGTTTTGATTAGCTTTCGCTGCTTAGTGGAACACTTTAAAATAATTTCTCTCATAATTTGTCTGTAAATATAACCTAAAATAAAAGTGTGGTATGGGCCCGTATGTGTTAACTTTGTTGCAACGTTTTCATTTGTATGATTTATAGAAATTTTAAGCTTCACCAAGTGTTTTTAATGCGATCAATGGTTGTTACGTTACTGTTACGTTTTCATTACAACGTTGTCGTATAGTTTTTCTGATAACGTGGATACAACGTTGTACCAAAACGTTACATTAACCTTTAACAGCTAACTCATTTCCAACGTTGGTAATGTAACGTTTAATCAACTTGTAAACAACGTTACAAACCCAACGTTGCAAAGTGTAAATTACAACGTTTATCCAACGAACTTTTCAAGTACGTTATTAACACGTTTCAATTACAACGTTGTCGTATAGTTTTTCTGATAACGTGCATACAACGTTGTTTCAAATACGTTACATTAACCTTTAACAGCTAACTCATTTCCAACGTTGGTAATGTAACGTTTAATCAACTTGTAAACAACGTTACAAACCCAACGTTGCAAAGTGTAAATTACAACGTTTATCCAACGAACTTTTCAAGTACGTTATTAACACGTTTCAATAACAACGTTGTCGTATAGTTTTTCTGATAACGTGCATACAACGTTGTATCAAATACGTTACATTAACCTTTTACAGCTAACTCATTTCCAACGTTGGTAATGCAACGTTTAATCAACTTGTATACAACGTTACAAACCCAAAGTGTAAATTACAACGTTTATCCAACGAACTTTTCAAGTACGTTATTAACACGTTTCAATAACAACGTTGTCGTATAGTTTTTCTGATAACGTACATACAACGTAGTAGCAAAAACGTTACATTAACCTTTTACAGCTAACTCATTTCCAACGTTGGTAATGCAACGTTTAATCAACTTTTACACAACGTTTCAAACCCAACGTTGGAAAGTGTAAATTCCAACCTTAAAACAACGTTAATCCAACCAACTTTGCCGGCTGGGTAGTTCCTAACGTTTCAAGTAGTTCCTAACGTTTCAAGTAGTTCCTAACATTTCAAGTAGTTCCTAACGTTTCAAGTAGTTCCTAACGTTTTAAGTAGTTCCTAACGTTTCAAGTAGTTCCTAACATTTCAAGTAGTTCCTAACGTTTCAAGTAGTTCCTAACGTTTCAAGTAGTTCCTAACGTTTCATGTAGTTCCTAACGTTTCAAGTAGTTCCTAACGTTTCAAGTAGTTCCTAACGTTTCAAGTAGTTCCTAACGTTTCAAGTAGTTTCAAGTAGTTCCTAACGTTTCAAGTAGTTCCTAACGTTTCAAGTAGTTTCAAGTAGTTCCTAACGTTTCAAGTAGTTCCTAACGTTTCAAGTAGTTCCTAACGTTTCAAGTAGTTCCTAACGTTTCAAGTAGTTCCTAACGTTTCAAGTAGTTCCTAACGTTTCACGTAGTTCCTAACGTTTCAAGTAGTTCCTAACGTTTCAAGTAGTTCCTAACGTTTCAAGTAGTTCCTAACGTTTCAAGTAGTTCCTAACATTTCAAGTAGTTCCTAACGTTTCAAGTAGTTCCTAACGTTTCAAGTAGTTCCTAACGTTTCAAGTAGTTCCTAACGTTTCAAGTAGTTCCTAACGTTTCAAGTAGTTCCTAACGTTTCAAGTAGTTCCTAACGTTTCAAGTAGTTCCTAACGTTTCAAGTAGTTCCTAACGTTTCAAGTAGTTCCTAACGTTTCAAGTAGTTCCTAACGTTTCAAGTAGTTCCTAACGTTTCAAGTAGTTCCTAACGTTTCAAGTAGTTCCTAACGTTTCAAGTAGTTCCTAACGTTTCAAGTAGTTCCTAACGTTTCAAGTAGTTCCTAACGTTTCAAGTAGTTCCTAACGTTTCAAGTAGTTCCTAACGTTTCAAGTAGTTCCTAACGTTTCAAGTAGTTCCTAACGTTTCAAGTAGTTCCTAACGTTTCAAGTAGTTCCTAACGTTTCAAGTAGTTCCTAACGTTTCAAGTAGTTCCTAACGTTTCAAGTAGTTCCTAACGTTTCAAGTAGTTCCTAACGTTTCAAGTAGTTTCAAGTAGTTCCTAACATTTCAAGTAGTTCCTAACGTTTCAAGTAGTTCCTAACGTTTCAAGTAGTTTCAAGTAGTTCCTAACGTTTCAAGTAGTTCCTAACGTTTCAAGTAGTTCCTAACGTTTCAAGTAGTTCCTAACGTTTCAAGCAGTTCCTAACGTTTCAAGTAGTTCCTAACGTTTCAAGTAGTTCCTAACGTTTCAAGTAGTTCCTAACGTTTCAAGTAGTTCCTAACGTTTCAAGTAGTTCCTAACGTTTCAAGTAGTTCCTAACGTTTCAAGTAGTTCCTAACGTTTCAAGTAGTTCCTAACGTTTCAAGTAGTTCCTAACGTTTCAAGTAGTTCCTAACGTTTCAAGTAGTTTCTAACGTTTCAAGTAGTTCCTAACGTTTCAAGTAGTTCCTAACGTTTCAAGTAGTTCCTAACGTTTCAAGTAGTTCCTAACGTTTCAAGTAGTTCCTAACGTTTCAAGTAGTTCCTAACGTTTCAAGTAGTTTCAAGTAGTTCCTAACGTTTCAAGTAGTTCCTAACGTTTCAAGTAGTTTCAAGTAGTTCCTAACGTTTCAAGTAGTTCCTAACGTTTCAAGTAGTTCCTAACGTTTCAAGTAGTTCCTAACGTTTCAAGTAGTTCCTAACGTTTCAAGTAGTTCCTAACGTTTCACGTAGTTCCTAACGTTTCAAGTAGTTCCTAACGTTTCAAGTAGTTCCTAACGTTTCAAGTAGTTCCTAACGTTTCAAGTAGTTCCTAACATTTCAAGTAGTTCCTAACGTTTCAAGTAGTTCCTAACGTTTCAAGTAGTTCCTAACGTTTCAAGTAGTTCCTAACGTTTCAAGTAGTTCCTAACGTTTCAAGTAGTTCCTAACGTTTCAAGTAGTTCCTAACGTTTCAAGTAGTTCCTAACGTTTCAAGTAGTTCCTAACGTTTCAAGTAGTTCCTAACGTTTCAAGTAGTTCCTAACGTTTCAAGTAGTTCCTAACGTTTCAAGTAGTTCCTAACGTTTCAAGTAGTTCCTAACGTTTCAAGTAGTTCCTAACGTTTCAAGTAGTTCCTAACGTTTCAAGTAGTTTCAAGTAGTTCCTAACGTTTCAAGTAGTTTCAAGTAGTTCCTAACGTTTCAAGTAGTTCCTAACGTTTCAAGTAGTTCCTAACGTTTCAAGTAGTTCCTAACGTTTCAAGTAGTTCCTAACGTTTCAAGTAGTTCCTAACGTTTCAAGTAGTTCCTAACGTTTCAAGTAGTTCCTAACGTTTCAAGTAGTTTCAAGTAGTTCCTAACGTTTCAAGTAGTTTCAAGTAGTTCCTAACGTTTCAAGTAGTTCCTAACGTTTCAAGTAGTTCCTAACGTTTCAAGTAGTTCCTAACGTTTCAAGTAGTTCCTAACGTTTCAAGTAGTTCCTAACGTTTCAAGTAGTTCCTAACGTTTCAAGTAGTTCCTAACGTTTCAAATAGTTCCTAACGTTTCAAGTAGTTCCTAACGTTTCAAGTAGTTCCTAACGTTTCAAGTAGTTCCTAACGTTTCAAGTAGTTCCTAACGTTTCAAGTAGTTCCTAACGTTTCAAATAGTTCCTAACGTTTCAAGTAGTTCCTAACGTTTCAAGTAGTTCCTAACGTTTCAAATAGTTCCTAACGTTTCAAGTAGTTCCTAACGTTTCAAGTAGTTCCTAACGTTTCAAGTAGTTCCTAACGTTTCAAGTAGTTCCTAACGTTTCAAGTAGTTCCTAACGTTTCAAGTAGTTCCTAACGTTTCAAGTAGTTCCTAACGTTTCAAGTAGTTCCTAACGTTTCAAATAGTTCCTAACGTTTCAAGTAGTTCCTAACGTTTCAAGTAGTTCCTAACGTTTCAAGTAGTTCCTAACGTTCCAAGTAGTTCCTAACGTTTCAAGTAGTTCCTAACGTTTCAAGTAGTTCCTAACGTTTCAAGTAGTTCCTAACGTTTCAAGTAGTTCCTAACGTTTCAAGTAGTTTCAAGTAGTTCCTAACGTTTCAAGTAGTTTCAAGTAGTTCCTAACGTTTCAAGTAGTTCCTAACGTTTCAAGTAGTTCCTAACGTTTCAAGTAGTTCCTAACGTTTCAAGTAGTTCCTAACGTTTCAAGTAGTTCCTAACGTTTCAAGTAGTTCCTAACGTTTCAAGTAGTTCCTAACGTTTCAAGTAGTTCCTAACGTTTCAAGTAGTTCCTAACGTTTCAAGTAGTTCCTAACGTTTCAAATAGTTCCTAACGTTTCAAGTAGTTCCTAACGTTTCAAGTAGTTCCTAACGTTTTAAGTAGTTCCTAACGTTTCAAGTAGTTCCTAACGTTTCAAGTAGTTCCTAACGTTTCAAGTAGTTCCTAACGTTTCAAGTAGTTCCTAACGTTTCAAGTAGTTCCTAACGTTTCAAGTAGTTCCTAACGTTTTAAGTAGTTCCTAACGTTTCAAGTAGTTCCTAACGTTTCAAGTAGTTCCTAACGTTTCAAGTAGTTCCTAACGTTTCAAGTAGTTCCTAACGTTTCAAGTAGTTCCTAACGTTTCAAGTAGTTCCTAACGTTTCAAGTAGTTCCTAACGTTTCAAGTAGTTCCTAACGTTTCAAGTAGTTCCTAACGTTTCAAGTAGTTCCTAACGTTTCAAGTAGTTCCTAACGTTTCAAGTAGTTTCTAACGTTTCAAGTAGTTCCTAACGTTTCAAGTAGTTCCTAACGTTTCAAGTAGTTTCTAACATTTCAAGTAGTTCCTAACGTTTCAAGTAGTTCCTAACGTTTCAAGTATAGAAATAACGTAAGGCCAACTATTATTACAATTATAAATCTCAATCACAAATTCTAAATCGTTACACTACAGTACTATCTCTGCATGTTATAGAAGTAACCCAATTTGACGAGAGTAATCGTACATTTATGGAGGGGCGGTCAGCTCCTTATTTACAACCTGTTGAGATAGGCCAATCTTCTGTAGCTCCTAGTCCTCTAGCCCTGGCATTCCAGAATACAGGGTCCAACCAGCTGTGTTCAGGAATGTTTGTGGTGTACTCAGTGGTTGCCATGATACCCACTCTCCCGTATCTTTGGTAGTAATTGTTCCTGACTCCTGAATGATCTGCCAACAGGAACCTCAATACGTAGCAAGCTCTCTTCAAGGCATCGTCCGGAACTCTGCTGGAAGACACAACTGGTATCCCGTACGCTTCAGTGTATTTCTGATAGAACTGAGTCAGACCGTGCGGGTACATTTCACTTGCATACCTAAGATTAGAGGGAACACCTCTAACGTAGTTACAGCTGTGGGTTTGAGTTGCAGACCCCCTCCTCGCCTGAACTCCGTACTCTAAAACACCAGCTGGACCAAGTGGTGGACTACCGTTTCTGAGAGGACCATCCTCAGCCTCAAACACAACTGCAGTGTCAGCATCTATTGCTCGTTCGAAGATGACATTACTTTGAGTCACAGCAAGTAATCCTACCAAAATCAGTAGTGCATCCCTCATCGCTAGAAACTTTGTTTAACTTTAAACGACATAAATAATATAAAACGACATAGTGACCCTGGTCATAAAGAAAGTTCGCACTGGAACCCCCTATTTATACGAGTTGGACCACGTTTTTCCCAATTCAACTTTAGAAGATTGTCACAGGAAGAACTTTTAAGACAGGCATATGATATTTCACATTACATGTCTATAGTTCAACTAATTGAGTTTCGATTAATAAAATTTGACCAAAACCCATAATTGGGTAGAGTGGACCGCTGCCAGTGTCTCTCTTTCCCAAACAAAAGGAAATGATACAGGTATTAAATTTTTTTTACTTTGTGGAAAAAAATAAGATCATTTAAGTCAAACTTTTGATTTAAATGATAAAGGGCCCGGCGACGTTTCTGATCAATGACAATATGGCCACAGCCTGAATTTCAAAAACAGCAAAACGTGTAAAAGGCCTAGCTGAACAATTTGGCAATAGATATCATTTTCAAACACAGTTTCAAGAACGATTAAAATAATACGATCTTAAAATGTATTAGGGCCTGCAAGCAGCTCTTGCGAAATAAGTGTAGTTCGAAAAAGGGATGCATATTAAATTCTCTCGAAACAAATTACAGGAAATTTGCTTCCAGAATTGAAATCTATCAATGTGAAATGATAAATCCAGTAAGATTTTGTTGTGCCAATTTAAGGGTCAAAGGAAAAGTCCTGCAAATTTTGAAAAATATGCTTACAGTAGTCATAGGTCTCACTCTCAAAGAGGGTACAACATGCAAGGAGGGAGAAACTGGAAGAATTCTTGGAAGATTTGTTTTAAGGAATGAATTCTAGCAATGAGGTAATGTAAATTTGGACTACAAGGGGCAAACTGTGTCCTGCTAATTTACTCCCACGGCATAAAAGAGTAATCAGTAATGTTATCTGAATTTTATAATCGCTAGGCTGATCCGAACTTCTGATGAATCCTGACATGTAATATGTTTTGTTTTAAAGACCTTTAATTCACACACCAACAATTTTATCAAATTACAAATGTCCTAATATATACGTCTCTTATTAAGTTAAAAAGTCAAGGGTGCAGCCGTTGTACTGCAATTAAAATAATTGATCACGCCGGATCACGATGTTGTTTTATCAAAATCAGCTACTCGTTTAATATCAGAATATGCAATTTATAAATTACCAGATTTCTGGTTCATTGAAAAATTCTGGTATTGAAAATACTGAACACGGCATAGAAGAGTAACCAGCAAAGTTATCTGAATTTTATAATCGCTAGGTTCCTGAACTTCTGATGAATCCTGATGCATGTAATATCGGAATATGTAATATAAATTATCAGATTTCTGGTTCATGCCAGCTCACAGCTGGATTGTATCCTGCTAATTTACTTGAAGATACTGAACACGGCACAGAAGAGTAACTAGCAATGTTTCCTGAATTTTATAAATCGGCAACTATCGTGCAGTTAGACTGCAGTTAGACAGGATAGGCCAAATGAGGCCAAAATGTTGGCCCCTTTTCCAGATTTTATGGGGGGGGGGGGGGGGGGGGGGGCAATAATAATATTGTTTTTATAATAACATGTTTCCGTACATTAAAGTTAAAATGCGGTCAAATTATTTATTAACCTCATTTTGGCCTCCTGCAAGTAGACTCGGCGATTTCTGAAATGTTGAGCTTGAAGAGGATGAATCAATCTTTATTGTTTACATATTAGATAGTCACAATACCGAACCTACTCGAAAATATACACAAAATTATACTTGTTAGCCTCATTTCACCCTCTCAAAAGGTGGTTGGCCTCATTTTCACCTTTAATGTTTAAAGCTTAGATCTCGATCAAGTATAATCACTATATCAATGTGGATCATTGAAGGATCAGAAGTGTGGAGGAAGAGGATGTAACACTTGTTTACTTGTTTAATTCAGATGAGAATGGTGAGGAACTACGCTTGGATTGCAGACTCAATTGCAAAAGCAATAGCATCATAATCATATACATTGCACAGTGTACCCTTTCTAGCAATTTGCCCCAAAAATTGAAGGAGGACACCTATTTTGGACAAACTGTTTCCCCCATGCATGTGCGGATGAATGGCCATAGAAATAAATTTAAGATAGACAGTTCTTTGACTTTTGAGAAATCGGCCCTTTCAATACATTGTTTTTTGACCCATAAATCCTCCTTTAACATGTCTTTTTATAAATTAGGAATTGTTAAAAAAGTGAAGCCGCTGGATTTAGATAGAGAAGAAGCCATATTGATTGATAAATTTAGGACTAAGATTTGGGGCTTACATAGGATAGTAGTTGTTAGATGATTTCATATCTATATATTTTCATCTTCATGTTTATATGATTATGTGTCACTGCATTTTAATATTGAGTTCTGATCCTTTGTACATGATTTTCCCATTTCGAATTTTGATTCCCTGTTTAGCAAGTTTTCAGACATTAGTCTGTTTTAGTTCATAAAAGTTTTCTGACTTACGTATTCAGGTCTCATGATGTAGTTTTTCTACGAAGATTTCAACCGGAACCTTGTGTGTTTACTTACTGTGTGTCCAATCAAATAAAAATCACTATGACTATGGATAATAGTTATACTTGCAACTTGGATATCATGGACGTAACATGAAAAAGTTCTTTTTAGAAAGTGATGAGGCTAATTCGTTAGCCTCAATTGTCCCTCGCAGTTCAATCACTCCTACTGAGTCTCGTGAGTGATCTAGGAGGTCGCCGGACATCTCATTTTAAAGCCGTATCGATTTTCTATACGCATACCAAAAATCAAATGCCTAACTACAACACACAACAGAAATGAAATTACAGAAGTTTTAAATTTTTTGTCAAAACGAACTTTTAGGGGTGTTTCTATTATGACCAGGGTTCAATACGGATGATGATTTATCACTTTACACTAGTAACTACACATTCTGACGGACAATCCAGAAAACCTCTCGACTCTGACAACTGTAACCCAGTCATGTTGTTGTTGCAAAACAACAACATCGTGCTACACAAAATGGTGACCATCAATAAATTTTACTCTTAGATCTGCTAGTGTAATCGCATTAACCGGAGTTAATAGCGTTACCATCGCGATACGGCCGGTATTAATTTACCTCCCAGCGGTGAGACACCGCTTCCCTCCATCGCCATGTTTGAACCTCTCCCATCATCTGTTCTACTTCAGAGGGAAGTAATTAATTTTATATTTTAAAATTGTTATTATTCCAGTATAACAAATAAATTTTCTAATCGTGTAAAATCGTGTAAATCGTTATCCGAAGCCATGACAGTCATACCATTACCTAGCTTTAAAATAATATTACCAGGTTCATGCCTGCCACTTCAAAAATAAAATGAGACCAGTAATTTCGTTATTGTAAATTAAATTACGTTTGACTGGTAGTGGTAAATAATCAAATTTTATCACAATGCTGGCAAGCATAACCGTTGCCCTTATATTCACAACACTATTTACCCCCTATACTATTATATCCCCTTCATGACCGTTTTGGTCAAATTAGTATTAATTGAATCTCCTATTTTATGGGAGACTAAAGGGCATTGCTTTTAAAAGTGAATAATTTTAAAATAAATTCATCCACTTGGCCAACACGCATTGCTGACTATTTCACGAGTGATAATGATAATGATATTTTAAAATATTTGAAAAAATATTAACAATTAACCATCGACTTAGTCCAATTTGGCGCGCGTCTTGGTATATAGGTTGAAGGTTATTAACCTACAAGTTTAATACAAACTTTTTTCCAGTTTGCACAATTTAAGTTTCCCATTCCCAGTAAGGTCTTCATTTGCAGAAACACTTTTATTATTAATATCAAAGGCGCAGGTTATACCTCCACCGAATTAAGGCACACTCCCCTAATTAAATTGCGCGCATTGCTGTAACTTCTTCATTCTTTGGAACTTCACAATCAGTCTCAGATAAAACTGATGCAGTCTGTAAGGTTAGTTATAGAACTGCTGACCTAACGAGTGCCGAAGGCACGAGTTTTGTCAGCAGTTTTATAATTTACTTACAGCACGGCTCAAGATCAGGGTGATACTTACCGTTTGCGACCAAAAATTTGAATTTTGGAGTTAATTAAGAGGTCGAAAATACCGAAAAACTGATTTTTCTCACCTTCAAAAGTGTTCATTGTCCAATGAGAGGCCTTCCATCTGACAGGTAGCGTGCAGGACATCTGGGTATCACGTGGCGATTTCTTAACATATCAATGGATGCTTGGTGTTCTTCATGTGACCTCCGTTATAAACGTACTGTATTTTCATAAGTATCAATGACAGGCGAGCTCCAGGTTGAAGCGTGGAAGAAAGTAAAAAGTGGAAGGAAGTAAAAAAAAACACTGATACACCAGGGTGTATCAGCCCTCTAAATGGCTAAGAACTATCACGGGTCATACCACGTGACAGTACCTCTTGACTACGTCACTCGGATACCACGTGTATAGACACACCGGAGCCGTGCTGTAAATATATATTATACAGCTTCAAAATTACAACTTTTGCTTGCCAGTGTCTCACACTTATACTTTATAGTTATACTTACAGCACGGCTCCGGTATTTTTCGGTATTTTCGACCTCTTAATTAACTCCAAAATTCAAATTTTTGGTCGCAAACGGTAAGTATCACCCTGATCTTGAGCCGTGCTGTAAGTAAATTATAAAACTGCTGACAAAACTCGTGCCTTCGGCACTCGTTAGGTCAGCAGTTCTATAACTAACCTTATATTAGTCCTGATCGTTCGACATAAGAGCAATCAGGAAGTAATTAGGAAGATGAATAAAATCAAATGGCCACCAAATTTTCAATATATTCGGAACATTGCAATGCTTGAGTGTAGCAGTAGGGACTTTAAAAAATATAGTTTGATTTATGAATAATTGAGTTTAACTCGGATTTGCGTTATCACTAATCTTTAAGTTGTGCTATCATATCAAACATCAAATGGCCTAAAGGTATGATAAGCAACAAAGCATTGTATGAAAGACACATTCTCAGGAGTATGGAAAACACCCCAGCCCAAACGGCTCTCTCTCTCTCTTTTGCTATTGAATCAAATTATTTATTTATTGGAAGATTGGGGCGACCTAAAATGAACTTGTTGTGTGTTTTAAGAAGTGATCTAAGTAGTAGATCCTATGTCAATAATACAAGGAAGAGATATTGCAGTTGATTTGATCGACTTACAGCTATACAACCTGCGCGCGCGCAATACGGCGCGTTTGCAGTTGCGCCCCTAGGGTCCTCCCCACGTAACAACTAACAATAAACGAGCAATAGCTAACGTGAATGTACACAAACGAGGGGTCGGTTGTGTTACTTCCCAGACCAGGATGAAGGCGTGCTCCTGTCTGGCCTTCTATTAATATACTACAAACACGCTTTATTTCACATTTTAAAATCGGTTTCACTGTATACAATAACATGTGAAGTGTGTCTTCATACTTCAATTCAACCCCAAAACATTTTGACTACCCGTATAAAATCATAAACAAAACAATATTTCGGAAAGTTTTGCATTAGTTCAATGATAAAAACTAATAAAGTATAACGATCACTAGGATGTAATAACTTAATAATCCAATTTGTTCTCATTCTCATGCTTTTGTGTTTTAAAGACTCTTTGGTTATTTCAACAAAAAAATAAGTTGGCACCACTTGAGATGCGATTTAATACAATACATACAAGGAGTAAGATGACTGGGTCAGTGGTCGTTGTAACCATGGTAACTGGGCTGGTGAGGGGGGGCTGTAACCATGGTAACTGGGCTGGTGAGGGGGGGCTGTAACCATGGTAACTGGGCTGGTGAGGGGCTGTAACCATGGTAACTGGGCTGGTGAGGGGGGCTGTAACCATGGTAACTGGGCTGGTGAGGGGGGCTGTAACCATGGTAACTGGGCTGGTGAGGGGGGGGGGCTGGACATAATAAGGTCACTGTTGAGAATCTATAACTTCAATTTTCAAATATTTGTCAAACAAGATCAGGTTTTTATCAATTTCTGAATTTCGTTCCGCCTCAATGGACTCTAAAACATCTCAAAATCCCTCATTATATTTTAATAGCAGCTGCTGCACTCTCTTCCTTGTCCCCTTTATCAACTCGTTTGTAGAGAGGTTGTGACTGCTTCTCCACCACTTCCCTCGTTATCGTTACTTGAGTTATGTCTGAGCCTGGAACTTCGTACATTATCTCCATTAGTACATTCTCTAATATACTCCTCAGACCGCGTGCACCTGATAACGAACAAGTTAACAGCATTCACATAGTTAACATAGCATTTACATAGTTAACATAGTTAACACAGCATTTACATAGTTAACATAGTTAACATCTGGGTCGACAATTTGATAATTCTCACGGCCTTTATTGAATTTGTAATATAAGCATAAGTTATATAATACAGGTATAAGTTTATAAAAACCCTCAACAATAATGAAATGATCAGTAACAACATTAAAACATTAAGAAGATCTCGTTTTCTCAGCTTAGAACCTAATTATATCAGGACTCCATATAAACGCGACAAAGTTAGTTCTACATCACAAAATGAAGCTGTACGCCATTCTTCTTTTGTTGCAATGCAGCAGCTTAGCTTTATAGCACTATTCAGAAGACCACTAAACTCCTCGCTTGGTATTTGAGGATGAAGAGACTAACTAAAACAGGAAGACCTGGTATGGCGACCAAAACGAACAGATCGAATAAGAGGGCTACCACAAAAACTTAGGTATGCAAGTGAAATGTACCCGCACGGTCTGACTCAGTTCTATCAGAAATACACTGAAGCGTACGGTATACCAGTTGTGTCTTCCAGCAGAGTTCCGGACGATGCCTTGAAGAGAGCTTGCTACGTACTGAGGTTCCTGTTGGCAGATCATTCAGGAGTCAGGAACAATTACTACCAAAGATACGGGAGAGTGGGCATCATGGCAACCACTGAGTACACCACAAACATTCCTGAACATAGCTGGTTGGACCCTGTATTCTGGAATGCCAGGGCTAGAGGACTCGGAGCTACAGAAGATTGGCCTATCTCAACAGGTTGTAAATAAGGAACTGACCGCCCCTATCTCCACCGGTGCCGAGGAGAATATCCTGTGCTACGCGCAGGACCAGTACGCGACATAGGATATCTTGCTCCACGAGTTTGCGCACGGTGTTCACCTGCCAAGTACGCGATATCAGGGTGCCTCAGATACTGGTACGAGGAGGAGACAGGGCACACTGTGAGGAGGAGACAGGGCACAATGTGCTTATGCAATGTCAACTGCTGTACTTTGCAGAAGGGGTACAGAACTTCTTTAACGTTAATGCGTACGCAGACCCTCCAAATAGTATTCACAACCACATTAACACTAGGGATAAGCTCCTCAACTATTTGCTCTTATCAAAGAAGTCTTCCCATGTCAAAACATCATCCTCGACCACTGTAAGGTATCTAGAGGTAAGGTATCTAGAGGTAAGGTATCTAGAGGTAAGGTATCTAGAGGTAAGGTATCTAGAGGTAAGGTATCTAGAGGTAAGGTATCTAGAGGTAAGGTATCTAGAGCCGCTGTAAGGTATCTAGAGGTAAGGTATCTAGAGGTAAGGTATCTAGAGGTAAGGTATCTAGAGGTAAGGTATCTAGAGGTAAGGTATCTAGAGGTAAGGTATCTAGAGGTAAGGTATCTAGAGGTAAGGTATCTAGAGGTAAGGTATCTAGAGGTAAGGTATCTAGAGGTAAGGTATCTAGAGGTAAGGTATCTAGAGGTAAGGTATCTAGAGGTAAGGTATCTAGAGGTAAGGTATCTAGAGGTAAGGTATCTAGAGGTAAGGTATCTAGAGGTAAGGTATCTAGAGGTAAGGTATCTAGAGGTAAGGTATCTAGAGCCGCTGTAAGGTATCTAGAGGTAAGGTATCTAGAGGTAAGGTATCTAGAGCCACTGTAAGGTATCTAGAGGTAAGGTATCTAGAGCCACTGTAAGGTATCTAGAGGTAAGGTATCTAGAGGTAAGGTATCTAGAGGTAAGGTATCTAGAGGTAAGGTATCTAGAGGTAAGGTATCTAGAGGTAAGGTATCTAGAGGTAAGGTATCTAGAGGTAAGGTATCTAGAGGTAAGGTATCTAGAGGTAAGGTATCTAGAGGTAAGGTATCTAGAGGTAAGGTATCTAGAGGTAAGGTATCTAGAGGTAAGGTATCTAGAGGTAAGGTATCTAGAGGTAAGGTATCTAGAGCCGCTGTAAGGTATCTAGAGCCACTGTAAGGTATCTAGAGCCGCTGTAAGGTATCTAGAGCCACTGTAAGGTATCTAGAGCCACTGAGTTTGCTCAGGAGATGAAGATGGACTGTGATAAAGACGAGGAACCAACAACTGATCCAACAACAACTGATCCAACAACAACTGATCCAACAACAACTGAGTCCCCTACTCCATGTAAAGCTCTCAACACTAACTGTTCCTACTGGACCAGACAAGGCCACTGTAATAATCACAACAACAAATATATGGAAGAGAATTGTAGGTCTTGTTCAGATGAGGACCAATACAGACTGGGATAACGCTGGATACTGCAGCTTACAGAGCGTTATTGGACTCTGCAGACTGGGATAACGCTGGATACTGCAGTTTACAGAGCGTTATTGAACTCTGCAGACTGGGATAACGCTGGATACTGCAGCTTACAGAGCGTTATTGGACTCTGCAGACTGGGATAACGCTGGATACTGCAGTTTACAGAGCGTTATTGGACTCTGCAGACTGGGCTAACGCTGGATACTGCAGTTTACAGAGCGTTATTGGACTCTGCAGACTGGGATAACGCTGGATACTGCAGTTTACAGAGCGTTATTGGACTCTGCAGACTGGGCTAACGCTAGATACTGCAGTTTACAGAGCGTTATTGGACTCTGCAGACTGGGATAACGCTGGATACTGCAGTTTACAGAGCGTTATTGGACTCTGCAGACTGGGATAACGCTGGATACTGCAGTTTACAGAGCGTTATTGAACTCTGCAGACTGGGATAACGCTGGATACTGCAGTTTACAGAGCGTTATTGGACTCTGCAGACTGGGATAACGCTGGATACTGCAGTTTACAGAGCGTTATTGGACTCTACAGACTGGGATAACGCTGGATACTGCAGTTTACAGAGCGTTATTGGACTCTGCAGACTGGGCTAACGCTGGATACTGCAGTTTACAGAGCGTTATTGGACTCTGCAGACTGGGCTAACGCTGGATACTGCAGTTTACAGAGCGTTATTGGACTCTGCAGACTGGGCTAACGCTGGATACTGCAGTTTACAGAGCGTTATTGGACTCTGCAGACTGGGATAACGCTGGATACTGCAGTTTACAGAGCGTTATTGGACTCTGCAGACTGGGATAACGCTGGATACTGCAGTTTACAGAGCGTTATTGGACTCTGCAGACTGGGATAACGCTGGATACTGCAGTTTACAGAGCGTTATTGAACTCTGCAGACTGGGATAACGCTGGATACTGCAGTTTACAGAGCGTTATTGGACTCTGCAGACTGGGATAACGCTGGATACTGCAGTTTACAGAGCGTTATTGGACTCTACAGACTGGGATAACGCTGGATACTGCAGTTTACAGAGCGTTATTGGACTCTGCAGACTGGGCTAACGCTGGATACTGCAGCTTACAGAGCGTTATTGTACTCTGCAGACTGGGATAACGCTGGATACTGCAGTTTACAGAGCGTTATTGGACTCTGCAGACTGGGCTAACGCTGGATACTGCAGTTTACAGAGCGTTATTGGACTCTGCAGACTGGGCTAACGCTGGATACTGCAGTTTACAGAGCGTTATTGGACTCTGCAGACTGGGATAACGCTGGATACTGCAGTTTACAGAGCGTTATTGGACTCTGCAGACTGGGCTAACGCTGGATACTGCAGTTTACAGAGCGTTATTGGACTCTGCAGACTGGGATAACGCTGGATACTGCAGTTTACAGAGCGTTATTGGACTCTGCAGACTGGGATAACGCTGGATACTGCAGTTTACAGAGCGTTATTGGACTCTGCAGACTGGGATAACGCTGGATACTGCAGTTTACAGAGCGTTATTGGACTCTGCAGACTGGGATAACGCTGGATACTGCAGTTTACAGAGCGTTATTGAACTCTGCAGACTGGGATAACGCTGGATACTGCAGTTTACAGAGCGTTATTGGACTCTGCAGACTGGGATAACGCTGGATACTGCAGTTTACAGAGCGTTATTGGACTCTGCAGACTGGGCTAACGCTGGATACTGCAGTTTACAGAGCGTTATTGAACTCTGCAGACTGGGATAACGCTGGATACTGCAGTTTACAGAGCGTTATTGAACTCTGCAGACTGGGATAACGCTGGATACTGCAGTTTACAGAGCGTTATTGAACTCTGCAGACTGGGATAACGCTGGATACTGCAGTTTACAGAGCGTTATTGGACTCTGCAGACTGGGATAACGCTGGATACTGCAGTTTACAGAGCGTTATTGGACTCTGCAGACTGGGCTAACGCTGGATACTGCAGTTTACAGAGCGTTATTGAACTCTGCAGACTGGGATAACGCTGGATACTGCAGTTTACAGAGCGTTATTGGACTCTGCAGACTGGGATAACGCTGGATACTGCAGTTTACAGAGCGTTATTGGACTCTGCAGACTGGGCTAACGCTGGATACTGCAGTTTACAGAGCGTTATTGGACTCTGCAGACTGGGATAACGCTGGATACTGCAGTTTACAGAGCGTTATTGGACTCTACAGACTGGGCTAACGCTGGATACTGCAGTTTACAGAGCGTTATTGGACTCTGCAGACTGGGCTAACGCTGGATACTGCAGTTTACAGAGCGTTATTGAACTCTGCAGACTGGGATAACGCTGGATACTGCAGTTTACAGAGCGTTATTGTACTCTGCAGACTGGGATAACGCTGGATACTGCAGTTTACAGAGCGTTATTGGACTCTGCAGACTGGGCTAACGCTGGATACTGCAGTTTACAGAGCGTTATTGGACTCTGCAGACTGGGATAACGCTGGATACTGCAGTTTACAGAGCGTTATTGGACTCTGCAGACTGGGATAACGCTGGATACTGCAGTTTACAGAGCGTTATTGAACTCTGCAGACTGGGATAACGCTGGATACTGCAGTTTACAGAGCGTTATTGGACTCTGCAGACTGGGCTAACGCTGGATACTGCAGTTTACAGAGCGTTATTGGACTCTGCAGACTGGGATAACGCTGGATACTGCAGTTTACAGAGCGTTATTGAACTCTGCAGACTGGGATAACGCTGGATACTGCAGTTTACAGAGCGTTATTGGACTCTGCAGACTGGGCTAACGCTGGATACTGCAGTTTACAGAGCGTTATTGGACTCTGCAGACTGGGCTAACGCTGGATACTGCAGTTTACAGAGCGTTATTGTACTCTACAGACTGGGATAACGCTGGATACTGCAGTTTACAGAGCGTTATTGGACTCTGCAGACTGGGATAACGCTGGATACTGCAGTTTACAGAGCGTTATTGGACTCTGCAGACTGGGCTAACGCTGGATACTGCAGTTTACAGAGCGTTATTGGACTCTGCAGACTGGGCTAACGCTGGATACTGCAGTTTACAGAGCGTTATTGGACTCTGCAGACTGGGATAACGCTGGATACTGCAGTTTACAGAGCGTTATTGGACTCTGCAGACTGGGATAACGCTGGATACTGCAGTTTACAGAGCGTTATTGAACTCTGCAGACTGGGATAACGCTGGATACTGCAGTTTACAGAGCGTTATTGGACTCTGCAGACTGGGCTAACGCTGGATACTGCAGTTTACAGAGCGTTATTGGACTCTGCAGACTGGGATAACGCTGGATACTGCAGTTTACAGAGCGTTATTGACTCTGCAGACTGGGATAACGCTGGATACTGCAGTTTACAGAGCGTTATTGACTCTGCAGACTGGGCTAACGCTGGATACTGCAGTTTACAGAGCGTTATTGGACTCTGCAGACTGGGATAACGCTGGATACTGCAGTTTACAGAGCGTTATTGGACTCTGCAGACTGGGATAACGCTGGATACTGCAGTTTACAGAGCGTTATTGGACTCTGCAGACTGGGATAACGCTGGATACTGCAGTTTACAGAGCGTTATTGGACTCTGCAGACTGGGCTAACGCTGGATACTGCAGTTTACAGAGCGTTATTGGACTCTGCAGACTGGGATAACGCTGGATACTGCAGTTTACAGAGCGTTATTGGACTCTGCAGACTGGGCTAACGCTGGATACTGCAGTTTACAGAGCGTTATTGGACTCTGCAGACTGGGCTAACGCTGGATACTGCAGTTTACAGAGCGTTATTGGACTCTGCAGACTGGGATAACGCTGGATACTGCAGTTTACAGAGCGTTATTGGACTCTGCAGACTGGGCTAACGCTGGATACTGCAGTTTACAGAGCGTTATTGGACTCTGCAGACTGGGATAACGCTGGATACTGCAGTTTACAGAGCGTTATTGGACTCTGCAGACTGGGCTAACGCTGGATACTGCAGTTTACAGAGCGTTATTGGACTCTGCAGACTGGGATAACGCTGGATACTGCAGTTTACAGAGCGTTATTGGACTCTGCAGACTGGGATAACGCTGGATACTGCAGTTTACAGAGCGTTATTGGACTCTGCAGACTGGGATAACGCTGGATACTGCAGTTTACAGAGCGTTATTGGACTCTGCAGACTGGGATAACGCTGGATACTGCAGTTTACAGAGCGTTATTGGACTCTGCAGACTGGGCTAACGCTGGATACTGCAGTTTACAGAGCGTTATTGGACTCTGCAGACTGGGCTAACGCTGGATACTGCAGTTTACAGAGCGTTATTGGACTCTGCAGACTGGGCTAACGCTGGATACTGCAGTTTACAGAGCGTTATTGAACTCTGCAGACTGGGATAACGCTGGATACTGCAGTTTACAGAGCGTTATTGGACTCTGCAGACTGGGATAACGCTGGATACTGCAGTTTACAGAGCGTTATTGTACTCTGCAGACTGGGCTAACGCTGGATACTGCAGTTTACAGAGCGTTATTGGACTCTGCAGACTGGGATAACGCTGGATACTGCAGTTTACAGAGCGTTATTGGACTCTGCAGACTGGGATAACGCTGGATACTGCAGTTTACAGAGCGTTATTGGACTCTGCAGACTGGGATAACGCTGGATACTGCAGTTTACAGAGCGTTATTGGACTCTGCAGACTGGGATAACGCTGGATACTGCAGTTTACAGAGCGTTATTGGACTCTGCAGACTGGGCTAACGCTGGATACTGCAGTTTACAGAGCGTTATTGAACGCTGCAGACTGGGCTAACGCTGGATACTGCAGTTTACAGAGCGTTATTGGACTCTGCAGACTGGGATAACGCTGGATACTGCAGTTTACAGAGCGTTATTGAACTCTGCAGACTGGGATAACGCTGGATACTGCAGTTTACAGAGCGTTATTGGACTCTGCAGACTGGGATAACGCTGGATACTGCAGTTTACAGAGCGTTATTGGACTCTGCAGACTGGGCTAACGCTGGATACTGCAGTTTACAGAGCGTTATTGAACTCTGCAGACTGGGATAACGCTGGATACTGCAGTTTACAGAGCGTTATTGGACTCTGCAGACTGGGATAACGCTGGATACTGCAGTTTACAGAGCGTTATTGTACTCTGCAGACTGGGCTAACGCTGGATACTGCAGTTTACAGAGCGTTATTGGACTCTGCAGACTGGGATAACGCTGGATACTGCAGTTTACAGAGCGTTATTGGACTCTGCAGACTGGGCTAACGCTGGATACTGCAGTTTACAGAGCGTTATTGAACTCTGCAGACTGGGATAACGCTGGATACTGCAGTTTACAGAGCGTTATTGGACTCTGCAGACTGGGATAACGCTGGATACTGCAGTTTACAGAGCGTTATTGTACTCTGCAGACTGGGCTAACGCTAGATACTGCAGTTTACAGAGCGTTATTGGACTCTGCAGACTGGGCTAACGCTGGATACTGCAGTTTACAGAGCGTTATTGGACTCTGCAGACTGGGATAACGCTGGATACTGCAGTTTACAGAGCGTTATTGGACTCTGCAGACTGGGCTAACGCTGGATACTGCAGTTTACAGAGCGTTATTGAACGCTGCAGACTGGGCTAACGCTGGATACTGCAGTTTACAGAGCGTTATTGGACTCTGCAGACTGGGCTAACGCTGGATACTGCAGTTTACAGAGCGTTATTGGACTCTACAGACTGGGATAACGCTGGATACTGCAGTTTACAGAGCGTTATTGGACTCTGCAGACTGGGCTAACGCTGGATACTGCAGTTTACAGAGCGTTATTGGACTCTGCAGACTGGGCTAACGCTGGATACTGCAGTTTACAGAGCGTTATTGGACTCTGCAGACTGGGATAACGCTGGATACTGCAGTTTACAGAGCGTTATTGGACTCTGCAGACTGGGATAACGCTGGATACTGCAGTTTACAGAGCGTTATTGGACTCTGCAGACTGGGCTAACGCTGGATACTGCAGTTTACAGAGCGTTATTGGACTCTACAGACTGGGCTAACGCTGGATACTGCAGTTTACAGAGCGTTATTGGACTCTGCAGACTGGGATAACGCTGGATACTGCAGTTTACAGAGCGTTATTGGACTCTGCAGACTGGGCTAACGCTGGATACTGCAGTTTACAGAGCGTTATTGGACTCTACAGACTGGGATAACGCTGGATACTGCAGTTTACAGAGCGTTATTGGACTCTGCAGACTGGGATAACGCTGGATACTGCAGTTTACAGAGCGTTATTGGACTCTGCAGACTGGGATAACGCTGGATACTGCAGTTTACAGAGCGTTATTGGACTCTGCAGACTGGGCTAACGCTGGATACTGCAGTTTACAGAGCGTTATTGAACGCTGCAGATTGTCGTGTAATTCTGCTGATAGGAGCTTGCTTACTTTTAATTCACATATTATAATGTAACTTTACATTTTATTTAACTCGCGTTTCCTTCACAGATAACTTCCAAAAAAACAAACATTGACAAATCAAATTTTAAAGATTTACCAGTTCGTTTCTTGATGGCTAGTTCAGCAATGGCGTCCAGAGCATCATCAGTGAATACGAGTGCGCTGTCATCCAAAGTGAACATGTACTTGTATTGAGATATTATTGAGTTCTTGGGCTGGGTTAGGATCGTTACCAGAGCCTCGCGATCTGAGGGAATTACACTTTAAACTCGGGGGAGAGGGCCCTAGACTAGGGGGAGGGGGGCACAACTAGGGGGAGGAACCCTCAACTAAGGAGGAGGCCGAGGGGCCCTCAAATAGGGAGGGGGCGCTCAACTAGGGGGAAGGGGGCCCTCAACAAAGGAGGAGGGGCCCTCAACAAAGGAGGAGGGGCCCTCAACAAAGGAGGAGGGGCCCTCAACAAGGGAGGAGGGGCCCTCAACAAGGGAGGAGGGGCCCTCAACATTCAACAAGGGAGGAGGGGCCCTCAACATTCAACAAGGGAGGAGGGGCCCTCAACAAGGGAGGAGGGGCCCTCAACAAGGGAGGAGGGGCCCTCAACAAGGGAGGAGGGGCCCTCAACAAGGGAGGAGGGGCCCTCAACAAGGGAGGAGGGGCCCTCAACAAGGGAGGAGGGGCCCTCAACAAGGGAGGAGGGGCCCTCAACAAGGGAGGAGGGGCCCTCAACAAGGGAGGAGAGGCCCTCAACATTCAACAAGGGAGGAGGGGCCCTCAACAAGGGAGGAGGGGCCCTCAACAAGGGAGGAGGGGCCCTCAACAAGGGAGGAGGGGCCCTCAACAAGGGAGGAGGGGCCCTCAACAAGGGAGGAGGGGCCCTCAACAAGGGAGGAGGGGCCCTCAACAAGGGAGGAGGGGCCCTCAACAAGGGAGGAGGGGCCCTCAACAAAGGAGGAGGGGCCCTCAACAAGGGAGGAGGGGCCCTCAACAAGGGAGGAGGGGCCCTCAACATTCAACAAGGGAGGAGGAGCCCTCGGCTAGGGGGGAGGGGGCACAACTAGGGGGAAGGGGGCCTCGACTAGGGGCCGGGGGGAGGGGCCCCTCAACTAGGGTGGAGGGCCCCTCAACAAGAGAGGGGGGGCCTCAACAAGGGAGGAGGGGTCCTCAACAAGGGAGGAGGGGTCCTCAATAAACAGCGAACTACTCCATCATTTGATTTAAATAGTTAGATTACCTAATGACATGAGAGATACACAGAGAGGCATCCTGCCCACAAACTCAGGTATAATCCCGTAGTTCACCAGATCTTCTGCGTCAATCTCCTGTACACCAATTCCATTATAGTCAACAAGAAGGGCTTTTAATAGTACATAATATAAAATTCACTTCAATGATTAATATTAATATCATTATTATTTTATTGAGCTCACCATACAAAAAGTGTAATTTAATCTTATAATTTGAATGGTCAGAACTATGGTGTCACCTTTAAAAAGTCATCGTTAATTTTAAGTTGTTGCTCGAAGTTTTCTTTGTTTTTGGTCTGATCAAGAATAGCTGCATCTTTAGATATTGGGCTACCAAACCCGACCGTTTTCTTAACTTTTCTGTTTCTGCAAAAGAGATATTTTTTACAAAAACCAGTATTCATGCGACATGCTCATAATATCTTTTTATTTATCTGCTCATAAGTCATTTTTAGATATATTTAGGTGGCTTATTTAGCCCTCTGAAGTGAGAACGTTTAATCCCTCGGCTTGGATTGAGATTATCCCGAACATACAGGACAAACATACCGGACAATCTCCCCAAACATACCGGACAATCTCCCCAAACATACCGGACAATCTCCCCAAATATACCGGACAATCTTCCCAAACATACCGGACAATCTCCCCAAACATACCGGACAATCTCCCCAAACATACCGGACAATCTCCCCAAACATACCGGACAATCTCCCCAAACATACAGGACAATCATCCCAAACATACCGGACAATCTCCCCAAACATACCGGACAATCTCCCCAAACATACCGGACAATATCCCAAACATACCTGACAATCTTCTCGATCCCCGCAAAAGCTCCGGAAGCAATGAAAAGAATATTGGTCGTATCAATCTGAATGGGCTCCGATCTGAGTTTTCGAGAGGGAATAAGTCGTTCAGGAATAGTAACTAAAGTTCCTTCTAAAAGCTTGAGGAGAGCCTGTTGTACTCCCTCACCTGATACGTCCCGCACATGTACATCTTTAGACCGCATCGAGATCTTATCAACCTGATATTATACAATAATATAGAGATCTTATCAACCTGATATAATACATATATAAAGAGACTGTTCAGAGAGGGGGGTTATTGCAGATAATATAAACATTACAGAAAATATATAAAAATTACAGAAAATATATGAACATTACAGATAATATAAACATTGCAGATAATATAAACATTACAGAAAATATATGAACATAACAGATAATATAAACATTGCAGAAATTATTAACATTACAGATAGTATAAGAATTAAACATAATAAAAGTAATGTTTAAACATACAGATGATATAAATAGCCGAAGACCCCCAAAGCAAGTGTTTATTTTACCTCATCGAGAAAGACGATGCCCCGCTGACACTTGTCCACATTAAAGTCGGCAGCAATAAGAAGTTTAGCGATAATAGACTCCACATCCTCCCCAACATACCCAGCTTGAGTGAGAGAAGTGCAGTCACAAATAGTCATAGGTACTTTTAGACAGTGAGCCAGGGACTGAGCTAACAGCGTCTTACCCGTCCCTGTTGCAATGTTAACTGTGAGTTATTACCGCTAATTAACGGTAATTACCGGTAATTGAGTATATATGGGGGGGGGTCAACCTCATTTTACCTCATTTTACCTCATCCCAATTTTGCCTTTTTTGGCAAGATTTTTTTGGAGATTCTCACTGTTTTGAAATGAAATAAAGATTATTTATAATGTTTCCTGTTTCGAAGAAGTATTCTTTAAAACCTGTAGGTCCGAGAAGCAAGACGTTAGTTTTATCCATCTTGGAGATACCCGACACTCTAGATGACTTCTTCTCAGATAAGTTTATCTGTATCCTCTTGTAATGATTGTAGATACCAACTGATAGCACTTTCTTCGGGTGGCTCTGTCCTATAACATACTCGTTCAGATACGAGAATATCTCTTTAGGGGTAGGAAGTCTGTCTTCTTTGGTGTCGTACGCTGGGTCAAGGTGGCTGAAATGCATCAAGTTACAATACTTCTTCTTCATTACAGAGAAAGCAAATGATGCACTTCCATTTTTATTAGTATATTTTATTAATACAATTTATTACTGGTACAACTGGTATGAATCAGTAATTTCAAGGATATCTGACCTTGATTCGACTCTCATGTCATTGTTGAAAATGTCACAAACGTAGAAATATTCACATTGCTGACATTTCACAAATCGTGGGGTGGTGGAAACTCCCTTCAGATTGTTTAGTGGGCCTCCGCACTTGGGGCAGCGGGAGATAGGGTCATCTGGATCAGAAGTACTGGACAACTGAGGGTGCAGGAGGTTAATATCATCACAAAGTATGTAGAGTTATTTAATGTGCCACCCTCTAGCTTTTAGACAGTAAAACTATGTAATGCTATCGTGTCCATTTAATTTCTTGTCCCGGCATTTAGACTTATTACTAGTAGCACAAACCTGACGAGAAGGGTGTTTAGAAGTAGTAGTAGAAAGGTGGGTGATGTGTTTAGGAGGGAGGGAGGCTGGTTGCAGGCAGGAGTAATGTTTCTTACAACATTGCACTTTAAACGTGCCCAGACATCTTAACACTCTTACTGATTGTATGGATACTTGACTCAACATTACTCACTACCATCCCTGTTAGATCATGTTCAGTGAGAGCCTAACATTTTTATTATTTTCAATCTCACTTGTTGATTTCTAAGATAAATTATGCATATCATTTTACAATATAACCGAAATTCTGAAGCCTGTTCCCTGATCGTTTCCGTGCATTCGGACTACCAAATGATAAATTATTACAACATAAACTTTATGTGGTACATTTATTTCGCAGCAGGAATATGAAGAACACATCTAAGCTGCATCCTTAGATATACCCAATTATATCGAATGCCATGCATCAAAAAATGAAAGAATAACTTCGTAAGGTGTTCGATGTCGGCCCATTACAAGTGATTACACTTGCAAAGAACGGGAGACATCAGTTATGATCTGCGGCAAACAGTGCTCCAAGAAAATTACTTCGAGGAAATACTGACAGCCCCACAGCAGCTCTGCCGAAACGTGTTTTGATTGATTAGCGAAAACACGTAAAACACAAGATCTTCAAGTTCAAAGTTGATGGGTTAGGGTAAAACAATGTTATCATGTCAAGGATGACGATAACATTGCGGCAGAACTGCTTATTCCTTATATTTGTGTCAGAGAACTTTGTACATACTGAAACTGAGCGCTCGATTTTACCATACAACACAAGGTTTTATGGTATTTCATATTATATTATTGATTATGGCGCGCACTATATCTTGACGGATAATATATAATAATCGTCAAAATCTCTTCGAAATATAGCGCGCGCTGCTTTCTTCTCGAAAAATAGGCACGAAGCTTCCAAATAGCTTCGGGTCGGGTCAGTCTATTAACAATGAAAAAACTATATCTCAATAGAAAGCTCAAAGCACATCCAATTTGATATTTATGAAATAATTCAACATTGAACATTTTGCTTGATTCTGCACTAAATTGACTTGAAGGTAATTTGACTTTTTACAAAGAACTATACGTTTTTGAGTTTGTTATTCTCTTTCAAAAATATTTCACTGTTCCAAGTACGTTGTCATTTGTATGTTGATGTATGTATAAGACATAAGTGCACAAATTAATTTTGAATATATGCTGCAACAGATCTCGAGTCATGAAGTTTAAAAGTAGTTATATATTACTGCAATGCACTCGTTTACCTGGGGACCTCATGAGGCTATCATGTTCATAAACATGAGAATTGAATAGAGATTCGGCGGAATGACAGGCTGAGCGCGGCCCAGTAATGCACTCGTGCGCGGCGGGTCATATAATACAACGTATGACAAAATATTTCAATCGAACTTAATAATAACAAATACAAATACTAGACACAAATACAAATACTAGACACTTAACTTTTAAATATGTATTATATTATATATCATGTATTATAACTTTTACATCCTAATATGCAATGTTCGATGGTAATGGTACGTATGTATAATATAAGCTGATTTGTCGTGAAAATCCTGAACCAATTTATACGTTTGTGCTCAGCTGATATCAAGCTTGGGGTGGTGCATTAAAAGCGGTATTTCGGTTGTAGGTTTACAACCTACCAGGACGCGCGCCGAGTTGGATTCGTCGACGGTCTTGGATAATTGGAACAAATATTTTACGAGTATCACCCGTTAAGCTAAATCACTCTAAAAAACTGTTTCAATCACGTGATTTGATTGACGATGTCAACCCTTTCAGATCGTTGCTCTGCGAATTAACAGAGCAACGATCTAGTCGATGCGAAGTAAAAATGATAGTTTGCGCGTCGAAGTTCTCCAATCACGTGATATGACCGTATATGGTATAAGGAAGTTAGTCTAATTTCTCGTTAGGGTAAGGGTTTCAGCATATGCTTTTGTTATTAGGATAGGGTTATTGACGGATGTTACTCGTCTAAATTTCTTCGAAGTAGCGCGCGCCGCTTTCTTCTCGAAATATTAGCAAGTGCTACGAAGTAGCGCGCGCCGGGCCAGACCATTAACAATGGTCAAATAGGGTTAGGGTTATGATCAGATAAGTAAAGAGGGTTTGTTAGTCTTACTCAGTAACTTATCACAGTGCTGGCAAGCACGAGCGGTGTCTTTATTGGGGGAATACTATGTACCCCCTTTACTATTGTACCCCCTTTACTATTATAACTCCTTTACACCCCCTTTGGTACACGTTGGAAGGCCGCCGCCTCCGGCAGGAGTTTTTCAGGCATTAAGACTCATCGGAAGTCGTTCAGCAGATTTATTTTTTAGTTCAAAACATTCTAATTTGATGTCAAAGATGACAGAAATAAGAAATAGTTATGTTGAGATTTTGAAGAAATTTGCATAAAATTCGCGCCAGCACTGTTATACGAAATTCGGTAAAAAACCCGAAATCGCCATATTCAGGTGCCTTAAAAACCATGTTAAAATTGAGTTAGAGATCTGAAATTTTTCAGGGCGTCTAGACGTTGACCAAATCGACTGCAAAAAAAGTTTCAAGTTTCAGGAGCATCGGGAAATGGGTTTTCTATAACCCCTGTTTTACGACAGATTGTCGTGATATATACATACATATATATATATATATACATATACAATGAAAACAACGATTCTACAAACTCAGAGTTTCATGCAAATGCAATCATCAGTGTCAGAATAAGTTTACTAAATTAATAAATCCATGTTTTCCTTACAAGCTCCTTCATAAAATTAACTTAACTAAACTAAATCAAAAACAAAATCAAACGAAACGAAACGAAATTGAAACGAAAATGAAATACAAGAACAAAAACTAAAATTAAAATAAATATTCCTAAAAGCATTTCTTCAGCATAAACTTGTTGGTGTGCCTACATTTACTTATGAGTTCCCTCCTCCTATTTAATAGATTGCCATCTTTATTTAAAATAATATAAAGTTTTTCAGTAAGGCAGAGATGCCAAGAATGCGCTTCTCTTCCATAACGGCGATGTTTGGGAAAAGAAGAACCGCAATTTTTTGATGTCACCATGGGATCGTATGATGGCGCTGAAACATGTGAACTTGTCGGCCTATACATGCTCAACCAACTCCAGCAGTATATTCCAGCCAACCAAATCGGTCTCTACAGAGACGACGGCCTAGCAATCATTCCACAAGCTAACGGACCGAAACTAGACCGAATCCGGAAAAAGATCACGGCTATATTCAAGGAGGAAGGACTAAAGATCACAATAGAAACCAATCTCGTTGAAGTCGACTTCCTAGACGTGACACTTAATCTTGACAGTGGGAAATACTTCCCCTTCCGAAAGCCAAATGACACACCGCTATATATCAACAAGCAGTCAAACCACCCACCAACAATCATAAACCAGCTCCCCAAAATGATAAACCGGCGTCTATCGGACATCTCCTGCAATAAAGAAGAGTTTGACAAAGCGAAAGGGATTTACGGAACAGCACTTAAAGAAAGCGGCCACGACCACCAACTAGAGTTTACAGATACTAGCACCGCCTTGCCACGAGCCAACAGGAAGAGATCCAGGAAGATCATATGGTTCAACCCCCCATACAGCTCAAATGTAACAACAAACATAGGCAAGAGCTTCCTCCGATTACTAGACAAGCACTTCCCCAGAGGACACCAATTTCACAAAATGTTCAACAGAAACACAATTAAGCTATCATACAGTTGCCTACCCAACGTAGGATCCATCTTAGCGAGCACCAGACACCAAGCTCAGAAAGAACCTACAATTAAATCGAAAACGTGCAATTGCAGAAAGCCGGAAATGTGCCCACTGAACGGACAATGCCTGGAAGCAGCAGTGATATATGAAGCAACTATTGCAGTGGAAAATGAAAAGAAAGAGCACAAATATGTTGGGCTTACTGAAAACACTTTTAAGACCCGTTTCAGTTCACACACAAGCTCTTTCAAACTCGAGAAGCTACGAAATCAGACGGAGCTATCTAAGAAAATATGGGAGTTGAAAGATAAACAAACACCATATAAAATATCTTGGAAAATAATCAAACATGCTCATCCGTACAAGGGGGGTACGAAAGATTGTCATCTCTGCCTTACTGAAAAACTTTATATTATTTTAAATAAAGATGGCAATCTATTAAATAGGAGGAGGGAACTCATAAGTAAATGTAGGCACACCAACAAGTTTATGCTGAAGAAATGCTTTTAGGAATATTTATTTTAATTTTAGTTTTTGTTCTTGTATTTCATTTTCGTTTCAATTTCGTTTCGTTTCGTTTGATTTTGTTTTTGATTTAGTTTAGTTAAGTTAATTTTATGAAGGAGCTTGTAAGGAAAACATGGATTTATTAATTTAGTAAACTTATTCTGACACTGATGATTGCATTTGCATGAAACTCTGAGTTTGTAGAATCGTTGTTTTCATTGTACAATGCTCCCCTCCCGGGTAGAGCACTCTTGAAACTGGATTTCTCCAAAAGAAACATCATATATATACATATATACATATATATATTCAGGGATAGACGCTTTGCCAGTCAATTATAGGCTATATTTAGGTGTCCGTAGATTCAGAAGCTTTAAAGATACAGCCATTTCGGACCACAGGTCTTGAAGATAATTGTTTAGACTTTAGTTTACATTATGTTAAAAAGTAATTCAACGTCATCATCACCACTTGATGACGTCATCAAGTTAACCATTTTTAAAACTTGATTTTTCACAAAGTAATCATTTTTAAAATCAATTTTACGCCATTAAGGAGTAATTTTATTCAAAATTTGAGTGGATATTGAAGTTAGATAATTGTTTAAGCATTCTGAAAATCTACCGGAAAGTTTTTCTAGCTTGCTCCTTCATAAATGATAAAGATATTCGCTATTATTGAAGTTAGTGCTTTTTTAAAGAATAATTTTATAAAAACGCTAATTTTACGTTCTAGTATTCTCTGGTGTTGCACCATCCCTTGGGTTGTGGAGCTCAATTTTGCTTCCTAAAGGTCTAAATTGTGTCATAGGCTAGTTTTAAAGTTGAAAATCGAAAAGTTGCACACGTGGGGCCACGCCCAAATTAATAGAAAATTGCTAAAATCACTGAATATTGCTGTTTTCACCAATTTCCGTCAACTTTGGAGTGCCGTTGTGATTACAGTTCTTCTTGAAATACTTTGAAACTTTTCATGCTTATCAAACTATATATAAAACACCATCATGCAAAAATTTACGGTGATTCAATATTGGATGCGCACGCAACTTCCGCTCAAGGTTTGCACGTGCGAAAGGTTAAAATTTTGCTCATTCGTGATTTTGAACAAATTCTGCTTTGCCACGACAGTTCAATGTCATTATATATGAATTTAATGCCAACTTGAATGAGTATAAAGTGGCATATTCAGTCAGTGATCGACCGATATGCTTACCTAAACACAAGGAAATGTTTTTAAAGGAAAAATTTCGAAATCGTTGAAATCACCTCCTTATTAATATTAATGAAGTTATGAGTTTACATTTCGGCTTTGTAAAGTACCCTGACATTATAATCAAAAAGAGATGATATTTGACCAAAACCCATAATCATGGGTAGAGTGGAGCGCTGCCAGTGTCTCTCTTTCCCAAACAAAAGGCAATGATATCAATTTGAATGACCGTTATCAAATGCAAAATTATACCGAGAATGAAATCGGTCGCTCGCTTTTCCCATTCATTTACAATTGAAATAGATTACATGTTATAAATCGAAACTTATTACAATTCGTAAGCCATGAATGAGTGGGAAAAGCGAGCGACCGATTTCATTCTCGGTATAATTTTGCATTTGATAACGGTCATTCAAATTGATATCATTGCCTTTTGTTTGGGAAAGAGAGACACTGGCAGCGCTCCACTCTACCCATGATTATGGGTTTTGGTCAAATTCATTAATAGTATATTAATATATAAGTAAGTAATTGAAATTGAATCAAATTCTTGCTTTCTTTGCTGTACATTGCAAATCGTATCGAAATCTGTAATTATCACTAGCTATCGACATCTGTAAGTTCTAACCATAGGACAGAAGAGATCCAAATGTCGAAGAGCGGCAAGTCCTCCAAGTGACCACTACACCACATGAATACAAATAGAAACACTGATTTCAAAGAATTCAATTTTAAATTTATGTACAGAGCTATCAAGTCAGGGAATACTCAATTTCGTGACATATTTCATATTTGCCGGCACTTTTCGTCAAATTATTCCAAATAATACACCTAACCACTGCATTTCTGCACATCTAAAAATTCAAAAAACCATCTCATAATCTGAAGATAAGGTAAATCCTACCAATTTATTGTAAACAAAGTTTCTGGATCCAAATTACACAGCTGCTGCTAGAGACAACTCTCCATCTGGTGATATAACACACTGGCACACCTTACATACAAATTACAGGGTGTTCCAAAACTAAATAACATTTAAACTTAAAGCACTGCCATTATCTGTGACTCAACTGAATAAACAAGATGTAATAGTTAAATGGCAGAGCAGCAAGTTGGAATGTGATTAAAATCATTCGAGTTTAAAAGGGGTCGGATAAGGATCATATCTAGATATGATCATCTAGACAAAATCAGTGCGACTCAAGCTCTCGATATAATGCCACACAACACAATCTGCAGTCCTGGCGTTCTGTCTAGCACTAGCATAAAAACTTGACTTATAAAAACATCAGTCACCTGCTAAAAGTATACTCACTTAAAAAATTAAATTAAAAATGAGCTTCAGGGAAGAAGGGAGACACCTCATACTGGGAAGGTTTTGGGAGCCGTAAGAAAATTTCCCTTCGAGGACAGGAATTTTTTCAAATAAATTTCTATTAAAGAAAACAATCAAATAAAAATGGCTACTGGACACGTAAAAACATTTCGCTCGCAGAAATACAAAATAAAAACAACAAAACCTGTTCCTGTTAGCCGTTTAGAAGGAACTGAATTCTTCGAATGTTTGAATCAATTTTCACTCATTCTCAATCAAAATAAAGGTACCCCGGAATCTCTCAACTGTACAGTACAAAAGGAGCTTCATGATACGTAGGACTACATCAACATGTCCACAGTTTGGGATTCCGCAGTGATTTTTTAATTCAGGGGTACCTATGTGCTCCGGACTCAAAATTCTGTGAAAAAATAAACCTAACATGAGCACCAATATTTTAAAAACAAGAAAAAGATTTTTACAAATCATTTTCGAATAACCATTTGTACACGTTAAATGGTGTGTCGGCAATCAACCGCATCATCTGATCAGGCAGTTCTTTCAAATCTTTAGTTCCAGTACAAAAATTAAGCAACAAAATGTCTTGTGACCGAAGATATATGAGCTATGCTGACTAATCAAGAATAGAAAAGGAGATTTATATGCCCAAGTCGAAACCCAATATTTAAATACACCCAAACATTATTAAAACATCTTAAAAAGACCTAGAAATTGACAAATATCATTGCAAAAATTAAATCGGAAAACAACTTACGGGGAACTAAATGGTGTAAATGGGTTTGCGCATCCTTTAGTCACAATAGAAAGATTCACAGTACACAACCTATCAGATACAATCTGATCTTCTGAAGACAGTCCCTCTCAGAGCCTACCACTGGGTCCGCTAATCGTTTGTTTCGTCGCCAGATTTTTGACAAAACAAACTGTTTGGCATACGACCATCACTTCCAAATTTTGATGTTTTGGAACGATTCGAATACATCGAGAAAATCAAAAGCTTCGTCGGTTCTTTTCAAACCATTATCACATTTTTTTTGGTATTTTTCGTCGAAATCATTGACAAATTTTACAGATCGTTCGAGAATTTCAAGAGTTCGGTTGATGAATTAAAGTTTCTGCAAATAATTCGCGACGACTCCCTGTTGTGCAGGTGCATGCATTTCTTTAGTGCCTTTTTCAGCCTTCTACTGCGCTTTTGTTCTATTGTAGGCTGAAATAAACGATAGTCAAATAAAATAGTCTGCGGAGAGATGGTATCATATTTTCAATAAGCAAGTTATATAAGAGCTACAGTCAGCAAGCGAGAAAATGAGAGGAGACCCACCTGGTGTCATAAATAGTGTAGTTGGGATGATGGGCATCGTTAGTAGTGTGGTTCTGTAAAAATATACTGTTAAGTTAATACTTCGAGAAATATTTAGAGATGATTTCAATATGGTGTTCGATAAAAATGAAAACAATAAAATAGTTGATCATGTAGTGAGAGGGTATAATTATAACGGCCGCAGTAAAAGGTCCCTAACCTCACTGGCAATAGAGTTAGTGCTTACAGCCTGAGGTGTGCTGTATGGAGTGTAGGAGTTTGGAGTGCCTATATAGCCTCCTCCGAGGTGCAACTGTCCCATCTGAGATGCCAGGGCGTGATGATCAACCGGTGACAGTTGAGGGGGGAATGTAGTCAGGGGAACAAATTGCGGGGACATCCACTGTCCGTTTGGAATGTTGTTGTACTGAATTGGTAGAGGTACCATCTGCATTGCTGAAATGGAGTATAGAGGTTCAAGATTTAACATTTGTTATATTTCCTCTATGGTGGTGCACACAAAGATCAAATTTGTAACTATGGACAACTTTTAAACCATTTTCAATTTGCCGGTAGGTAGCACTTAACAAATAAAATAGATTGGTAGAATTGATATTATTTTTATATCAAGTGAAGATGAATATTGCAAAACTCACAAGGGTGTATAAGTAGAGGTCTAGGGCCTGGTGTAGGAATAGCGGAAGCTCCGTTCTGTTGTAACGACACATCTGAATACATTGGCTGCACGAAGCTCATTGCTGGAAGTTGTCCGTTATCTTCCATTCCCGCTCCAGCTGCTGCCCATGCAGGAGCGAAGTAGACTAGAGGCCGTTTCTTGTTTGGATTCGGAGCTTCAGCAAATTTGACTATCAAAGGCTCTCCTCCTTGGGTTACTGGTTTGCCGTTCAGGGCTTTGATTGCCTTTTCGCATAATTCCTTACTTTCCAACCTGAAACACAGAGTTGCTATTGGCTGACTATGATGGACAGATATAAGATTTATTTGAATAAGTATTACTGGGAACGAAAAGCGCGCACAATTTGAACAGATGTGAATCCTAACAGAGGAGGCATACCAAGATCATTCAAAATAAAATTCTCGCTAACAAATTTGGAATAACTGATTATTGAAATTGCAACTTAATAGCGCACACACATTTTAAGTTTTTCCTACAACTATATCTAAGATTAAAGGAACTAGTTTTTGAAGTACATGGTGTTTTCTTGGTAAAATTTCTTTTCTAACTAATTGGTGTTCAGTTACCTGGCAAATCCAACACCTTTACTGTTCCCCTCTGGGTCTTTCAATATCCTAGATGAAACTATTTCACCGAACGGCATCACCAAACTGTTGAGTTGCTGAAAGATTCCCAATAAGTATTGAAAATATTGACCTACATCAGAAGATGAGATATATCTTAATATATTAAAATTACAACAGACAAAGAAATGAAAACTTCAGGCATACTTCCTCCGTGAAGGATCGAGGTAGATTGCTGATATACAGGTTTGTCACGTCTATATTGTCGTTGTGTTGCTTTATCTTTGAAGGATCGTGCTGTTGTTTTCTGATTTGATCGTTGATTGACATCTGAAATAAGGTAGTTAGTCACATCCTTCAATATAACGCAGTGGAGTTTGTTAATAGTAAAATAAATGGGAATTCTGCGGAAAACTACTTGTAAAAATGTCGGTTGGGAATCAATCGCTAGATCTATAAAATAGATTGTGTGTGCAATAGGTGGTACCCCTGGTAAGCAGTAAGCAGGCGGTCCCGGCCAGCAGTTGAGCGAACAGTCGTACAACTGCCTTTCCCGCGTTCGCGCGCGCTCAAATAAACTGCACAAAATGCTCACAATGACACTGTCTGCACACATCTTATTGAGAAATTTTTCGGCGGTTTTTTGCGTTTTCATTCAAATTACATAGCGGTAACATTGACAACGGTCACTTTCGTTTTAATGACTTAATCCAAGTCAAATCATGACACTTAAGCGAAAAAAGGGCTTTTTAAAGAAATAACAATCACAAAAGAGTAATCAAGTTACTCCACCGAGTGGAGAATGTCAAAGGAACATGCAAGAGAAAGCACGAAATTTCAGCACAGCCAAGTGAAGAAGATAAAGATGACATACCTTGCTACTAACCTTAGCAAACGATGCTTGCGTTCCTTGCAAAGTAAGATGTTGGCAAGCTTTCTGTGCCGCCTCAGGGCTTTCAAAGTCAACAAACCCATATCCTGAGGAAGTGTCTGGTAAAAATACTGGTATTTTATGAAGATAAGGCAGTATAAGAGATATATATAGCAGTATATAAGGTAGAAACACAATGATTACACGTGTTAACTGTAAGGGGAATGTTCAGAAGATGTAAGGTTTAACGCGTTTCTTTGTCTACACGCAGTTTTAAACAGGCCTTATCTTCTCGCACTTTAGCTTGACAAATATTAGAAGTAAATGTTGAACGTGTCAAAGTAAAACACACCCTTGCATTTGTTGCTCTGCTTGTCAGTGATGGCCTTTGTCGAGGTGATCTTACCAAACCTGAAAACAAGATGTCAGAAAGAATTTCATAACAGTTTTGCAAACTTATTTTTAGCTCTGAAAACAAAAACAGAAGCAGGAAATATTAGAATAATAACCTTTTACACATGTTAGCAAGTTCATCATCAGTGGTATGGTGGGGCAGTCCTCGTATATAGAGATTAGTGCGGCTCAGTTGCTCGGACTGGTTGTTATCATTCCTGTAACCTCCTCCGTTCTGTAATTAATTAAACTCATTAGTTAATTAATTAAACTAGTTGCAATAAGTGTGTTATAATTCTGCATCCAAAACTCCTTGTGGAACAGGTTGGTTTTAGAATGGTCACTAGGCTGAACAATAGAACATACGAGTACACTCAAAACCTTTAGAAGCTCCTTAACACGCCGCCACATGAACATTCTGCTAGCTGCGCTATGTATACTACTATATTGTATACTACAATATATACTACTATAACAACTGCTTATCTAAGTAGGGTACCGTTTAGAGGGACATCATTACACTCGGGCAACCAGCCAAAACCAGCCTATACAATAGAGTGCAGGGTGTGTTGCTGCTTCTCATTTAGAAATATGTTCTAATGTTGTGGATGACTTAGGTCGCTAATTGCTATGACTTAATGCGTAATATTATATAGTATTAGCTACATTTGGAGGGTGTGATCTAACGTTATGTCTAGGAGTATTATAGCATCTCATAGTACTCATACGTTACACGTAAGATGCGAAACAGTTAGAGTTATGATCGAATTAAGACAAGATCTCAGTATGAAAGTGCGTCAATCAGCGATTTAATACTAACTACAATCACATGGATGGGGGGGGGGGGGGGGGCTGATTATTTATAAGGGGTTGGGGGATCATCGCCATATTAGAATTTTTCGGTTAAATGTTGAAACAGAAGGATACAATTTATGCGCTTTTTTCTCACATTGAAAGATTGATTCACTTAACTTTAGTACTACACACTGGTAGGTACACACTGGTAAGTACACACTGGTAAGTACACACGGGTAAGTACACACTGGTAAGGACACACGGGTAAGTACACACGGGTAAGTACACACTGGTAAGTACACACTGGTAAGTACACACTGGTAAGTACACACTGGTAAGTACACACTGGTAAGTACACACTGGTGAGTGACCTTAAGGGTAATTAGGTACATACTAATTAAGGTAACTGGCAGGAACCCGTATAACCCTAAAATGGTGTCAAGACTCAAGAGACTAAAATAATTATTACCTATTTAATTCGCGTTTTTTACACCACTTGGGGGTCCAAATTTTGAGCTCTAAAACTCCTATTTCTTGGCCTATTTTTTATTTTTTCGTGCTGATTTGGAGGCTATTAAAGCATTTGGCCCAGTCAAAAAAGTTTCAGTTGTATATCTTTTACGGTTTTTGCGGAAAGTCGCGTTAAAGTTGATGCCGTGGTATCAGTAAAATGGTACGGATGGGTACGGATCCATAATCCATATATATCGTCTCGCTTTATATATAGTAAGAAGATTAGGCATTTACTTTCCGTATTTTGACAGATAAAATTTAGAGATTGAGGGGGTTAATTACAGTTTGTTAGTAGTAGTAGTAGTAGTAGTTGTAAGTTATTGTTAGTAGTTGGCTCAGATCCAGTTTTTATCAACAAATATATCACCACTTACAAGATGTTGTTTGTAGGTAAATTTATGTTATGTATTATAGAAAAACCATGCATCTCTGTACAGTGTACATCTGTGTAACTTCACGCTAAGTGAGCCTACAAAGTACAATACGGTGTATCTGTTAACAAGGTTTGTACAAAATTCTGCAGTTAAAAGATTTCCTAACTATGCAAGCGTGCTGCACTTTCCAACTTGTTCTGCATATAGGAGGAGTTTATACTCACATTATAATTATTGTTCTGCATGTAGGAGGAGTTTATACTCACATTATAATTATTGTTCTGCATGTAGGAGGAGTTTATACTCACATTATAATTATTGTTCTGCGTGTAGGAGGAGTTTATACTCACATTATAATTATTGTTCTGCATGTAGGAGGAGTTTATACTCACATTATAATTATTGTTCTGCGTGTAGGAGGAGTTTATACTCACATTATAATTATTGTTCTGCATGTAGGAGGAGTTTATACTCACATTATAATTATTGTTCTGCATGTAGGAGGAGTTTATACTCACATTATAATTATTGTTCTGCATGTAGGGGGAGTTTATACTCACATTATAATTATTGTTCTGCATGTAGGAGGAGTTTATACTCACAGTATAATTATTGTTCTGCATGTAGGGGGATTTTATACTCACAGTATAATTATTGTTCTGCATGTAGGAGGAGTTTATACTCACATTATAATTATTGTTCTGCATGTAGGAGGAGTTTATACTCACAGTATAATTATTGTTCTGCATGTAGGAGGAGTTTATACTCACATTATAATTATTGTTCTGCATGTAGGAGGAGTTTATACTCACATTATAATTATTGTTCTGCATGTAGGAGGAGTTTATACTCACAGTATAATTATTGTTCTGCATGTAGGGGGATTTTATACTCACAGTATAATTATTGTTCTGCATGTAGGAGGAGTTTATACTCACAGTATAATTATTGTTCTGCATGTAGGGGGAGTTTATACTCACATTATAATTATTGTTCTGCATGTAGGAGGAGTTTATACTCACATTATAATTATTGTTCTGCATGTAGGGGGATTTTATACTCACATTATAATTATTGTTCTGCATGTAGGAGGAGTTTATACTCACATTATAATTATTGTTCTGCATGTAGGGAGAGTGGTAAGACATTTTCTGCTGACCGGACCAGTAGTTACCTCGGTTACTCTGCCACTGCTGCTGGGCTGGACTGGGCGATCTTTTGTAGGGCATCTGAGGAGAACAGGCTGGATATTAAAACATAATATTACTATTTATACATATACAGGGTGTACCGTATAAAGTGTGACTTTTTTCAACTTTAAAAGTTTTTGACAGAATTAAACTTCACGGTTATTTTTAACTAAATTTTGTCAGAAATATAGTTGAAATATATATTGATTGAACAATAATAAACAAGAATTGCGCCGGTTAGCGGACGCTAGATTTCCATCAACCGTAGTGAATTTAAAATTAAAATTAACGATAGTTTTATGCTGGTCAAAATATTAAATAATGGTTCTTTATTCACCATTCTTGGGGCGCTACGGAACACAAAATGGAGGGGTTGCCATTGTCAATTAGTCAAATTTAAAAAGTTAAATGACCGGCGCGCGGAAACCGTAGCCTGTGCCTGTGTGGTGATATGCAGTTATCCGTAGTAGGTAATGCAACTCATAATAACATTTATGGTCCATTTCGTATAACAAATCAAGCACTCACAACAAAACAAGAAGTTAGTATGTTGTACTGCATCATGATCAATGATCAAGTAAAGAAAAGCGTGAGCTACTTAACACATTTATAAGATTCGGGAAATCGCTTGTTATTCAAATCAATTACCATAGAATTCAAATTGTATGCTAGGCGCCGCGCATTTGAGCTTGAGGTGTAATTCAATCAATCGTCAAATCGTGCAAACGTATGCGGAGGGTAACCATGTCGACGACACCGTAACTGCTCTGCACGCGGAGAATATGCATTAAAATAACGTATGCGGAGGGTTATGCATGTGTTCCTTTGTGACACCGAACGAAAAACATATCAACCTACTATACCCATTCTCAATTCCTTCCACTTCTATACATCTTATGCCTTTTTAAAGAAAAAGACAGTTGATGTAAAAAATATGGTTAATAGTGAAGCACCTTCCAAAAAAAGCCACCCTTCCCAAAAATTAAATATTTTAGTCTGAAATTGACATTATTCATGGCTGAGGTCCAAGATTTTCAAAATATAATAAAAACGTTTTAAAGACCTTCCTCAAAATTCTGCCTGGACAATCTCTTCTAAATGATCCCTAACACATATTTTGAAAGTTTCAGGGTGATTAATCAAAAACAGTCGGAGACAAATTATTTTTAGACTCGATTTTCACTACGCCAGATAAACTCGATTTTCACTACGCGTGATAGAAAATCGCTCGCACAATACAATTACTTATGAGCGCTGACCTTTGACCAGCGATAACTTCGGCTAGGAACAAAATTTTTTGATAGGAACAAAAGCAAATGATAGACATTACTCTTTACTGTCAAAAATAGCTAAAATATTGATTTCGAAATTTTTTTCTTGAGACCCCTAAATTACAGCAAGCTTAAGTTCCTAAATTAGCACCATAATAAAATAGCAATTTGTGAGAAATAAAAAATTGATTGGGACTTGAAATTTGGTATGCATAAATTCGACACCTAGTGACACAATGTGATGAAGAGTTTTTAGCAACTGCTCCTTCATAATATTTTGTATTATTTCTCAAAAAAGTCACACTTTCTATGGTACACCCTGTATACTGTGCACAGTGCGTGGAACAAGAGATACATTATAGCGTGAAGTGTGTAAGCAATAAAAATAAAACGAAAGCAAGGTACAGGAAAGTGTTACCTTTATATATAATACGAAAGGTAACATTTTTCTGTATATTATATACACTAGCAGGAACCCGTCTTACTATAAAGTGGTGTCAAGACTCAAAATACTAAAATAATTATTACCTATTTAATTCGCGTTTTTGACACCACTTGTGGGTCCAAATTTTGGGCACTAAAATTCTTATTCCTTGGTCAATTTTTTATTCTTTTCCCTCTTTTATACTGATTTGAAGGCCATTAAAGCATTTGACCCAGTCAAAAAAGTTTCAGTTGTATATCTTCTACGGTTTTTGAGGAGCACTAAGCAGTTGCAATGTGACTACTGTAGTAGTACCAACAATCCCACAGGGGGGGGGGGTCCAAGGGGAACTTTGGGGAGTTTTGGGGAACTTTTTTTGGGGAACTTCAGGAAACCTGGGGGACTTTCCCAAAGTTCCTCAAAAAATTATCAATGAAACAAATAATTTTGGGGAATTTTGGGGAACTTTTTTTTGGGGAACTTCAGAAAGTTCCCCAAAATTCCCCAAAATTCCCCAAAGTTCCCCAAAAAAATTATCATGCTTAAAAAATTATCATGCTGCAAGTATCAACAAGTAAGTTAAGATTATACCTTATAATAACATACATGTTAACATTAATGGGTATTAATGTATATTAGAGAAATTTTGAATAATTTTGAATAATTTTGAATAATTTTGGGGAACTTTGGGGAGTTTTGGGGAACTTTTTTTTGGGGAACTTCAGAAATCTTGGGGGACTTTCCCAAAGTTCCCCTTGGACCCCCCCCCCCACAATACTGTAAACCCCACCTGTTGTGCCTGTTTGATGGGATTAGAGAATATTGCTGTGTTCCTCTGTTGGGACTGTCTGGAGTTGTTAATGTTATCGTTGGAGACTGCATTGTTACTAGAGTTGTTATTGTTGATAGAGCCGTTTGTCAGTCCTGTGTTGTTGCTGTAGTGGTTCTGTCTCAATAATACCTGGGACAGGGAATATTTTAATGTCATTATTAATAAGGATATCATAATTGAGTTAAAAAACGTCTCAGGTGAATCTAAATCTACAACTTTGTTTAACTCACTTTCTTCTCTCAGGTGAATCTAAATATAGAACTTTGTTTAACTCACTTTCTTCTCTTCACCAACTGTTGTTAGTTTATCAGGGGACGGCTCGGAGTGAGCATAGCCATTCGTCTCGGTTGCTGTGTCGACAACCTCTGCCTCTACCATGGCCTACTGAACAGTTAACTGTGGTTAACTGGACCATTATAGAAAATAAAACACAATTAGTAACCTCTTACTGCCTGGTGCTAACTTCTCCTGCACTTCTCGCCCTGCTCACCTTGGGTCAGTGGGGCACGTAAAGGCAAGAGGAGGGTTAATGTGGAAATATTAAATATGCCTTCAGTTCACTTCAGTAACCAGTAAGTGTCCAAATTATAGTGTGTCGACATATTACAAAATTGTCATTGTAGACTAAAGGAACATTTACATTTCCATAAGTATCAACAACTGCAATATTAATTTACGGATGAAATATATGGCTTTTACTGCCAGTCATACAATGAGCTATAGAACTGATCCTACCATAAGCCAAGAATGCTGTCGCACTTTCACCAACATTGGCAAGAACAGCAGGAATGGATCCAGCAACTTTAAATGGTCCAAACTATGACATCATTCCATTAAAATTCAATCTCATGACCATTGACCATGGTAAAATCATAGATCAAGCTGTATTAATAACTTAAACCTATTAATAACTTAAACCTATTAATAACTTAAACCTATTAATAACTTAAACCTATTAATAACTTAAACCTATCAAAAACCAATTAATTTATAAAATAAAAGCAGAATTATAAATTACCTCCACGTCCAGCTATATCATACAACTTAATAATATTCATACATCTATCTACTATGGATATATAATCATATCCAAAGTTTAGCATTAGTAGGGTCTACATAGGTACTACTACTACTACATAGGTACTACTACTATTATTAGTAGGGTCTACATAGGTACTACTACTATACTACTATTAGCATTAGTAGGGCCTACAATCTACATAGGTACTACTATTACTAGTAGTACCCTATAATAATTACTTATATTAAATTCTAACTTCACAGGATATATGCTCCATTACAATATCCATTTTGACATTTTCATGATTTTAAGCATAAATGCATGAATTCGCAAAATTACTTAGAAAATTAAATAAATTCTAACATTTATTAGTATTACACGCTTCGACATTAAAATATACCCAACAAAGATGTAGGTTTAAGTCATTCAAGCGAGACTTAGTGAAGAAATATCAAGATTATGGACTTTTGTATCAGTTCAGATTTTAAGGACTTAAATATTTGTATGAAGTTACCAAAATTATGCACTTTCATATCAGCTCAGACATTATGGACAAATATTAGGAATATTATCAAAAGCTAGGTGGAAATAAAATGTCTTTAGGGCATTTTTAAAACATTCTACAGATGATAATGATCTCACTGAGTAGGGTAGTTCATTCCAAATTTTTGGTCCGCAAAACATAAATGCAGCATCTGTTCGTCTGAAATGAGGAGCAGAAGGAACTTAGAAATTCGAGTAAATATACATTTTGATTTCATTTTGTACAGCACGCCAATAAGCTCATTACAAGAGTAAAAGTTGATATTCTCGATTTCAAATTAAATTCATGAATATTTAGTTTAGTAAGGCTTAAAGGCTACCTTGTCAAAGGCTAGTTTAGTGTAATCCACTGCTACGAACAAGGCTCCACAACCAGGAAAAGCCCTCATTAAACAAGGAGTTATTCCTCTGAAAAATCCCTTATAACCAAATTCGCTGTAAATGTTCTTCATTGCATTTAAAGGAGAAAGAGACCCCACCTGAACCTGAGACTTGACAACATCTATTGGGTAAGCAAATCCCCAACACATTGTTCCACCAACACCGCCTGACACAGCAGTTTTCCATAAAGAAATTTCATCAGGATCTTTCATTAGAACTTTTTTTGCTGCTTCATAGCCACCAAAGAAATAAAAATAGCCCCACGTTTCTCTCAATAATGTTGGCGTCCACCCTCTCATAAGTTTAAGAGGTCCCTCTTTAGTAGCAATGTGCATGAACATGGCAAATGGTTTGGTGGGTACACCTTTTGCAGCTTTTCCAGTGATATACTGAGTCTGTAGTCTGCATTTAACCAGTTCAGTGGGTGTAAGGACAAATGAAGCGCATGCTCCAGAGCCAGCCCCACAGAAAGCTTGACTCAACAAGGATAACTCTTGATGGCTTTTACTGCCAGTCATATATTGAGCTATAGAACTGATCCTTCCATAAGCCAAGAATGCTGTCGCACTTTCACCAACATTGGCAAGAACAGCAGGAATGGAACCAGCATACAGACCTCTGATGCCCTCTTGCTTGAAAGTTTTCGATAATGTTACTATTACAGAACGATATTCATTAGGAAATGTCTGCATTTTAACTTTAGTCGTATCAAGGGGTTGAGTAGAATAAACAGCTGTAATGCCTCCAATCACCCCAGCCATAAAGTCTCGAAAACTTTCTGCAATCCATCTATACTTTTCGTCTAGCATACCCTACATGAAACATTGTCTAGTAGTGGAATTTGCATATGCTAACATCAAAGTATAATAGAATGCGGGGTCAAAATTCTCCCCTTGCACTCATTTAAGAATTTCAAGGTACTATAACATTCAAAATTATAAGTCAAGATACAGGAAATTTTACAGACTGAAAGAAATGGAGCTTTTCTAGTTTTTGCTTTGGTTGAAATCCTTATCTGGTTTGAAAGCTACCTTTGAGGCAGAAAACAGTGCACCAAAATACGTGGTAATGTAAGTTCACTGCTTCCTGTAAACACAGGTGTGCCACAGGGCAGCATATTAGGACCGATTCTCTTTAGTATATGCATAAATGATCTTAGTCGTAATTGCACACAGTCTACTGCTTGCTTATTTGCAGATGACAGTGCACTATATTTCGATAATATTTCTAGAGGCTTACACCTATATGACAATGTTATAGAAGATACGAAAATTGTGTATGAATGGCTTAGAATTAAAAAGTTGAGACTAAATGTTGCAAAGCCTTCATTCATAGTATTTGACAAATGTCCTAATCTTGACAGGCTGTCAATCCCTCTTGATTTGGAAAACGACTGTCTTCACATAGAAGAAACCAAATCTCAAAAATACTTAGGTCTCAAGGATACAAGGATGCAAGGATACAAGGATACAAAAGTGATAATTATTTTATTGAATTCACAATGGTTATAATTCTGAAATAATTTAAGGTTACACAATACTAGTTGTTTACAAATGTGTAGGGATGAAATAGAAATGTTTTATAATACTATTTTTCTATGATCGGTAGATCGGATTTGTAGATTTCGATCTTATTTTGAGGTCCTATAGCATTATGCATTGGCCAGTATTTGAGTGGAAATCTGGGCTCTTACAGTGTACAGTAGGCTGTAAATTGTTCGTTCACAGAGTAGAGAATTGAATGGATCGCTCTTGCTGTAGCAGTAAATTTTGCAGGATCTAGAGTTTTATCGGATAGCAAACCGGCTAGGTCATTAATATTGTTGGGATGGAAGTTACATTTTTCTCTAACTGAGGAGCAGAGTAAACAGTCAGTTAGAACATGAATTTCTTGGAGGACTTCGCCGCTTCGACGCGCCGCGCGAACTAGCATTCTTGCTTCGCATCGTCGATCGTCGCATCGTCGATCGTTGCTCTGCTTCGCAGAGCAACGATCTCGATGGGTTGACATCGTCAACCAAATGAATTTCGTCCTCAATAGGCTTAAGCCCCTTGCTGAAAAAGCAGAAAGTGCACCATCGATGTTCTTTGTTACTGGGCCGCGCTCAGCCTGTCATTCCGCCAAATCTTTATTCGGAATGAACATAATAGCTTGGGGTCCTCAGGTAATTCTTTTGGTACTAGGGGGTTTCGTAACGGCCCTTCTCAATGTAAATATTGTGGCAGCTAATACGAAACCTTGTTAAGCTTTTCCGAGCATCACGGATCTTAACCACTCCTAAGTAAAATACAATTTTTAAAGTAAAGTATTGAATTATAAATATCCGATAGTTTCATTAATAATCATTAAAAGTTGCTTTGTAAAATCAAAAACGAAAAGCCGTACGCTGAACGCGCGCTGCATCTTATCGGCAGCTGCCTAGCTTGTAGCCGCTAACATCAAAGCCGCCGCGCGCGCAAAGTGCTGGGGTGCATTCTCATTGACAATTAAACTTGGTCAAAGACTAATCATACTTTATAATGGTTAAAAACAAAGTAAAAAGATTTTCCTCGTTGGGCCGGCATTAGCAACCGCGAAAAGTTTTGAGTATGACAAACGATGACACCACCACCAGCCCTTAATTTATAAGTCCATGGGATAAAATTTAACGGGTGATACTCGTAAAATATGTGTTCCGTATATTGGGTTGTCATTTGTAGCGCGATGCACTACTGGGTCGCGCGCGCATCAAATAATGCTTCTCGCAACCACTTCGGTAGATCGGCGAGATGCACCACTGTGCCTTGATTCACGATGTCAATCCTTCGCAGCTCGGTGAGGCACAGTGGTGCATCTCGCCGATCTACCGAAGTGGTTGCGAGAAGCATTATTTGATGCGCGCGCGACCCAGTAGTGCATCGCGCTACAAGTTACACGCTAGCGATCTCAGTCCCCAATAAACGTGTGACCCAACAGAAGGGATTGTGGAAGGACACGTACATTTTTCATTAACACGTGCCCTGATTACCCCCTCCGTTGAGCTACGGCCGGGGAACGTTGTATGCTAGTCTGTAGTCAGATCGTTAATAAATTTTGATTTAAAATTGATTGCCGGGCGATGATGTCAGTGAGGGACGTTAAGTTAGGTGAACATTGGTACAAAAATATTTGCTCTAACCAGATCAGAGCCCTCTCGCTTGCGGCTTTTACTAATTCGCTCGCCCAAAAATTTCACGTGACTTTGGTTTTTATGGTTTTGCAGCCGTACAAAACGGTTTTACATGAACCTTAATCCCAACCCTAACCCTAACCATAACCCCGAAGCTAACCATAACCCTTACCACAACCTTAACCCTAACCCGGGCCCTAAACAATCGAATTCGTATTTTACTAGCCTGTCACGTGACCAAAACGGTTTGTTGCCCATAACTCTCTAGGGAAGCATTTTAACCCTACGTTATGGGGGGTGATTCGGAATCAGCGTCCAAAAATACACCGATTTAGATCACTTTCATGCCCAAAGGGCCTTTTCACAAGAATTTTCTAAAAATTTGGGCGAGCGATTTAGTAGGAGCGCTCGCTTGCAGTAGCGCGCGACCGAAGTATTCTACTTGTGAAACAAACGCGTCACGCAGTACGCGTATACACATGGCTATGTGAACGCGTATACACATGGCTATGTGAACAAAAATATAATAATATAGCAGTTTATCTCTAAGTTACAATCACTATTTGTTAAAGTATACAAACAGTTCCATTCAAAAGAAAACAGTCCGAGAGCAGAAACAAAAAAGAAGATTTAGAGACTATACACGCATTTGTGGGGTTTAAATTTGGTATTAGTAATTTTAGGGTTCGACCGAAAATGTTGTCATACGTTGTATGACCCGCCGCGCACGAAGTGCGCGGCTCCCCCTGTATCGTCACATAGTGAAACGACCGTGGGGGTCGCAACGTGATACAACGAAAATGTTGGTCGGTTAGTTTTCTTAATAGGGAGCAGTCACTGTCATTAGAATTATCAGATTAGGAGCAACGATTAGAATCTAATTTTGTGACATATTGTGGCCCAGAAATCAGCGAAAACTAGAATGGCGGTAAAATGCTAGCGTGCCTTATTATTATGCGCGCTAACATACTAGCTGCTGAAAATAAAGAAGTGTATCCATGATAATGTTGTTTGGCGGCAGCGCCTGCCGATACCTGGATTATATTGTGTTTAACTTAAAATTCAGTGAAATTTTTTTGTATCACGTGGTGACCCCCACGGTCGCTTCGACGATACAGGGGGAGCCGCGCACTTCGTGCGCGGCGGGTCATACAACGTATGACAAAAATTTTTGTCATTCCATTCAACATCATACCTGTTTTGAGCATTCATCAACGACTTTTGTAATTTATTCTTAACAGAATAACAAGAGGAATTAAAATTAAATGAGCCAATTTTACAAAACTCGTTCCACAGCCACGCTGATTTATAGATAAATTGTTTAGTTGGAGAAGGTGTGATTAACATATTGTCTTTCCTATTATATATATATGAGATATGGTGAACAAAGAGTACAGTGAAGGATAAACATTGTATTTTCTAAATTAAATCATTTATATATTATATTAACAATAATAAGTAACAAGCATGAAACACCATCCCAAAGAGAGCTAAAGTTTTTAAGTACAGCGATTGTCAATTTGAATATATTATTTCCATAAAATACAGTTAAAAGAATCCAAAAATATTATGTTTACAAATCATCTTTAAATCTTAATTAATTTTTAACATCCAGCCTTACAAAAACAAAACACATTTATTGTTCAATTCAATTAAATTTTAACACAATGTTCCTAGTCTCCACACACAATGTCTGCCTGAGTAATTATAGGTTTTACAGCAATACAAAACTTAGACATGCAGCACCGGTCTCCACAAATTTGAAATTTTCCGAACTTAATTTCTGAAAAAATTATCGTTCAATGTTCAACTTTTAATATTTAAATGGATAATGATAATAAAATGGAATTGTGATCGTTAATACGAGACATTCCTCGCAACCATGAATTACAGCTTAAGATATTCCTAGCCACAAATTGATTCAATAAAACTAGTCTCACTTACCAATTACAAATATTCCAATTCCAGTTAATAAAATACCTAAACTCAGGTTTCTACACAACTACATAAATAAAACAAAATCGACCGCTTCGAATTGAAAAATAATAAATTAGTCTCTTTAATAGTCTGTAATAATGCCTCCTCAGAACTGATTGCCTACACTGTTACTAAACATGTGAAGCATACTAAGGGCGTCCGGAGCGAGCTGAGAGGAGGAGGAGGAGACGGGACCCCCCGCACTACAGACGGGGGTGCCGGGGGCGGCTGGGGTGGCGTGTAGTGTGGTACTGGACATGTGGTGGTTTACGAAGTGTTTCTTCAGGAGCAAGATCCGAACAAAAGATTCTTCACACTGCAATGTAGGGTCGTTAACAAAATAGGAAGTATATACTGCAGTAAAACCACGTGACTAGTTATTGAGCAGTGTTATTAGTAACTCTAAAGTACCCAACTGGTGATATTATGTAGTTCAAGTTTGAGTATTGTCGTAATTTCGCTAAAAAATCGTGGTATTATTGCATTAAATACTACTAATATGGTATTATTGCATTAAATACTACTAATATGGTATTATTGCATTAAATACTACTAATATGGTATTATTGCATTAAATACTACTAATATGGTATTATTGCATTAAATACTACTAATATAACTTCTAATATATACGGCACTGCTACTAAAAAGCAGTTGTTATATTTAAATATCTAGACTGTTATTATATTTTATATTGCTCTGTATGTAAATATATACAGTATAAACTGTTGTTAAAAAGAAGACTGCTAGTAAGGGGTGTCACTGTATCACATGCAGACGGGAGGTAGAGAGCCCACACACACTAGCGGCGTAACGTAGCAACCAGCGGCGTAACGTAGCAACTTACCTGACTACACTTGTAGGGCTTCTCAGTCGTGTGCATTGCCAGCGAGTGTCGCTTGAGAGTGCTGGACTGGCAGAAACCTTTACCACACAGGCGGCAGACAAACGGCTTCTGCAGTGTTAGTTACTAGTTAGAGAGGAGTAGTTACACTACTACTACACTACTACACTACTACACTACTACACTACTACACTACTACACTACTACACTACTACACTACTACTTTACCACACAGGCGGCAGACAAACGGCTTCTGCAGTGTTTAACCGGTCAGACAGTAAACTTACTACAATCTCAGATCAGACAACTTACACTTACAGTTACTGTTAACATATAATGCTTTTGTTACAGTTACAGTTACAGTTACAGTTACAGTTACTGTTACTGTTACTGTTACTGTTACTGTTACTGTTACTGTTACTGTTACTGTTACTGTTACTGTTACTGTTACTGTTACTGTTACTGTTACTGTTACTGTTACTGTTACTGTTACTGTTACTGTTACTGTTACTGACCTCTCCCGTATGTATCCGGACATGTTCCGTCAAATTCCACTTGTAAACAAAACTTTTTGGACAAAAGGAGCACTTGTAAGGACGTTCTGAACTGTGAATCTTCATGTGTCGTAACAACCTGTAAAAACTAAGTGTCACACTGATGTTTAACTGATGTGAGTAACAAATGAAGTGTCACACTGGTGTGTACCTGATGTGAGTAACAAATTAAGTGTCACACTGATGTGTACCTGATGTGAGTAACAAATGAAGTGTCACACTGATGTTAACCTGATGTGAGTATCAAATGAAGTGTCACACTGATGTTTACCTGATGTGGCTATCAAATTAAGTGTCACACTGATGTTTACCTGATGTGGCTATCAAATTAAGTGTCACACTGATGTGTACCTGATGTGAGTATCAAATGAAGTGTCACACTGATGTTTACCTGATGTAAGTAACAAATGAAGTGTCACACTGATGTTAACCTGATGTGAGTAACAAATGAAGTGTCACACTGATGTTTAACTGATGTGAGTAACAAATTAAGTGTCACACTGATGTTAACCTGATGTGAGTAACAAATGAAGTGTCACACTGATGTTTAACTGATGTGGGTAACAAATGAAGTGTCACACTGATGTTTACCTGATGTGAGTAACAAATGAAGTGTCACACTGATGTTAACCTGATGTGAGTAACAAATTAAGTGTCACACTGATGTGTACCTGATGTGAGTAACAAATGAAGTGTCACACTGATGTTAACCTGATGTAAGTAACAAATGAAGTGTCACACTGATGTTTACCTGATGTAAGTAACAAATTAAGTGTCACACTGATGTGTACCTGATGTGAGTATCAAATGAAGTGTCACACTGATGTGTACCTGATGTAAGTAACAAATGAAGTGTCACACTGATGTTTACCTGATGTGAGTAACAAATTAAGTGTCACACTGATGTGTACCTGATGTAAGTAACAAATGAAGTGTCACACTGATGTTTACCTGATGTGAGTAACAAATGAAGTGTCACACTGATGTGTACCTGATGTGAGTAACAAATGAAGTGTCACACTGATGTTAACCTGATGTGGGTAACAAATGAAGTGTCACACTGATGTGTACCTGATGTGGGTAACAAATTAAGTGTCACACTGATGTGTACCTGATGTGAGTAACAAATGAAGTGTCACACTGATGTGTACCTGATGTGAGTAACAAATGAAGTGTCACACTGATGTGTACCTGATGTAAGTAACAAATGAAGTGTCACACTGATGTTAACCTGATGTGGGTAACAAATGAAGTGTCACACTGATGTGTACCTGATGTGGGTAACAAATTAAGTGTCACACTGATGTGTACCTGATGTGAGTATCAAATGAAGTGTCACACTGATGTTAACCTGATGTGGGTATCAAATGAAGTGTCACACTGATGTGTACCTGATGTAAGTAACAAATGAAGTGTCACACTGATGTGTACCTGATGTGGGTATCAAATGAAGTGTCACACTGATGTGTACCTGATGTGGGTAACAAATGAAGTGTCACACTGATGTGTACCTGATGTAAGTAACAAATGAAGTGTCACACTGATGTTAACCTGATGTAAGTAACAAATGAAGTGTCACACTGATGTTTACCTGATGTGAGTAACAAATGAAGTGTCACACTGATGTGTACCTGATGTGAGTATCAAATGAAGTGTCACACTGGTGTGTACCTGATGTGAGTAACAAATTAAGTGTCACACTGATGTTTACCTGATGTGAGTATCAAATGAAGTGTCACACTGATGTGTACCTGATGTGAGTATCAAATGAAGTGTCACACTGATGTTAACCTGATGTAAGTAACAAATGAAGTGTCACACTGATGTTTACCTGATGTGAGTAACAAATTAAGTGTCACACTGATGTTTACCTGATGTGAGTAACAAATTAAGTGTCACACTGATGTTTACCTGATGTGAGTAACAAATTAAGTGTCACACTGATGTGTACCTGATGTGAGTAACAAATTAAGTGTCACACTGATGTTTACCTGATGTAAGTAACAAATGAAGTGTCACACTGATGTGTACCTGATGTAAGTAACAAATGAAGTGTCACACTGATGTGTACCTGATGTGAGTATCAAATGAAGTGTCACACTGATGTTTACCTGATGTGAGTAACAAATGAAGTGTCACACTGATGTTTACCTGATGTGAGTAACAAATGAAGTGTCACACTGATGTTTACCTGATGTGAGTAACAAATGAAGTGTCACACTGATGTTTACCTGATGTGAGTAACAAATGAAGTGTCACACTGATGTTAACCTGATGTAAGTAACAAATGAAGTGTCACACTGATGTTTACCTGATGTGAGTAACAAATGAAGTGTCACACTGATGTTAACCTGATGTGAGTAACAAATGAAGTGTCACACTGATGTTTACCTGATGTGAGTAACAAATGAAGTGTCACACTGATGTTTACCTGATGTGAGTAACAAATGAAGTGTCACACTGATGTTAACCTGATGTAAGTAACAAATGAAGTGTCACACTGATGTTTACCTGATGTAAGTAACAAATGAAGTGTCACACTGATGTGTACCTGATGTAAGTATCAAATGAAGTGTCACACTGATGTTTACCTGATGTGAGTATCAAATGAAGTGTCACACTGATGTGTACCTGATGTGAGTATCAAATGAAGTGTCACACTGATGTTAACCTGATGTAAGTAACAAATGAAGTGTCACACTGATGTGTACCTGATGTGAGTATCAAATGAAGTGTCACACTGATGTTTACCTGATGTGAGTAACAAATGAAGTGTCACACTGATGTTAACCTGATGTGAGTAACAAATGAAGTGTCACACTGATGTTAACCTGATGTAAGTAACAAATGAAGTGTCACACTGATGTTTACCTGATGTGAGTAACAAATGAAGTGTCACACTGATGTTTACCTGATGTGAGTAACAAATGAAGTGTCACACTGATGTTAACCTGATGTAAGTAACAAATGAAGTGTCACACTGATGTTTACCTGATGTGGGTAACAAATGAAGTGTCACACTGATGTTTACCTGATGTGAGTAACAAATGAAGTGTCACACTGATGTTTACCTGATGTGAGTAACAAATGAAGTGTCACACTGATGTGTACCTGATGTAAGTAACAAATTAAGTGTCACACTGATGTTTACCTGATGTGAGTAACAAATGAAGTGTCACACTGATGTTTACCTGATGTGAGTAACAAATGAAGTGTCACACTGATGTTTACCTGATGTGAGTAACAAATGAAGTGTCACACTGATGTTAACCTGATGTAAGTAACAAATGAAGTGTCACACTGATGTTTACCTGATGTGAGTAACAAATGAAGTGTCACACTGATGTTTACCTGATGTGAGTAACAAATGAAGTGTCACACTGATGTTAACCTGATGTAAGTAACAAATGAAGTGTCACACTGATGTTTACCTGATGTGGGTAACAAATGAAGTGTCACACTGATGTTTACCTGATGTGAGTAACAAATGAAGTGTCACACTGATGTTTACCTGATGTGAGTAACAAATGAAGTGTCACACTGATGTGTACCTGATGTAAGTAACAAATTAAGTGTCACACTGATGTTAACCTGATGTAAGTAACAAATGAAGTGTCACACTGATGTTTACCTGATGTGAGTAACAAATGAAGTGTCACACTGATGTTTACCTGATGTGAGTAACAAATGAAGTGTCACACTGATGTTAACCTGATGTAAGTAACAAATGAAGTGTCACACTGATGTTTACCTGATGTGGGTAACAAATGAAGTGTCACACTGATGTTTACCTGATGTGAGTAACAAATGAAGTGTCACACTGATGTTTACCTGATGTGAGTAACAAATGAAGTGTCACACTGATGTGTACCTGATGTAAGTAACAAATGAAGTGTCACACTGATGTTTACCTGATGTGAGTAACAAATTAAGTGTCACACTGATGTGTACCTGATGTGAGTATCAAATGAAGTGTCACACTGATGTGTACCTGATGTAAGTAACAAATGAAGTGTCACACTGATGTTTACCTGATGTGGGTATCAAATGAAGTGTCACACTGATGTTTACCTGATGTGAGTAACAAATGAAGTGTCACACTGATGTGTACCTGATGTGAGTAACAAATGAAGTGTCACACTGATGTTTACCTGATGTGAGTAACAAATGAAGTGTCACACTGATGTTTACCTGATGTGGGTAACAAATGAAGTGTCACACTGATGTTAACCTGATGTGAGTAACAAATGAAGTGTCACACAGATGTTTACCTGATGTGAGTAACAAATGAAGTGTCACACTGATGTTAACCTGATGTGGCTATCAAATGAAGTGTCACACTGATGTTTACCTGATGTGGGTATCAAATGAAGTGTCACACTGATGTTTACCTGATGTGAGTAACAAATGAAGTGTCACACTGATGTTAACCTGATGTGGCTATCAAATGAAGTGTCACACTGATGTTTACCTGATGTGGGTATCAAATGAAGTGTCACACTGATGTTTACCTGATGTGAGTAACAAATGAAGTGTCACACTGATGTTAACCTGATGTGGCTATCAAATGAAGTGTCACACTGATGTTTACCTGATGTGAGTAACAAATGAAGTGTCACACTGATGTTTACCTGATGTGGGTATCAAATGAAGTGTCACACTGATGTTTACCTGATGTGAGTAACAAATGAAGTGTCACACTGATGTTAACCTGATGTGAGTATCAAATGAAGTGTCACACTGATGTTTACCTGATGTGGGTATCAAATGAAGTGTCACACTGATGTTTACCTGATGTGAGTAACAAATGAAGTGTCACACTGATGTTTACCTGATGTGAGTATCAAATGAAGTGTCACACTGATGTTTACCTGATGTGAGTAACAAATGAAGTGTCACACTGATGTTTACCTGATGTGAGTAACAAATGAAGTGTCACACTGATGTTACCTGATGTGGGTATCAAATGAAGTGTCACACTGATGTTTACCTGATGTGAGTAACAAATGAAGTGTCACACTGATGTTTACCTGATGTGAGTAACAAATTAAGTGTCACACTGATGTTTACCTGATGTGGGTAACAAATGAAGTGTCACACTGATGTTTACCTGATGTGAGTAACAAATGAAGTGTCACACTGATGTTAACCTGATGTGAGTATCAAATGAAGTGTCACACTGATGTTTACCTGATGTGAGTAACAAATGAAGTGTCACACTGATGTTAACCTGATGTAAGTAACAAATGAAGTGTCACACTGATGTTAACCTGATGTGAGTATCAAATGAAGTGTCACACTGATGTTTACCTGATGTGAGTATCAAATGAAGTGTCACACTGATGTTTACCTGATGTAAGTAACAAATGAAGTGTCACACTGATGTTTACCTGATGTAAGTAACAAATGAAGTGTCACACTGATGTTTACCTGATGTGAGTAACAAATGAAGTGTCACACTGATGTGTACCTGATGTAAGTAACAAATGAAGTGTCACACTGATGTTTACCTGATGTGAGTAACAAATGAAGTGTCACACTGATGTGTACCTGATGTGAGTAACAAATGAAGTGTCACACTGATGTGTACCTGATGTGAGTAACAAATTAAGTGTCACACTGATGTTTACCTGATGTGAGTATCAAATGAAGTGTCACACTGATGTTTACCTGATGTGAGTATCAAATGAAGTGTCACACTGATGTTTACCTGATGTGAGTATCAAATGAAGTGTCACACTGATGTTTACCTGATGTGAGTAACAAATGAAGTGTCACACTGATGTTAACCTGATGTAAGTAACAAATGAAGTGTCACACTGATGTGTACCTGATGTGGGTATCAAATGAAGTGTCACACTGATGTTAACCTGATGTAAGTATCAAATGAAGTGTCACACTGATGTTTACCTGATGTAGTATCAAATGAAGTGTCACACTGATGTTTACCTGATGTAGTAACAAATGAAGTGTCACACTGATGTTAACCTGATGTAAGTAACAAATGAAGTGTCACACTGATGTTTACCTGATGTGGGTAACAAATGAAGTGTCACACTGATGTTTACCTGATGTGAGTAACAAATGAAGTGTCACACTGATGTTTACCTGATGTGAGTAACAAATGAAGTGTCACACTGATGTTAACCTGATGTAAGTAACAAATGAAGTGTCACACTGATGTGTACCTGATGTGGGTATCAAATGAAGTGTCACACTGATGTTAACCTGATGTAAGTATCAAATGAAGTGTCACACTGATGTTTACCTGATGTAAGTATCAAATGAAGTGTCACACTGATGTTTACCTGATGTGAGTATCAAATGAAGTGTCACACTGATGTTTACCTGATGTGAGTAACAAATGAAGTGTCACACTGATGTTAACCTGATGTAAGTAACAAATGAAGTGTCACACTGATGTTTACCTGATGTGGGTATCAAATGAAGTGCACACTGATGTTTACCTGATGTGAGTAACAAATGAAGTGTCACACTGATGTTAACCTGATGTAAGTAACAAATGAAGTGTCACACTGATGTTTACCTGATGTGGGTATCAAATGAAGTGCACACTGATGTTTACCTGATGTAAGTAACAAATGAAGTGTCACACTGATGTTAACCTGATGTGAGTATCAAATGAAGTGTCACACTGATGTTTACCTGATGTGAGTAACAAATGAAGTGTCACACTGATGTTAACCTGATGTGGGTATCAAATGAAGTGTCACACTGATGTTTACCTGATGTGAGTATCAAATGAAGTGTCACACTGATGTTAACCTGATGTGAGTAACAAATGAAGTGTCACACTGATGTGTACCTGATGTGAGTAACAAATGAAGTGTCACACTGATGTGTACCTGATGTGAGTAACAAATGAAGTGTCACACTGATGTTAACCTGATGTGGGTATCAAATGAAGTGTCACACTGATGTTAACCTGATGTGAGTATCAAATGAAGTGTCACACTGATGTTTACCTGATGTGGGTAACAAATGAAGTGTCACACTGATGTTTACCTGATGTAAGTAACAAATGAAGTGTCACACTGATGTTAACCTGATGTGGGTATCAAATGAAGTGTCACACTGATGTGTACCTGATGTAAGTAACAAATGAAGTGTCACACTGATGTGTACCTGATGTGGGTATCAAATGAAGTGTCACACTGATGTTTACCTGATGTGGGTATCAAATGAAGTGTCACACTGATGTGTACCTGATGTGGGTATCAAATGAAGTGTCACACTGATGTTTACCTGATGTGAGTATCAAATGAAGTGTCACACTGATGTGTACCTGATGTGGGTATCAAATGAAGTGTCACACTGATGTTTACCTGATGTGGGTATCAAATGAAGTGTCACACTGATGTTTACCTGATGTGAGTAACAAATGAAGTGTCACACTGATGTTTACCTGATGTGAGTAACAAATGAAGTGTCACACTGATGTTTACCTGATGTGGGTATCAAATGAAGTGTCACACTGATGTGTAACTGATGTGAGTATCAAATGAAGTGTCACACTGATGTTTACCTGATGTGGGTATCAAATGAAGTGTCACACTGATGTTTACCTGATGTAAGTAACAAATGAAGTGTCACACTGATGTTTACCTGATGTGAGTATCAAATGAAGTGTCACACTGATGTGTACCTGATGTGGGTAACAAATGAAGTGTCACACTGATGTTTACCTGATGTGGGTAACAAATGAAGTGTCACACTGATGTTTACCTGATGTAAGTAACAAATGAAGTGTCACACTGATGTTTACCTGATGTGAGTATCAAATGAAGTGTCACACTGATGTGTACCTGATGTGGGTAACAAATGAAGTGTCACACTGATGTTTACCTGATGTGGGTAACAAATGAAGTGTCACACTGATGTTAACCTGATGTGGGTAACAAATGAAGTGTCACACTGATGTGTACCTGATGTGAGTAACAAATGAAGTGTCACACTGATGTTAACCTGATGTGAGTATCAAATGAAGTGTCACACTGATGTGTACCTGATGTGAGTAACAAATGAAGTGTCACACTGATGTGTACCTGATGTGGGTATCAAATGAAGTGTCACACTGATGTTTACCTGATGTGAGTAACAAATGAAGTGTCACACTGATGTTTACCTGATGTGAGTAACAAATGAAGTGTCACACTGATGTTTACCTGATGTGAGTAACAAATGAAGTGTCACACTGATGTTTACCTGATGTGAGTAACAAATGAAGTGTCACACTGATGTGTACCTGATGTGGGTATCAAATGAAGTGTCACACTGATGTTTACCTGATGTGGGTATCAAATGAAGTGTCACACTGATGTTTACCTGATGTGAGTAACAAATGAAGTGTCACACTGATGTTTACCTGATGTGGGTATCAAATGAAGTGTCACACTGATGTGTACCTGATGTGAGTAACAAATGAAGTGTCACACTGATGTGTACCTGATGTGAGTAACAAATGAAGTGTCACACTGATGTTAACCTGATGTGGGTATCAAATGAAGTGTCACACTGATGTGTACCTGATGTAAGTATCAAATGAAGTGTCACACTGATGTTTACCTGATGTGAGAAACAAATGAAGTGTCACACTGATGTGTACCTGATGTAAGTAACAAATGAAGTGTCACACTGATGTTAACCTGATGTGAGTAACAAATGAAGTGTCACACTGATGTTTACCTGATGTGGGTATCAAATGAAGTGTCACACTGATGTGTACCTGATGTGAGTATCAAATGAAGTGTCACACTGATGTTTACCTGATGTGAGTATCAAATGAAGTGTCACACTGATGTGTAACTGATGTGAGTAACAAATGAAGTGTCACACTGATGTGTACCTGATGTGGGTAACAAATGAAGTGTCACACTGATGTGTACCTGATGTGAGTAACAAATGAAGTGTCACACTGATGTTAACCTGATGTGGGTAACAAATGAAGTGTCACACTGATGTTAACCTGATGTGGGTAACAAATGAAGTGTCACACTGATGTTTACCTGATGTGAGTAACAAATGAAGTGTCACACTGATGTGTACCTGATGTAAGTAACAAATGAAGTGTCACACTGATGTGTACCTGATGTAAGTAACAAATGAATTGTCACACTGATGTTTACCTGATGTGAGTAACAAATGAAGTGTCACACTGATGTTTACCTGATGTGAGTAACAAATGAAGTGTCACACTGATGTTTACCTGATGTGAGTAACAAATGAAGTGTCACACTGATGTTTACCTGATGTGAGTAACAAATGAAGTGTCACACTGATGTTTACCTGATGTGGGTATCAAATGAAGTGTCACACTGATGTGTACCTGATGTGAGTAACAAATGAAGTGTCACACTGATGTTTACCTGATGTGGGTATCAAATGAAGTGTCACACTGATGTTTACCTGATGTGGGTAACAAATGAAGTGTCACACTGATGTGTACCTGATGTGAGTAACAAATGAAGTGTCACACTGATGTGTACCTGATGTGAGTAACAAATGAAGTGTCACACTGATGTTTACCTGATGTGAGTATCAAATGAAGTGTCACACTGATGACACCTGTAGCCACGATTAGGATGAGTCTTCATGTGTTCTTTTAATTTTTCCTTGCTGGTGATTATCTTGCAAGTTCTGCACGTGCTCAGTTTGAACTGATGCACTCCGAAGACGTGGGTTTTAAGGTTGCTTTTCTGGTTGAATCTTGCTTCACAGTAAGGACATTGGTGAAGTTTCTGTTTTGTGTCAGGGCTCAGCACCTCGTTTTTTGGGGCTGTGGTCACGGCATCATCTAGAAGTTGGTAGCCTGAGGGGAGGGTGGACTTCTTGGGTGTCGCGATTTGGGGCAACTTAAACAAATTGTTCTGCAGCATAAAGTCTGCTAAATTCAGATCCTGAGAAGAGAAAGAGTGTTACCATGGTTACGTAGGCAATAATAGTTTTCATCGTGTAAAATCATATTTTAAATCTCGATTTAATCGGGTCCTGAAACATTATGTTAATCAGGATTTACCGGCTGAAATAGTGAGGGTTGAAGTCTGGCAGTGGAAGTGGCCGGGTTTGCTAGGATAGACTTAGTTAGGTTAGATATGTCTGTCTTCTCAGAACTCTGTTGCAAAGCATTGGAGAGCGCTAATCTTAACGTTCTTAACTCGTCTAGTTGTACGTTCTCCAATTTGTTAGTCGCTGAAGTGTAAATGTATCAATATCATGTATATAGAATATCTGTCCATTATTTATTAGCTACGTGGCAATTGCTCTGAAGTTGTACCAGGATATCAAATGATAGAGTTTCGTATTCAATTTCACAAACAACCACTTTAATGTATTTTTGTTCACTTGTCAAGCGCTGATAAAATCAATCAAACTTCAAAGCAGTTGCTTGAATAAACATTGTGAAGTTTTAAATATTGTTTAGTTTATGAACAAAAGTATTTGCTTTGTCTGTGCAGCACGTGTAAACAATATTACGAGTTATAGACTTAGTGAGTAGGTACACTGTGATCGTTCTCACTGAGTATAATAACAAACCTTAAAGAAGATGCAAGAAAAGGGCTGAAAGGAGAGAGATCAAAAGGAGTAGGATTGTCTGGTTTAGAGAGGTTACTGTTGTTGGATGTGGGGCACAATACACCTATAATACCGTCTACTAGGGGGGCAGCTCTGTTGTCCACTAAAGGTGACGTCATGGCTCTGCCTCCCTGGTCCGAGGTACTGGGCGAGGTGAAGGGACTTGACTCAGTATAAATGAGGGGAGGGGAGGGTTTCCTTGGCGAGACATTGTTCTCTGTTGGAGGCAGAGTTAGAGTTATAGAGGGTGACGTTGAAACACTGCAGGTGGGTCTAGGATCTATATTTGGGGGAGTATTGATAGACACTGATGCTAGGGAAACGTGGCCGGTTGTGGTGTTCACGGGCTTCTGTAAGCCCGCTTCCTCTTTTGCAACTTTGGCTGGCAGGTCCACGTGATTGTCATCTAGAGGCACGTGCGCGTGGTCCGAGCTCCAGGGACGTTTACATGCTCGTCTTATGATACTGTCCCTCTGTATATCACCTGCAAATGGCTCTGTTAAGTGGGGTGTTTTGTTTTAAGGGTGAAATTCGGAGAAACCGATTTGCTTATGATCAGGTACAATGTACATGTGGAATGCGCGGCGTATTTATGTTGCACTAAATGATATTTCACAAACTTATATCATCTAAATTTATTTCGCGCATTCCAAACAATTTGCTCGCATCTGAGTCACGCGGCAGAGCTCATCGGTCTACGTGGAATTTACACATGAGCCACAAGTCTGGAACAGAGCTGGAAGAGCAACCAGGGCATTGGCGGAGACAAGAATAGTATTACCGATATAGCGGCAGTATGACACCCTAACTATATTAAAGTACGGCATGAGCACTAAAAAGAGGACTAATGTCATGGCAATGTAATGGTAAATAAGTGTACACTACACACTGTAGAGTGCCTGAATTCCTACATCATCACATGCACCCGCCATCTCATTGATCTGCCAAACACGTGTACAGTGCGACCCTTATTATTCCGCAGCACGTGCCACAACACTTTAACTATAAACACATTGACCTTTCTCTTGTTTTGTATTACAGATAGACAACTTTATCTCATAAATACTTAAATACTGTCAACGCGGTCCCCAAAACACCGTCAATATTGGATAGCGATCAAATCGGTTAAATAGAGCCCGCAAATTGCACCTTATCATTGGGCCACCATTTGATATTATACCTACCTACCTACAAGATATTACTTTCAAATGGAGGAAATCTCTAACTTAATCCAGTCAACACATGTCGTAGCCTGCAAATTTAACAAGACCTCGTGGTGTATATAATCTGCGCTATTTTACTACTGCAGTTTAAAAGTGCGGCGGGGCTGACTGTGGAGGTAGTTATAACACCTAAGGACAAGTTGGAGGTGGCACACGGACAAAGTACGAGAAGGGGTTGGTTAATGCGATTAGTAGTTCGCAGATCGGTCATAACTCACGTGCAGTATGCCCTCTAACAATCGCTGCAAGACTTGCGTATCACAGTGATACAGGTATGAGTTGCCATGACAACGGTACACGTGTATCCGTCACGTGACTAGACCACGTGACACACATGCTACAGTAACGCACTGTTCTCTCTAGTTTAGATTGGGTGGCAATTGATTTATGTTGTTGTTAAAATATACGGTAAATACGCTCATTGCTCACAAGTAAAACAATGTTCACGTACAAAAAGAGCTGATCTCATGTCCTATATACCTCCGCAAGCAATAATATACCTCCACTACTCCGCAAGCAATACCTGCACTACTCCTGCGCCACCCACCCGACCTGGTTATGTAATGACAAGACAGGAAGCTAACTTCCGGGAACACCAGACCAGGAAGAAACAGCAGATATTCAGATAGCCAGGGTCACCTGCTCAAACGTGGAAACTGCCAAATAGAAAGAGTTCAGTGGTGTATCAGGGAATCTAATTGGTAAGTATCTCTAATCCTTATTAAATCTACTGTTCCTTTAAAAGAGTAATCTAGTTGGTAAGTATCTCTAATCCTTATTAAAATCTACTGTTCCTTTAAAAGAGTAATCTAGTTGGTAAGTATCTCTAATCCTTATTAAAATCTACTGTTCCTTTAAAAGAGTAATCTAGTTGGTAAGTATCTCTAATCCTTATTAAAATCTACTGTTCCTTTAAAAGAGTAATCTAGTTGGTAAGTATCTCTAATCCTTATTAAAATCTGCTGTTCCTTTAAAAGAGTAATCTAGTTGGTAAGTATCTCTAATCCTTATTAAAATCTACTGTTCCTTTAAAAGAGTAATCTAGTTGGTAAGTATCTCTAATCCTTATTAAAATCTACTGTTCCTTTAAAAGAGTAATCTAGTTGGTAAGTATCTCTAATCCTTATTAAAATCTACTGTTCCTTTAAAAGAGTAATCTAGTTGGTAAGTATCTCTAATCCTTATTAAAATCTACTGTTCCTTTAAAAGAGTAATCTAGTTGGTAAGTATCTCTAACCCTTATTAAAATATACTGTTCCTTTAAAAGAGTAATCTAGTTGGTAAGTATCTCTAACCCTTATTAAAATATACTGTTCCTTTAAAAGAGTAATCTAGTTGGTAAGTATCTCTAATCCTTATTAAATCTACTGTTCCTTTAAAAGAGTAATCTAGTTGGTAAGTATCTCTAATCCTTATTAAAATCTACTGTTCCTTTAAAAGAGTAATCTAGTTGGTAAGTATCTCTAATCCTTATTAAAATCTACTGTTCCTTTAAAAGAGTAATCTAGTTGGTAAGTATCTCTAATCCTTATTAAAATCTACTGTTCCTTTAAAAGAGTAATCTAGTTGGTAAGTATCTCTAATCCTTATTAAAATCTGCTGTTCCTTTAAAAGAGTAATCTAGTTGGTAAGTATCTCTAATCCTTATTAAAATCTACTGTTCCTTTAAAAGAGTAATCTAGTTGGTAAGTATCTCTAATCCTTATTAAAATCTACTGTTCCTTTAAAAGAGTAATCTAGTTGGTAAGTATCTCTAATCCTTATTAAAATCTACTGTTCCTTTAAAAGAGTAATCTAGTTGGTAAGTATCTCTAATCCTTATTAAAATCTACTGTTCCTTTAAAAGAGTAATCTAGTTGGTAAGTATCTCTAACCCTTATTAAAATATACTGTTCCTTTAAAAGAGTAATCTAGTTGGTAAGTATCTCTAACCCTTATTAAAATATACTGTTCCTTAAAAAGAGTAATCTAGTTGGTAAGTATCTCTAATCCTTATTAAAATCTACTGTTCCTTTAAAAGAGTAATCTAGTTGGTAAGTATCTCTAATCCTTATTAAAATCTACTGTTCCTTTAAAAGAGTAATCTAGTTGGTAAGTATCTCTAATCCTTATTAAAATCTACTGTTCCTTTAAAAGAGTAATCTAGTTGGTAAGTATCTCTAACCCTTATTAAAATATACTGTTCCTTTAAAAGAGTAATCTAGTTGGTAAGTATCTCTAACCCTTATTAAAATATACTGTTCCTTAAAAAGAGTAATCTAGTTGGTAAGTATCTCTAATCCTTATTAAATCTACTGTTCCTTTAAAAGAGTAATCTAGTTGGTAAGTATCTCTAATCCTTATTAAAATCTACTGTTCCTTTAAAAGAGTAATCTAGTTGGTAAGTATCTCTAATCCTTATTAATATCTACTGTTCCTTTAAAAGAGTAATCTAGTTGGTAAGTATCTCTAATCCTTATTAAAATATACTGTTCCTTAAAAAGAGTAATCTAGTTGGTAAGTATCTCTAATCCTTATTAAATCTACTGTTCCTTTAAAAGAGTAATCTAGTTGGTAAGTATCTCTAATCCTTATTAATATCTACTGTTCCTTTAAAAGAGTAATCTAGTTGGTAAGTATCTCTAATCCTTATTAAATCTACTGTTCCTTTAAAAGAGTAATCTAGTTGGTAAGTATCTCTAATCCTTATTAAATCTACTGTTCCTTTAAAAGAGTAATCTAGTTGGTAAGTATCTCTAATCCTTATTAAAATCTACTGTTCCTTTAAAAGAGTAATCTAGTTGGTAAGTATCTCTAATCCTTATTAAAATCTACTGTTCCTTTAAAAGAGTAATCTAGTTGGTAAGTATCTCTAATCCTTATTAAAATCTACTGTTCCTTTAAAAGAGTAATCTAGTTGGTAAGTATCTCTAACCCTTATTAAAATATACTGTTCCTTAAAAAGAGTAATCTAGTTGGTAAGTATCTCTAATCCTTATTAAATCTACTGTTCCTTTAAAAGAGTAATCTAGTTGGTAAGTATCTCTAATCCTTATTAAATCTACTGTTCCTTTAAAAGAGTAATCTAGTTGGTAAGTATCTCTAATCCTTATTAAAATCTACTGTTCCTTTAAAAGAGTAATCTAATTCTAAGCCACGTGTAACTGTTCACAGCATCTCTTTCTATAGTCTATATATTATCTATCTAATTATAGTCTATATATCTATCTAATTAAGAGAAATAACGTGTTGTAAAGATGTTGTAGTCCACAAGGGTACAGAAGGTAATTAGTCGCTGTACAATGTAGTTACTACGTGTCATATCATAATACAATAGGTACTTACTACGTGTCATATCATAATACAATAGGTACTTACTACGTGTCATATCATAATACAATAGGTCGCTAAAATAAGGGGTTATATGTTACTTGTTATTTGTTACTGACTCATGTGTAATGAGTGAGTAAGATGGTGAGGGCACGTGACACAGAGCACGTGACACTCCACAGTACTGTACTGTAGATCACGTGTCTAATAATTACACGTGATCTAAACAAGGGGTGAAGTGTGATATCCTCTCATTGTACGTGAGCACGTATGAGAGGTGGTCAGTTGTGCGGTAAATCAAGTTTAACATAATATCTTACTGCGCTTATCAATAGCTTTTATCCCGGTTAATAAGATAAGTACAAATTAGTACAATAAGATAAAAATCTTGACTTATCTTAAAGGCTTGTGTCATTTAGACAACATTTCAACATTTCAACATTAGATAAACACTAACACTACTAATTAAATAAACATTAGATAAACACTAACATTACTAATTAAATAAACATTAGATAAACACTAACATTACTAATTAAATAAACATTAGATAAACACTAACATTACTAATTAAATAAACATTAGATAAACACTAACATTACATAAACACTAAAATAAACCGACCCTTCACAGTTTACAGTTTACAGTTCACAGTTTCCAGTTCACAGTTCACAGTTCACAGTTCACAGTTCACAGTTCACAGTTCACAGTTCACAGTTCAGTAGTAGTGGTGGTGGTGGTGGTGGTGGTGGTGGTGGTGGTGGTGGTGGTGGTGGTGGTGGTGGTGGTGGTGGTGGTGGTGGTGGTGGTGGTGGTGGTGGTGGTGGTGGTGGTGGTGGTGGTGGTGGTGGTGGTGGTGGTGGTGGTGGTGGTAGTAGTAGTAGTAGTAGTAGTAGTAGTAGTAGTAGTAGTAGTAGTAGTAGTAGTAGTAGTAGTAGTAGTAGTAGTAGTA